GCTGCCCTCCCAAATGAGACCTACCCCAAAGAAAGCACGCAACAAAGATGTCCACAGTTTTTGGGAGCACATATATCTGTGAGCAAACTTTTTCACACATGAAGCTGATAAAAAAATACAGATGAGATCAAGTTCACAGATCAAACTGCATCAGTCTCTGAGACTGGGCTGTAACTGGAATGGAACCTGACATCGATCTCCTCACTAGTCAGAAGCAAGCCACAGCTCACACTGATATGGTAAGCCTACTGATTTCAAATAGCAATAGATATTAAAAAAATGTCATTATATAGTAATGCTCTTTTATAGGCAACATGTTTCTACCTGATTCTGACCACTATTCTGTATTAATATTATTTCACTACCTGTAAAGACAGAACACTTTACCGTTTGTTAACTCAACTGTACCTGTTACAAAATCACATCACCTCTCATTCTTACTTGAATATTACCATCAGTTTTGTGTTGTTATTTTCTATAAAATAAATGGAGTATCTGTGGTACTTCAAATAAACACATGTGAAGACTTTTTATTACTTTTTTTTTGCAAATCAACAGGTGGTGCCAAAGCCAAACAAAGGGCAGCTACAACAAATTATCATTGTAATCTCCACAATAATACTGGTTGCACCCTGGCCCATATCATTTCCTGTTTAGAAACCTGGGCCATGCTCAGAAAGGAAATGATATGGGCCAGGGTTGACAACCCAGTATTATTGTGGAGATTACAATGATAATTTGTTGTAGCTGCCCCTTTGTTTGGCTTTTGGGCACCACTGTTGATTTGCAAAAAAAAAGTAATAAAAAGTCTTGCAACCATGTGTTTTTTGAAGTACCAACAGATACTCTCTCATTTATTTTATAGAAAATACAAACAAACTGATGGTAATATTCAAGTAAGATGAGGTGATGTGATTTTGTAACACGGTACTAGTTGAGTACACAAACGGTAAAGTGTTTATTGTCTTCTTTACCAGGTAGTGAAATAATATTAATACAGAATAAGTGGTTCAGAATCAGGTAAAATGTGCTTATAAAAAGAGCATTACTATAATGACATTTTTAATATCTATTGCTATTGAAATCAGTAGGCTTACCATAATCAGTGTGAGCTGTGGGCTTGCTTCTTGACTAAAAGTGAGGAGATCGTCATGTCAGGTTTCCTTCCAAGTTTACGCCAGTCCTTCAGAGACTGATGCAGGTGTTGATCTGTGAGACTTGATCTCATCTGATTTTTTTATCAGCTTCTATGCTTTGCTGAAAAAGTTTGGCCTCCAGTATATGTGCTCAAAAACTGTGGACATCTTTGTTGCGTGCTTTCTTATGTTGGGGTAGGTTCATTTGGTGAGGGCAGCATAGTACTTGATCAGATGTTGGGGCTGAATACGTCTTTCAGCACATCACAGGTCTGCAACTCAGGCCAGCTCAAATTGAAGAGAAGGTCAGGCGTGGTCGTTAAATGTCCAAGGGTTCGGACATGTGCGGATTTCTTTAACGTGGACATGAAGCTCACGAACCGCACACCCGAAACTCCGCCCTCAGTGTTTCCAGTGCGTCCTTGCATTCTCCAGTTGGGAACGGGACCGCCGGTTTTCTCAGCTGAGAGGCTTCGAGTAGCAGTGGGAGATGGGTGAAGTGTCCTATGTTTTTTGCACCTGTCAATAAGCAGCGCTAAGTTTAACAGCTCAAAATACTTTGAATGTGGAATACATGTCAGATTAAGTTTTCCCTTGCCTATCGGAGCTGAGCCAAGTTTTGAGGCCGTTTTAAAATATTCTGACACATCTGTTAAATAAAGGCGAGGTCCCATTTCCATTCTGTGTGATCAGCTTCTGGACAGCTTTTTCCCTTTGTCAGGAGAAAGCATTGATACTTTCGGGTAGCATGTCGTAAGAAAAAGCTCAAAAACTCTGCCCGGCTTAAACACCACGGACTTCAGTGTGGTAAAGGCACGTCTCCGTGGGCTGATCTAGCTCGGAAGAGAAAGGCTGGAACTGCCTGTGTTTAAGTCCGGTTTGCTCTGAATGAGTTTAATGCAGGACAACAACCACCTTCATGAACAGATTCCCACTCAGAACTTTTGCAGCCTTGACGCTGGCTCGGGTCACGATCAAAGTCACGTCAGAATAATACCATTGTGTGAAGGAGGTTGAAAGTGAGCACTTATAGTATAAATAGCTCATAACTATGGTCAATTTTAATTAGAATGCCAACCTTTAAGTACGGATATGTTATGATGTTATGATAGGAAAATGCAATTTAATAAAAATTGGTTGATGTTTAGAGGGATTGTCTGGGATCGTTAAGTGGGCCACTCCAATTGCTTTGGCGGGCCGGATGTGGCCCGCGGGCCGTAGTTTGGGGACCCCTGGCGTAAACTGTAATGTCCCAGTTCGATTTCAGCAGAGGAGCTTTGTTGTATGTCACCTCTCTCTCTCTCTCTCTCTCTCTCTCTCTCTCTCCATGTTTCCCGTCTGTATCTCTCTATATAAAGCAAAATGCCAAAAATAATCTTTAAAAAAAAAAAAAGTCTCAAACAGCAATATAACTCCTCTGTTGCAATGGGTAAGACCGTGATTTCATTGGTGTCATCAGTGTCAAAACATTAACAGCACTTTGAACATCGTGATGAAAATGTGCATAAGTTTCACACACATTTTTCTCTTGTGTGATTTTAGGTGTGTACCAAATGTAAAGGGGTCAAGGAAGCAAACATGCCCCTCTATTGTGGATGTGCTGGAGACTTTGACCTCACTTTCTCAGCCAAGGTTTCTACTCTTAAATACATTACATCGTTCAGTGTAGTGATGAAAGTGTATGATCGTCCCCATTTGACACTGTTCTTACAGCTGTTTTGTTTTGCTTCTTTCTTCTATTTAAAGCGCTTCTCTGAGCAGATCACCGTTTTTCGGAACATAGCGTCCCACTACAACATGAGCTTCCTGGAGGAGACCATTGACTGGCTGCTGGCAATGAGCCCACAAATCAGCCAGAGTGCTCACTAATGTGACATCTAATGCAGAGGTCTGACACTCCCTCAGCTGCATCTGTGGCAACTGTTAATTCTGTTCAATCTGGAAAACACTCAGCACTGAATCCTTCCCAGCTGATGTAATTGATGATGTCTATTTCAGTGCTGTTTGATGTGCTGTGTGCGGCAGGTTGGAAGAGAAATGTCTGAATTGTAAATATGTTTGAATTCCTTATTATGTCATATTAAGAATGTGTATCGATTTCAGCTTTTTACTGTCAATAAATGGTTTTTAAGTGTTTTAACTGTGAGCCTGTTTGTTATTGCTGCTCAGTTATTTGACTCAGGGCTGTAGTTTGGACTGCAGCCCTGCCACAATGGAAAGAGCATAAACATCCTGATTGCCACTTACTCCCGGGACCCTCATTAATCGGCAGTCACTTACCATCTGAGCTTCCTCCTCACGTAGCTGCTAATGTGTCTGCGGCTTGTGTACAGCTTGTGACCTGAACTGCCCCCACTTTACCCCCACCTTATCTGGCAACTTGCAGCAAAGTACATGAGACATGTCAGATGCTGCTTTATTGCAAATCGCATAATAGCTAACTGTCAGATTTTACTTTGTTGTGGCAAATGAGAAGATGATTTTGTTTCTCTTGCTGTTATTGATTTTTCTTTAAGGAATTGTGCAAATCTGAACCCTCAAGTTCATCTGGTGAGAGTGCGTTCCTTCACCAGATTTCATAGTGATGACATGAAAAGATGAGGTGTTTCTGACTTATGAATACTTTTTTTTTTTTTTTTTATTGTTCTCAAATGTGGGTGGTTAGTGATTACTGCGAGCAAGCCTGCATCACTATGATCTTAAATCATGCACCTCCATCTCTTTAACCTCATTGCCCCACAGATGACTCACTTTGCCTGCTGATGGGCATCTCCCAGACAGGTAATCACATTTCAGACTCTGAACTGAGGCACAATTAGATTGGCTCCTTGGAGTTTCCCATTGACACATGCTCTACATGTCAGTTGACGAATGAAGGTCTATTAGAAGGACAGTGACTAAATCCTTTACATTTTCACTTGTTATCTTCTCAGTGCATCGTAAACTAGAGCCTATGAGCTTAGTAGTGGAATAAATTAACATAACCACTATCCTTTTAAGATATAATACACTAAGACTTTTCAGCTCTTTGTCATGTCATAAGCATAATTCCCAAACTGATATGTGGCTGTCCATTGTGCTCCTCCATCCATCATGGCAGATATCAATCCATTAGAATTGAGTCTTAAGTATTTTTTTTCTCTACTGACATTTGTATTGCTCTCAGGCGTTCAGATGGATTCACACTTCCCCCACAATCTTGTTAGAGAAACCATCTTATGGGAAATGTCAGTGTTATTTGATTACTGCTCATTGCTCCCCTCCTCGTGGCTTCCTCTTGTGTCTTCTCGTTACGCTGTCAGGTTGAAAAACGAAGGAACAGAATCAGAGTTGCACAATCGACTGTATTCTTTAGTGAGATGATGTTATAATAACACCCATGTCTGGAACACAAGTTAGTAGATGACTTTTTATTGTTGAATTGAATGCAATACATGGGCAAAATTTGTATTGTTTGTAAATCTGTTTCTTATGACCGTGTACTGAAATATTTTTCTGCTATGAAATACTATCTGGTTTGTTTTCATACTGAGGAAAAAAACACATCTTCTAAGTGGTGTCGCTGTCGTCTGAGAAACAGGTAGAGGTCCATCAAGGTTTGAGGCGATAAATGTCCACTGCACAGGCAGGAGGCCAGCCGATCGTGTCACTGTGGTGCTCTATCAGTATATTCCCATTGACACCAGCAAAGCAGTCAGTGGTAGTCCATCACTGAGCTGTTGCAGACACCTGAAAAACCACTCAGAGTTGTTGTCTTTGCCACAGTCAACTGACCTTAGGAGAGTCCACACACACACACACACACACACGCACACACATACACACACACACACACACACTTGGCCGGTGAGTACTGTGACGACATCACAGTGGTACACCGTCTGACAGGTCTGAATGGTTTGAGCCGTAGCTGCTGATGTAGCCGAGCTCTGTGGGAATGGGCACCGTGGGCTCCTTGATAACCTGCGAAGAACAAATATCCTGCATTTAGAGAGGATGTTGTTCACCAAAGAAGTTCAAACTTTTCCCTGAACATGTTTACACCATAGCTCATTAAAACTTTATCTATAATGCTGCAGAAACAATGACCAGTGATGTGCTTTGTGACACAGAGCAGCATATTGATTTCTGTGGAGGTGGTTTCAGACATAATGCAGCAAAATATCTTGTATATTTAAAATGAATCACATTTTAACCATGGAAAATACAATGCCCCAGCAGATGTTTCAATCTGAATGGACATCTGTAAGTAAAGAGATTAAAAGCTCAACCTTTGCAACATGTTTGACCTTTAGATCAGAGCCCCCTCTCCTGTTTTACCCCTCATCTGGTTCTGGCAAATAAAGAGCTAATGGTGACGAGACAAATTAACAAACAAATTAAGTAAAACTACACAATTATTGAGAAGATTTTTGAGATTGTCATTAGTGAACAAGTGAATTAAAAACTCAATAGCTACTTTGGTAAGATGATTTACCATTTTTTGGCACAAAATACGTACTGGAACAGAAATAATGAAATAACGAATGAAGAGTAGTAGAAATTGTTATGTAATTGTTAGTTTTGTTCTAAATTATCATTGTCATCACCAGTTAGATTTTCCCCTTACTTATTCCATGATAAGTACTGACAATTTTGCTTACCATGTTGTAACCAGATTGTGTACTTAGATCTGTAAGTATTCTAAAAAACAGATTGTTGAGAATGTTTGAAAGTCATCTTATCTATTCTTTGTGAGACATAAAACCTTTAATGATCAGTATCTCAAAGCTGCCGTGAACACAGATGATACCATGTGTTAAGATTGAATACACAATGCCTTTTGCTCACTTCATCAAACTTTCTCTCACTGTAGACTTCATTCTTGTCAATAAACGTCAGCATGATCCAGTCACAGATAATGGTACACTAGAGGGGGTGGAATGAAAAGAAGAAACAGTTTGTGGCGCAAAGAGCATTAGCTGTCACATCAAAGTGTCAAGATTAGAAAGGAGTGTAGTGATTGCTCACAATCCCAACTGAAGTCATCGCAGTCACTGTGCTGATGATGGTCGGGATGGGACTGAATTTACCAGCCTGCAAAGAAATGACATGCAAATTATATAATGACAGTCACCAAAGTAAGCATAAAGTAAACTGTAGTGATGCTTTGATGCACTTGCATGTCCGTGAACAATGACATCCAGACGGATGCCATAGGCCTTGATAAGTGTCCGAGACTCTACCCCATCCTTGCTGTAATATTTGGCAAATCTGGACAGTTACACAGAAATAACAGGGGTAAAGATTGACCACGAGCCAAAGTAAAGACCACAGTTTAAAATACTGAATGAAAAAGTCAGTGTCTGGTGATGTAGCTCACCTGTAGTAATATCCAGAGTTGGCCTCATCCTTTCGGAGATCAAGACGACGGAAGGAATATGTAGGTTTACAATGTGAAGGATCCAGGTCCAGGTTACACTTCCAGTTAATGAAAACCCCAATGACTCCTCCCTGAGCAAAAACAGCAGAGATAATCCACATAGGAAGCAATGCTGCACTGTCACAAAGTAGGTCATTTTTGAACACATCTGTGTGCCAACTTTAAAACATCATGGAAACAGTATGTGTTTTGCAAAATAAGATAAAAAGACATGTTTCAACACATTCAACACATTTTTGAAATCAGACATCTTCATGAATCAAACCATTTTGTGATGCAGAACTCATACTCACAGTCCTGCAGAGCTCACTGAAATTCTCCCTGGCTTGATCTGCGATGTAGCCCAGGCGGAAGTTTGGACAGTAGGGCTCTTTCTCCTCGTCGTAATGACACTTACTGAGGTATTTCTGCATGTCACGCTTATTTGAGGCATCTTTGATATTTCCCCTGCCAAAGATAAGAAGAAAAGTTCTTCTGAATTTCTGCTGAAAAGGCAAGAAGCACTGGCTCCAGTGTGTGTGTGTGTGTGTGTGTGTGTGTGTGTGTGTGTGTGTGTGTGTGTGTGTGTGTGTGTGTGTGTGTGTGTGTGTGTGTGTGTGTTTGTGGAGGTACTTTACCTCAGCACTTTAAACTTTGGGAAGTGGATAGAGTTCCTGATGAACACTGTGAAGTTGACGGCCTCCACTAATGCTGGTTCACTGTTGAGGACACCAAATAATCACAGTGATAATCTGCCATCAGTTTGTTTCATTCTGTTGCTTAGCAACCACAGCTGGCAGAGTTCCACAGCAGTTTAACTGATATTCTTACAGCCACCATTTTGTCAGATCAGTGACCAAGCGAATATTAACAAACATCTTTTGTCCGCTCATCCGTGGGTCTAACTGTTGTTTGTGGCAGTGGCTCTCATCCTCTTTGGCTTGCGACCCCTTAAAACTAAACTGTGTCTGTTTGTGACCCCTCGTCACAGGTTGCATACAATGGCCAATTCAACCAACGTTTACTTCTCAAATTGTCATACTTTGTAAGGGCCTGAATGTAAAAACATCCAATCATTCAATCAATCATCATCAATCAAGAAGCAAATACTAGAGAAAACTTTGAAAAAATAAATATAATTTTGTGAAGCAGGAATTTGATTTTCTGATTTTTTATTCTGTTAATCATCTGTGACCCCTCAGATTTATCATGTGACCCTTTTGCGGGGTCTTGGGAACCACTGGTTTATGATGTATCATCTTTTTTCTGAGTTGTAATCACAATCACTGACACAAGGGTTTTCTTATTTTGTTTGTGCATGAAGGTATTTGGGGACTTTTCCTGGGCTTCCAGGTCCATTGAGACCTTGTATGGACTATTGGATGATCCAAATAAACCTGAGTTTAACTTGACCAATCAACCGGGTGGTGATTAAGTATCACCCGCCTTACCGTACTACTGCGTACTCCTCAACAGGACACCAAGTTTGGATCTCACAAGTTTTGAAGGTGTGGTTATAGTATTGAACACATTTGCCTGTCCTTCTGCCTGTAAGAAAGTGTTAAAACAGAGAAAAACTGAGGCAAATTCAAACCAACCAGGCATGAAGAAAGATTTCCTGAGAAATAAAAACATTACCATGGCCATCAAAGTCAACCTGCCCCTGGACACAGTCAGAATCTGTTGTACAGTTCGCATTGGCAACATTGAAATACTAAAGTGAAATAAGACAGATGTTCAGTCATAGGAAAAGAAAGGTGTCTGAGTTACTGATACACTTATTCAATTGTATTTTACTGCATACTAGGCTTTAGTTGACCTCTCACCTCAGCGCAGGTCCCTTGCCTCTGATCATACGTGACTTCTCGTCTCAATATTGTACTAATCACATCACCACCCTATGTACAGAGAAAATGTCAACAAAAATACTCAGTGGCGTTTACTCCAGCATGAAGAGATACTGTAATGATGCTGACAGAGTATATTTGGTGAGAGTTTCTTGATCATTATGCAACATTTATTCTCAGTTCACCTCTGAGGGTCGAGCGTACTCCACAGTGTCCAGGATATCATCTCCATGAACTGCTGTGCCCTTCATGAGAGTGTAAACGGAGCTCTCTGGACGGGTTTCACTCTCTTGATATGCTTTCTCATTTATAAAGACATACCTTCAGGATGATAGAACAGACAGAAGCAATATCAGATTTTGTGTTATGACGTCAATTTTTATTGGAGGTATCACGTTACCCTGGATCTGTTCAGCCCTCTTTGCTGAAGTCAAGAAAAAAAAGGAAAGATGACGCACACTTTAATCATATAACCACAGACATCTAATCTAAGAAATAATTTAAGATCTGTAACAAGATGAATAATAAAATCTTCACAAATTCTTAATATATTGAAATTGCTCTCCTCAGATCAAACATGTCTGATGATAGAGACTCAACCACACTTGTTGTCATCGTTATGTTTCCATCAATTTTGCTGTTTATTTTTCTTCAGGTAATTGCAAATGGGAAGTATTTCCTCCCCACAAAGCTGCAGTTTATGGGTTTGAGAATTTAAAGTCACAGTGCATTTTCCCTAATATGATCTTTTACACACAAAAGCATATTGTTGGCATATTAAGATTTTAAACTTTACAGTTATTCCTAAAAGAAGCAATTAAATTAACATACATCTGTTCATATGTAGAAAAATAAATAGATTGAAATTACCAAAGCCTTTGAATTTCATAGGTTGTCCCTTTTAACACATAAAGTGGACATGCAATTACACAAACATGAAGCTTACCAGATGAAATAGGTGATCACAAGAAACTGAACGCCTCTGTAAATGACTCCAAGAGTTCTGTTTTTAACCACCATTACCTTTGGTGTCTCATAGTCCCAGAAACCAAGAAAATAATCCTTCATAAACTCACGTAGTCCCATGATGAATTTATGAAATGTTTCACACATATTTTCAGATGCCCTTGTGAAGTCTAGTTTCTATATGTTACTGTCTCTCTGTATCTAGCTTTTTTATTTCTCTCACTATTTCTTTTTCTCACTCTCTGGTCCTGCTCAGCTCCAGTCTGCATCTCTCTCAAGCATCCCTGGCACCAGTGAGGGTGGAGGAGAAGAGAAGGGGGTGGGGTTCAGATGTGGTTAATTCATGCATTTTCTTTTATGTCACTTTACTCTGATGACAACAGTTTTGTAATGTTTCTTGTTGATCACACTTAATATCTGAATCAGGTGCTTACAGTTCTGCACAGGAATTCATTTTGTGGGCATTTTAAAACCTTTGCCAATGAATAGGTTGAAAATATTTTTTATCACATTACTATAATTTTCTTGTTTTAAAATTCCACTAAAATTCAAAACTTATTTTGGAGTCATTTCTGCAGAAAAACTAAATGTAAGGTAGAGCATTGTGTCGATACATATGCCATGTCAAATTTAAAGTGATTTAGCAAAACGGGTGTGAGTTTGCATTAATATATATCAATGGTTTAAAGAACAGTGACCGTGGCTTTTTGTTTATTGGCTTTATTTTGAACAGGCGGACAAACGGCCTGCCTCTGGGTCCTGCATACTGCTCGTACCGCCTCCACAGCGCATGTCAGACGACACGTGCATCGGCTGCTGATGGTGGTAGCGAGCATTGTGTACGCCTGTGTACTGCATAATTTGTAGACAATTCAATTTCCCTAAACTTGTGAGGAGGGTCGCATATTGTTTGTAAATGGGGGGTCTTCAAAAGAAAAAGGTAAGAGCTGACGTCGGGCTAATGTCAGACTCAGGCACATTAACACCGATACCAACCAGGCTAGCTAGTTAGCAAACGGAGCTAGCTGAGGTTTGTTTTTCTGCATTGGCGTTGGTGCAGTTGAGGATTTGAAGTATTTTGTTAGCCCGTCTATGAAATAAGGTCATATTGTGGGAGTATAATATGGACGTCTGTTCTTGTGTTCCAGTTTGAGAGGGGCTCTGCCACCAACTACATCACCAGAAACAAGGCTCGTAAGAAGTTACAGCTGAGCCTCCCGGACTTCAGGTAACGTTACAGAGCTCAGTGGTTGTATCACAGGGCTGTTAAGTCAGACCACATTAGTTTTAGTTGGATGAAACTAATATACTGGCAGCTGTGTCACAGACAAATAATTCCCCATCTCTCTCTCTGATTTTCAGGCGACTATGCATTCTTAAAGGCATCTACCCTCATGAGCCCAAGCACAAGAAGAAAGTGAACAAGGGCTCTACAGCCCCCAGGACTTTCTACCTGCTCAAAGACATCCGCTTTCTGCTGCATGAGCCAATCGTTCGAAAGTTCAGAGACTACAAGGTATTACAGGCATTTTTTCCCCTATTTTTTAAATTTTTCAGCACTAATGTATGAACTGTCATGAAAGTAAGAGTTGATATGGTTAATTTTAACTTGAGGGAAGTTGTATTGTGGCTGTGAGTATTTTTTTTGTGGTTGAAGAAGGTATGTTTTGCCATTTATCTAGTTTGTTTTGGTCCCTGTTTAGCAGTTTATCGTTGAAGTTACACTGAGATAACACTTTTTTTTAAATCGTCAAAATGTTTTGTCTTAACAGGTATTTGTTCGCAAACTTAAGCGGGCTTATGGAAAAACAGAATGGTCTGCAGTGGAGAGACTGAAAGAGAACAAACCTACCTATAAATTGGACCACATCATCAAAGAAAGGTGAGACAGTCTTATTCTCCACACTCAACACAGGAGGGCAGAGTTGAGCTGATTTTCTCTGTCAAATTAAATTAGATCATATTAGTAGAAATGACTAGGTAACTACAAAAGAGCACAATTAACATGTTTGAATTTGTTTTGGCTTTTTTTAAGAGAAGGGATAAAACAATCACATTGTATGAAGTTGTATTGACTCATTGGTGCTCTCTTTTGTGACAGGTACCCCACCTTCATTGATGCCCTCCGTGATATTGACGACGCCCTTTGCATGGGCTTCCTCTTCTCCACCTTCGCCCGAACGGGAAAATGCCATGTGCAGACAATCCAGCTGTGCAGGCGCCTCACTGTGGAGTGGATGAACTATGTGATCGCAGCTCGTGCTCTCAGAAAGGTGCCAGTGCAACTGGGGGGGTATATTGATATGACTTTTGTGCATTGACCTCTGTCCTGCAATGCACTAAACATTTATCTGTTCCTGATAGGTTTTCATCTCCATCAAGGGAATATATTATCAAGCCGAGGTGATGGGACAGCTCATTACGTGGCTGGTGCCATATCAGTTCTCCCATGATGTAAGTGCAGAATGATGAAATACAGTCCATGGTGATTATGCTAATAATAAGCAGTCATGTTATTATTATCAAGGGATTACACTGAAGGTTGACACAGCTCTTTCAGACCCATCATAAAGTCAACAAAATAGTGCCTCTGTCAATACACAAACAGGTTATGTCAGTGTAGTCTGGAGTGGGTTTACTCTTTTGTATAAAAGACTGTTCAAATTAGTTCACTGATACCCTCTGCTGTTTGTGTGCCCTACAGATCAGAAGTTACTTTAGATATTGACACTCAAATTTATAGATTTTACCATTGAGACTTAATTTAATGCTGGTTTTTGCCTTGGCAGCACCCAACAGATGTTGACTACAGAGTCATGGCAACTTTCACAGAGTTGTACACCACTCTTCTGGGGTTTGTCAACTTCAGACTCTACCATTCCCTCAACCTGCTCTACCCACCAAAGGTATTTTGGACTTTGAAAATGTCACAAGGGCTTTTCTCTATATATGTACATTCATACATTCATATATTGTTATATTTATTTTTATTGTGAGAGTGTTATAGTTGTGTTACTTAGAAATAAATTCAAAGCTCATATTCATTACATTGATTCAAATGGCTATTTTGTATTTTAGACTAAAATCTTTCTAAAAATGTGTAGATTCTCAAGTATTTCAAATCTATTGTGACGGATTTCAGTAAAATTCAACTTGTGGTGATATCGAGTTATAAACAATGATACTGCATGATTACAGGTTTATGGCTGTTTGATCACCTGTTGGCAAACCTGTGCTCTTTTAATGTCATTCCTTTTGCAGCTGGACAGTAAAGCAGAATCAGAGCTGAAGGACGAGAATGAGGAAGATTATGCCATGAATTCAGAATGCTACTTAGAGGTTAGCCTCATTATCTTGAATCTTTTTAAAGGCTCCATTAAACTACTCACTCTTTTCTCTAGTGGTTTCTATTTTTTAAATATATATTTCTTAGATATCTGCCCTAACCTCATCACAATGAAGGTGGTAGAATATTGTTTATGGTCCTCATAGCACTGAGAAATCACAGTGTGGTCCGTAAATCGTGAAATTAATTCTTCAAAGACTCACTTTTCTGGAATGTGAGCAGCACAAAGAAAGTTCCACTCACCCGTTGTATTTAGGTGGAGGCAGAAACCTGGGAGTCAGATATGTCAACCTGGATGAATAAAACTAATACTATCTGTATGGGGAGATATTAGTCAGAAGTGACAAAATATCTTTTGTAACTGAGAAATTGACTCAAGACATTGACTGTAAGTATTTGTATATTTTTGTCATAACTACAGTCCAGACCACAAGTATTTGGACAGTTAAACATTTTTGTCTCTCTCGGCTATGTGCTTCAGCACATTCAAATTGAAATGAAATAGTGCCTACGACAATAAAGTGCCAAGTCTCTGCTTTAGTTTGAGTAGTTTTAAATCAATATGGAACTGTGTGGGAGATGTAGCCCTCAAGACATGTAGTATTCCTTTTTATACAACTCTAGGGAGATAATCATATTAATCATTTTAATCTTTAATCAAATCAGAGCTTGTTGATAGATGATATCTATAGATATGCATGTGTGTTGTATGTAGTATGGATGATGGGTGGGTTGGTTTTTGTTGACAGGCCCCTCTGCATCAGCACCCCTGCTGTGCTGTTGTAGTGGTTTCCTTGAAATGAATGAGGGAGACACATTTTTCATACAGTGCTGTCTGTCACTGTCTATCACTGTTCTTGTTCTCTCTGATTGCATTTGTTGGTTTGATGCTGTTCCTGTGTCATGTGGGACATCCACTAAAACTGATGGAAAGCAGTGTTTCTAAACACACATCAACTTTGAAAAACAGTACACACATGGTCTTTTATTTTGAAAAAATAAGATATTAGTATGTTGGGTACCACAAATTTCTCTGGTCATAACAAAGAAACTATGTAAACTTGAAGTTATTCACAGTAATGATGTGTTAGTGTGCATATAAATAACAAAATTTGGAATTGTTGCTCCAACCCTGTTGTTTTTGACTTTGCAGAAACTCTCAGCTCTGAGTGCCAGTCTGTCACGGGTGGTTTCTTCTGCAGAGGAGGAGGAGGCTGAACTTGACCAGTTTCCTATTGAAGGGGTAAGAAAACCATTTCTGTGTATTTTATGTTTTAAATGGACTAAGAATAAAACATCACTGTCATGGTCATAATACTGAGATGTGTCAAAACATGCAGAAAAACAACATTAGATAAAGTAATTGGTCTCTGAAGGCAGAGGTAAGAAGTCACATGGTTGTCAGAGGATTCACAGATTTTGGAGGTGTGAAACTAGGGATTATAACCTTCATGTTTGGTTGCTAAAGACGAGGTGTCTCCACCCTGGGAAGCTTGTTTTACCCAACAGGTTTTTAGGTGCTAAACTATTGGCCCTATTTGACCACAGGCACTTTCCAAGAACCATGAAACGTTACCTGCATTTCAACAATATGTGCCAGTTCAAGTTTTGGTTGTCAGGCTCCTATTCAACTTTTCGACTGTCCACGAAAATGTAGGGTGGAGTTTCCTGACGAGTTAAATGCAAGCATGAAGACCTGCTGCAACCTGTGTTCATCATTCTTTCAGACTTTGGGTAACAATGAATTCAGAGAGCTGCTAAATGGCTCCAACAAAACTTTGGCTTTTAAATCCATCATTGATCTGATTTCACTCATTTCCATGGTTCCACAGAAGTAATGGAAATGAAAGCCCAAATGCAGTAAACAGACTTTTAGTCCGAGTTGAGCTCCAAGAGCTTATTAGTTATTGGGACAGGATGAATTGGCCATAACTTTGGTTGTATTTCTTTTTTTTACTATCTTTCTTATTAAAGGACTGCCATCATTGCAACAATTTTGCTTTGTTGTTATAGTCTTGCAATAATCTTTTAATCATAATTTTATAATGTTTTTATGGGATTATTGGCAGTATTTGCATCCATGGAAACAAAATAAATACACAAGTGTCTCACTATTTATCCTTTCAATATTTTTTCTTCAGGAGGACATTGAAAAGATGGAGGCAAGAGAAAAGGAACATACACAGCAGGAAGCCCAGAAAAAGCTTTTTGAGGGCCTCAAGTTCTACCTCAACAGAGAGGTTCCCAGAGAGTCACTGGCTTTTATCATCAGGTGAGTGAGATGTGCTGCAGTGAAACTCTGTCAGAGCCCTTTACAAACATGAATAAACATTATATGTAATGTTTATTATAAACCTAAAATTGATGCAAACCCTCTTTAAAATATTGTGTTAATTGCTGCTGCCTTCCAGGTGTTTTGGTGGTGAGGTGTCCTGGGACAAGTCGGTTTGCATTGGTAGCACATATGAGGTGACAGATGAGACCATCACACATCAAATTGTTGACAGACCCAACATCGACAAACAGCATATCAACAGGTAACATCATCTTGCTTTTCAAAGATACAGAACACATCACTTTTTATTTTGGTTGTCAATTCTGTGAAGTCATCTACCTGTGTCCGGTCCTTAAGTACTCTCACTCTAATGCGGCCCTTTTGGGATAATAAAACAAACTATCAATTCATTTTTCAAAAGAAAAGATCATTCACAGCCCCTACAGTACTGAATTTCTTTTTCCATCCATTTGAAATGGCAAATATCTACTCTCTCACACAGGAATGGCTCAGGCTCAGTTTACGTGACCGAGATATTGCAAAGAAAGTAATGCCATGTATTTCTGTATGTACTGCTCTTTATGGGGCCCAACATTTGCGGGGGAAAAGTACACGAAAAGCTTGTGCATGAAGCATAAAGTACACAGAAACAGATGAACTAAAGTAATGGCAGCGTCACATACCTTATGTTTACATTTGTAAATATATTATTTGGTGCACTATTTAACTTGCCTCTGATGGCATGATTGATATATGCTATTAGTATAGATTTATTAATCACAAAGCATGTCATTAAATTTTTTGGGGTTTATTTATTTATTTATTTATTTATTTATTTTGATCGCTCAGCCGCCCCACTTTTTAAACAGGAAATGATAATTACAGTGTAGCTCTGAATCCTAAATACAGGAAGTCTCTGCAGACTGTGATCCTCTCTCTTTGTACATTACCATATCCTTTACAATGCATCCTTTCAGAGTCATCATTCTGCTCTCTTGCCTCAAAGCAACCCCATTCATCGTGTTTGACAGACTCTGTCCTCTTTCTTTGGCAACTCCCTCATCTATTACTTTAGCAAACAGGAAAAACCTCCTCTCCCCAAACACTGAGATATTTGCTCATTATTTCATATTAGGACAGGGAAATATACAAAACTTGTTAGCTTCATCAGAAGCTAATATCATAACTTTTACTTGATGTTTCAGGTACTATATTCAGCCCCAGTGGGTGTATGACTGTGTCAACGCCAAAATCCGCCTGCCTGTGGAGGACTACTTCCTCGGAGTGACTCTGCCCCCTCACCTCTCTCCGTTTGTGGAGGAGAAGGACGGCGACTACGTGCCCCCTGAAAAAGTGAAGATCATGGCCTTACAACGGGGAGAAAAGCCTGGTACGAACTGAGGCATTCCTCTGACGTCTCAGCTTTCATTCTTTATAAAAACTTTATACTCAGTTGTTATTTTTTTACAACATTGAATCACAGTGATTGTAATTAGGATTTAGGTGTATTTGGTGGTCACACCTTGATCACGCACAGGTGAGTGCTATTCAGTTATGCAACTTCTAAAAGCAATTGGATGCACCAGTAATAACTTAGGTGCATCATTGTAAAGGGAGTGAATACATGTGAAATCAGTCATGTTGTGTTTGATTTTTGTGTTCGATTCAGATCAGTTAATAGAAATGTGATACTAAAGAATGTTTTCTATGAATAAGGTGAATGATTTTTATAGGGACAGTGGATGCAGAGATCATGAACACAAAATTTAAACATTTTTCTTCCATCATAGCCCATGAACAGGAGGATGACGATGAAGAAGAGGAGGAGGGTGAGGATGAAGAAGAGGAGGAACAGGAGGATGATGATAACAACGATGATGATGATGATGATGAAGAGGAGGAAGAGGAAGAAGAGAAAAACCTTAAGAAGATGGAACAACAGAGATCCCAGGGCAAGGTAAGAGATTCCTGATCCCCTTTTCTTTTTTCTTTTTTTTGGCAATTGTGTCATCTCCTGTTTTTATAAACTTGTGGATCCTTCATCGACTCATCTCCTCCTTTTAGTCTCTGCAAGTCAAAGTGACACCTGGGAAAGTGAAGGTAGAAAACACAGTACGCTTGGAGCAGGAGGAGAAAGCAGAGGAGAAACGTCTTGCCATCATGATGATGAAGAAAAAGGAAAAGTACCTCTACGACAAGATCATGTTTGGAAAGAAAAGAAAAATCAGAGAGGTCAGTTTCATTTTTCTATTGATTGAGTATGGATTCACGTGTAGATAACATAGTTTGTTCAGCTTTGTGAAAAGATAACATTGTGACATTTTTAAAACAGGATCCTTTATTTTCTGTATCTGGTATCTTATCTCCAGCCATGAATGTTTAACAGTACTGTGTGGTAACTGTAGAGAATAAGAAAGCCCAGAGATGACCTCTAAAATGCTAGTGCAACTGGTGCTGAGCATCTGTTCATTAACTGCATTCATTCTCTTCTTCTTACAGGCTAACAAGCTTGCTGCCAAGAGGAAAGCCCATGATGATGCAGAAAAAGCAAAGAAGAAAAAGACACGAAAATAACTTGTGATGATGTCTTCTTCAGATTGACTTTTTGTGTATTTAACTTCATGAGATAGAGTGCGTTGCAGGTTGACATGTCATGAAACCTGAGCGTGCATTAGACAGCCCTGTGAGTGAGTTACATGCTCCATGACGTGGGTGTGATAACCTCTGCATAATCTCAAGATGAAATGCAGGATGTGGCATATGCTAGTTGTGTAATTATTGATGTAAAAGTGACTTTGTCCTCATTTTGTTTGTATGAATTCTGCTCTACTATTCTACATTACACAATGTATTCCACTTTTAAAATCTGTACTTAAAACTGTCTGAATTTTAAAGTAAAGACATTATGTTATTACGCCTGTTAATTGTGATCTTGCGTTAGATGAAAGTTTTATGACTGCTGCTAAATTGCTGGGTTTCTTCACACTGCGCCACTGGTTGGTATATTCAAGGATTATATATGGTTCAAACAAGCCATTAGTCTCTTCATGACAGATGAGCAGCCGTCGGGGTCACGTCCCACTGCTGTGTATGGATCAGAAGAGATGCAGAAAATACAATGTCCCACAAGACCCAAGAGTCCACATTCATGCAGTGGATGGAGGCTCAGGTCACTGCGCTGCTGTTGGTGGGTTGTCTCGACTGATTGGTCCACACAAGCAGTGGGTGCTGATGACGAAGGAGCATAAATCCCTCTACCCCCTGAGTTGCTGCTGTGATCTTGGTGGGCCAAAGGCCAGGCCGGTCATGCCCGGCACTCCTCAATCTCCTCATTCAGCCCGAGACACTCCCTGCCCCCTCTCACACCTCCCATCGCGCCCTGATCTGCATTCCACGCATGCCCACCCAGTCCAGATCTCAGCCTGGCACTCTGGGTGCCTGCAGGCAAAGGCACGCTCTGCTCAACAAAAGCAGCAGTGTCGTGCTTGAGCATGACAACTGTGGGATGAGCCGCACAAATCCAGTGTGCCTTCCAGGAATTGGGGCCACAGTGTAGAGAGAGAGAGAGCGGGAGTTCACGGGTACTGTAATGGCTGAAGCATTATGACCACATATTGCTACATCCTGGCAGGCAGAGCCAAATTGACTTGTCACTCGTGGTCGAATGTTCATTTCATTCTCTATTGAAGTCTGCTGTGTTGCACGAGAGTCTACTTACTGAGAATGGCACTTAAGCAAGCATAAGATACTGTCTGCTGTGTCATAATTTACATGTCTGACATATTAAAATATTGAACGCTTTTAAAGCACAAACTGCAGAAAAAGATTTTTGAGGAAAAAAGTTTAATTCCTTATAAATAAATAAAAAAATTCAAGCATATACACTACTGTTGTGTGACAGCTTAGGGTGTGTAGTGTTTCTCAGTTTGTCCAGATAATTGTTTAACTGGTGATGCCAAATTTAATAGCTGTCCTGTGTACATTCGTCCTCAGCACATGTAGACACAGCTTGCTAAATAAGCATTTCAAACAATACACAAAACAGTCTTGATCAAGTGGTACAATTAGAGCCTTTGTGCTTTGAGTTTCTGCATTTGTTCTTTTTATGCTGTTTTGTACCCCTCCTATCAGCTTGCAGCTCAGACTCCAGTGTCTGCACTCAATAGCCCTCTGTATGTAGACACAGAATAGGGACTATACAGCCTCTCTCCCACCCTCCCCTCCTTTGCACTCACTGACAAGTGCACATCCCCTGACAGTCCTTGACGTCACTGGAGGCTAGATGAGCCTCCCTGCAGTGCTTTATTCAGCAAGAGCAGTTTTGGAATTGAAAGTTGAGGGGGAGGCGGCAGGTAGCCCGAGGCATCAGGTGTGCATGCAGAGACGTAGAGTGAAAGAGAAGAGGAGCAGCAGCCAGATGAATGAGCTCCGCGGCACCGGACATGTGATAAGGGGAGCGCAGGACTGTGCTGGGTCTGAAACAGTATGTGTATGTCGAGATCAGACATAAGAACAGCTGTAGGAGGGAGAACGACTTACATTAGGGATCTGGAAGTGGATTGGAAAGGAAGAAGACAATGCAGCTGGACAAGAAACACTACCATTAGTTTTTCGTTGGATTTATGTATGAGGGTAAGAACTCCTCCAGTCTATTGAAAGTTTTCTCTCCAAAATGATCCTTTTTGTGCTTTGTAATATTGATAATTGTCTTTATGATAAACAAGATTGAGACATTATACTTGCCAACACCTTCAGCTATGTCACAAAAATGCAGACAAGGAAACCATGTCAACATAATCCTGAATCCAGTTGTGTTTACTCTCGCTTAAAACTCAACTTACTCTTGAGTTCCTATTATAACCACAAAAGCAAATAAATCTGTCTTTGGGTTTTGTGTGGAGCCATACAAAGCCCAGGGTAAACATTTTCAGGCTAAATGTGGCCTGTAACATTGCATGTAGTTACTGAGTAGGTGGAAGGACATTTCAGGATAATAGATAAAGTTATACTAATATATATCCAGTAAGGACATACATTAAGGTTACGTGGCACTTTGGGGGAAAACTTGACCAAACAATGACATCAGCTAGCATCAAAAATAACAATGCCTTTCATTAGTTCAAGAGGACCTCAGGTTTTGAGGTTATTACTGGAAAATAATATTGCTTATGTAAAAAATCACTCCACATTTGTGGACCAAACTGTTCCACCTGAATGAGCCTTGTCCACCGAATGTCTCTCCTCAGAGTTGGTTCTCATGGCAGAGAGAAAGCTCTCCCGCATGTCTCCATTATAGCCTCTTCATGGAGTCCAGACGAAGAGCAGGAATAGTCCATTTAGCTGTGTTTGGAGAGTAATGTTTGTATAATGCTCCGATAAGACTGAACCTAAAATGTAACTCTACGGTTCATAGGACCAAGGCACACATAATAACTCAAGCCAGCATGAGGGTTTGAGACATCTACCTCAAGCCATAACCCCAAAGCTGGACTAAATCCAAACATGAAAAATAAATGACACATGTCTGGTCTAAAAAGGCTATCACATTTACAATTCAGCCTGGATTCATTAAAACTGGTGTGTGATTTACAAACATGATCATGGCTAAGAGTATTTTGACTTCAGGTATTATCCTGAACAGAAAAGGAGGGAATTGCCTCAAATAGCATATCAGATGATGGACAACACACCCAGCTTCAGACACAGAGACACACAAATGGGGAAAAAAAGAAAATTTGGCTTTAATTTGTAGTTACTTGCCACAGTGCAAAGATTTTTACCGAACTTTAGTTTTAAAAAAAACTGTAAAATAAGAATTGTTTGAGATTAAACCACTAGATGTTATGAACCTCATCACTGAAGAGACATTTCCCCTCTAAACCTCTCAGATTGTTTCACTTAAATAACTATTTTGAGGGGTAAAAAAAAATCTGTTATTTTTCAGAAAAAGAAAAGATTAGAGAAAAGTCTGAAGGATGACTTGAATTTTTTGTCCTAACTTTGGTTTTTCATCTTCCCTCTCCCCTTATCCATCTCACAACTGTTCAGATTTATCTGGTGACCCTTCAGACAGGCCCAACCCCTAGCATGGGGTATTATTGTTAATAAACTATTTAAAACTAGCTCCACCTCATCTAGCTACAAAAGTATTAAGTATAGTAGTAAAGTATATCAGGCACAGGGGCCATTTGACGGCAGAATTAATACTCTTACTTTTGATATTTTAAGTATGTTTTGCTGATAATAGCCTTCTTCTGTACTTTTACTTCAGTAGCAGAGGACTTTTACACTGTAGTACTGGTATTTTTATTGAATCTGAATACTTCTTTCACCACTGGTTGTACTAGGTCACAAGTCCAACAAATATGGAACAAAGACTTTTTGTTTTCTGAAACTGAGCTTTAATTGATTTTAACCCATAATTTTGCTCTGTTCCCTGCGGCAAAAGGACATTGTCCATCCTAGTTTACAGTGATCAGGGTCCTCTGGTGGTGAAGTTAGCTCAAAATATCATTCTTCAGATAGAAACTAAGCATTAAAATTTAGGGAAAACTCAATGCATTTGCTGATTATGTTGCAGATCAGTTTCTGTTAAATTATGAATACATGTAAAAACAGAAATGTTACATCGTTTATTCAAAATACGTTTTTTTTTACTTGTAAAAGCCAATAAGAACTGAAAATCTTCACAGGCTCTGCTCTGTATTGGGGTCACCTTGGGTCACATAATGTCACAAATTCCAGGTGGTGAGTGTCACTTTGTGACTTGTATAGCTGAGTCAGCAGGTGGCTCGTCTTACTGCAGTCTGCAAGGGGGAATGCAATATCACTTTCCACGGTGCTGCATTATTCATCTTATGGGGCAGTGGAGAAACACAGGGTTGGTCATTTCAAGTTGCAAGTATGTCATTTTGTAGTTCACCATACAATTTTTACTACACCCGGTGTTTAAAATGTTTATGAAGAGGACAGCCAAATGAAATGAGGTTAACACTGAAACTGTGTCAGGTAGAATCTAAGTCCCTGTGGGAAAATATTCTTGAGCACCTCAAATTATGGTCCACCTGATGACAATAGTGTATTACTCTACACAAAGATTACAGTTCTTGGAGCTGCCATTAGAGTATCACTTTTAGTTGTTTTACTAAATAACAGGTCATGTGAGAGAATTCTCAGCCTCTCCTTCCCTGTCTGTCAGAGTGAGCCATACAGGAGAAGTCCATTTCATAACAGAGTTTAGATTGCTTATATAAATGATTTTGGACAAATTAATTTAATATGTTGTTTGTGTTTAGTAGTGTGCATCCCCACCAGAGCAGGGTGGTGGATACAATTAGATTAACAACAACAAAAAAAAACGCAATCCAACATGAAAGCTCTGCATTAAATACTACCTTTTGTGAATAACAGAGGTAGTATAGTATAGAGATACAATATTGAACCAACATATCGCAGACTATTGCATTGGATTGGTTTGTATTCTACAGCTGTTTATGTTATTGTGTCCACTCAGAAACCAGAGAAGATTGTAATCTATGGAGTCACTTTACACGTCAATTTATTTCCAAGTTACCATCTAAATAAATGATTCACAGTCTTGTCCACAAAGCAGAGAACAATCTAGAAAATGATGGCCTTCTTCTTGTAGAGAAGACTAGGAAAACTAGGAACTAGGATTCTTAACCTGATGATGATGATGATGATGATGATGATGATGATGATGATGATGATGATGATGATGATGATGATGTTCTGTATTTTTAAGGTAATCCTTGAAACTGCTGCACCATGACTGGCAAGCAAGGGAGGCAGTGGAGGTCCATGTGCAAAGGCCTGGTCCTGGGTACCCTCCTGACCAGCTGCATGATCCTGCTCTACTGCCTCTCCACACCACAGATCCACTTCAGTCTGCCTGAGTAAGACTCATCACACTGATGTATATTCAGTCTCTGAAGAAACATCATGTGAAACATTCAGTATATCAGTTTTCTTCAGTAATAACTGTGTTTTAGAGGTGAAGTCATTTTTCAAGCAAAAAATGCCTCTCAAATGTGATGGTTTGATGATTTTCTTTATTTTGTGTGGGAGTAAGCATTATCAATGCATTTATCATTTGATTGTTTTCCCTGTTTTCCTCTCATTAGGGTTCCAGTGCCTTACTCCTGTGCCCACCGTCCATCCCATCTCCACCCTAAACCAACCACAAACAGCTCACACCAAACTCATGGCCAGACCTGCGCTCCTAAAGTCGATATAATGTTCATGAAGACCCACAAAGCAGCCAGCAGCACCTTCCTCAACATCCTCTTCCGTTTTGGAGAGAAGCACAGGCTCAAATTTGCCTTTCCTAACAGCAGAAATGACTTCTTCTATCCATCTCTTTTCGAGCGCTCCCAGGTAAAAGACTACAGACCTGGAATGTGTTTCAATATTATCTGTAATCACATGCGCTTCAATGCGCCTGAGGTGGCCAAGTTGCTCCCTATGGACACTTCCTACATCACTATTCTGCGCGACCCAGCAGAGCTTTTTGAGTCGTCATTCCACTACTTTGGCCGGCTGGTGCCTTTTACCTGGAAGATACCAGGTGATGACAAGCTGACTGAGTTCCTACGTGACCCCCATTACTACTTTGATCCACAGGGCTTCAACTCTTTCTACCTCAAGAATCTGCTGTTCTTTGACTTCGGACAGGACAACACTCTGGAGCTGGATGATCCTCGGGTAGAAGTAGGAATCAAATCCATCACTGACCGTTTTCAGCTGGTCATGTTGGTGGAATACTTTGAGGAATCACTCATCCTGCTCAAGGATGCCCTCTGCTGGGAGATGGACGACTTGCTCTTCTTCAAGCTCAATGCCCGCAAGGGATCCACTGTGTCTAAACTTACCCCTGATCTGAGGGCCAGGGCCCTCAAGTGGAATGCTATTGACTGGAAGCTATACCAGCATTTCAACCAAACCTTTTGGAAGAAAGTAGATGCATATGGACAGCGGCAGATGGCTGAGGATGTGGCAGAGCTCAAGAGAAGGAACGCGGAGATGGCATCCATCTGCATTGAGGGGGGTCGTGCTGTGGAAGCTGGCAGCATCCAAGAGACAGCCATGCAGCCCTGGCAACCCATCGGAGAGAAGTCCATCATGGGCTATAACCTGAAGAAGAATGTGGACAAGGCACATCGGAAGTTGTGCCGTAAGATGTTGATGCCAGAGCTTCAGTACTTAACAGAGCTTGGTGTGAACCTGTGGATCACCAAGCTGTGGGGCCATGTCCGAGATATCATTAACTGGTAACTAGACATGTAAGAGCAAGAGGGGCCAATTCAACTCTGAAAGACTGTCTTCAAAGAAGAGAAATCTGACTGTGTGGCTGACAGAGAGCGGTTAATAGCTTCTGTCACATTTCCTGTCTCATTTTGTTGCAAATGTATTTGCATTTCATATGATCGTGCACTGTAATGTATCTGATGGGTGCTTGAGAAAAAAAAATACTGTTGACCACACAATCGACAAATACTGAACCACTTTACTACATGCAATTGAGGCCTAGTATTGTTCTCTGTGTTTATGAGTCAAATTTCAGACATTAAAATGTTCTTACTTTCAGATGTGACCTTGTGCTAATGGAGCAGTTGATTGAACTACAAAGTTGAGGACAAATTTTATAAGCCCTTTGATGGAATCAAGACCCATTGTTGCCATCCCTGCCAAATTATTAAGGTTTTTTGAAGACATAGAAAGAATCATACTTCACTTTGAGCTAAATGTTGTCCAACTCTTTGGTGTCCATCCCCCAAAGTTGAAGCATTTAAATTCTGAGAGTCCCCTCTAACAGCTAAAATACAGATGTGAAAATAGTGAATGTATGTTTAAGTATTCCATCCCACATTATTGTCTATGGAGGACAAAATCAGCCATCATTAAAAAAAAAAGGTAGGTGAGTAAACACTGACATTTCTAATAACACTTGTCACTCGTCAGAACAGGGAAACCACAGGTGCAACTAATAGCATTAACGATCACTCTGTTCCACGGCCCCAGAGCTACATCATCTAAATCAAATGTGGCCATAATTATTGTTATTAATTACACCTGTGCTTGCCCTGCAATGACATGACAAATGAAAAAGGTCTGATGAATAATATGCAAAGAAGTGAATCAATTAAATACAGAGTACAGCACTATTCAATCAAGAAGAAAAATAATTTCTTTATTCATTTACTTTCCTTATCAGTTTTTACAGAATATGAAATATTAATATTATGTTATTATTATGTTGTTTTCTGCTATATTATATAACATTTTTGCTGTTGTAGCCAATTCTGCTCTTTCTCCTGATATCACAATGTTAATCCTAATAGCATTCGCCCTTGCCGGGTGTCTTGGTAGGTACAATGATGATGTAGTGGGACTTTGTTGTGTAGTGAGCCAAAAAAAAAAATCATTGTCAGCCAAGTAGGGTAAATCCGTTCTAGAAAGGCACTATGACAATGACTAACAGCATTAGACACCACCTACAAGTGTTTACACAGCATCGTAATCATAGCCTGCAGAAATAAAGGAAATTAAATTGAGAAATAAATAGATGTTTTTCCTGATAATGCACTGTATCACTTATTTATTTCTTAATTTGTGCACATTCACCTACATATTATTTTTGTGTATTCTAGGCATTTAATATTTTGTTTATAGTCTTTTGTATTCATTAATGGATTCAGTTATTGATTAATTTATCTGTAATTTACTGATTTTGTCCTCCATACATTTCCCCATCGCTCCCAGCAATATGTGATAATCTTTTTATCCTCAAAATAAAGTGAAAATTACATGTAATACTGCATGTATTAAATGTCTGAGTCATAAAGATTGACAGCTTCGTTTCTCTCTGTCTGTGATTTCATCCTTTATATGTATAAAATTAGCAGGATTGTTCTTGATTTAATATGTATGAAGGTAGCCTATATGACATCCCAACATCTTTGAATAAATAGTTGGGTCTCTGTAAATAATAAAGAGAAGGTCTAGACCTGCTCTATTTGGAAAGAGCCTTGAGATAACTTATGTTGTGAATTGGTGCTATACAAATACTTGACTGAGTTGACTGAGTTGAATAAAAAAATATTGAAAGTATGGACCAGGATAAATGACTCCCAGTTCTTCAGTAAGTATGTTAGCAGTGCCTATAGAGAATGAATACTAAACAGGATTGTCTTGTTAAAATTAGTTTGGAATGCAGATAGTATACCAAAGTGGAAAAGCTGTATCAGGAGTTCCCCATTGACCCATTACATTTTTTTCAGTATTAGAAAATCCTAATTACACCCACTGTAATCTACTGTTCTAAAAATAAAACATTAAAAATCCAAGGAAGGGTGAGTATTTTTATGTGCAACAGTTTAACATGCTTGGATTATGCAAATTATGCCTCTGAATAGTTAATACAGAGCTGTAGAGAAATGCACCAAAAGTCATGTATTAACTAACAGCTTATCAAAATTTACATCTGATGACCTGAACGAGTATGGTACAAACCCTTTGTTAATGACTCACATTTAAAATTTCAGATAACTCAAGTTTGTCTGTCTACTAGAAAATGGGAGACCAGTGACTGAATTAACTCATTATCTAGGCTACATTCAAAAACTGTTGATTTCATGGCTTATTGGAGATGATGATTTTGTTGCCCTTTATTAATGCGTTACACATTTGTGCAAAAAAATGCATACTTACTTCTCTTGCCCCTGTTCAGAGTGGTAGAGAGGCCGAGCAGAAGTTGTTACCCTGACTGTGTATTGTGTGAGATACACAAGCAATCATTTCTCAATATGGACATCAAAAAATCACAGCACAGTCTTTGTCCTTTACTTATGTGTATGGTGATTTTGTCAGACAAACTAAATAAGGATTTTCGCAGTGCAGAGCATCAGAAATGTCTTGGAAGTTAACATTTAGTCTTAATGGGCTTGTTCCGTTGTCTGACAACATAAACAGAAAAACGTGTGAATGAAGTGCAAACAGCCTTAATGGAAATTCGGCCGTATTAAAATAGACGCAGTATTAAACAGTATTAAACAGTATGTGTGAGCGCAGAGAGTAGGAAAGCAGCAAATAGATGAAGAGTTGAAACCAGCTAACACTAGGCAAAAAAAATCCAAATAGGATAAGGTCATGTAAGCTGTTTACAGCGGTTCCTCAACAGTTTTCAAAAATCTCCTAAATTTCACACCTTGACCATAGCGGCCCAGCCATGTACTAGATTTCTTGATTTTACATTAGAGGAAGTGAAGTACTCACCAGGCTCACGGGGGCGTGGTTGGGCAATTGTGCGCTTTAATGTCAATCAGCACTGTTGTTTTGCCAGTTTAGTCTCGGAGGCTAATGCCTTACTACGAATTCATTCAATTATTGTACATACCAGCTGGATTTTGAAAAGGTTACGGAGGCATTTTAGTGTAACGTTAGTCGCTATAACTTTTCATTCGCTGTTTTTGTTTGTCTTGAAGCTTAGCACTAGCATAAAGCTAGTTAGCTAGTCAGGGCTAGCCATGTTAGTTTTTAGCATCGCTAGAAGCTAACTGTTAGCCGGAAGACCACGGTCCTCTAACGTGAAATACGGACTGTTGTTGAGTAAAAACAGGCAATATAAATGCCCCACCTAAATTAGAGGTGGCAGAAACATTAGCTCTCACACTGGAGGACTGACATTGACGATGGCGTTAATTGTGGACGTCCCAGCAGATGAGTGGCCCTGAGAAGTGATTCAGCCCGATGAGTTAGCAACAATGTCTTGTAAATCAACTAAAGTTGCCCCAAGTGTTGATTTCGACCACAGTTGTTCCGACAGTGTGGAATATTTGACGCTCAATTTCGGCCCATTTGAGACTGTCCATCGCTGGAGAAGGCTCCCTCCGTGTGATGAGTTTGTGGGTGCAAGGTAATATGTTGACAGATGAGTTGAAGCAGCTTCACTTAACCTGGCTCTTTACTGTCTTATATTCACCATATGATATTCTACTCTTATTACACTCGCTCTGAACTTCATGTGGATATATGCAGGCGCAGCAAGCACACTGTTGTGGCATACAGGGATGCCATCTACGTGTTTGGGGGAGACAATGGGTGAGTACTAATGTACAGTGACATGCACTTTTACTTATTGTCCACTACATGCAGTTAAATTCTGTGTCACCCAACAGGAAGAACATGCTGAATGACTTGCTCCGCTTTGATGTGAAGGACTGCTCATGGTGTCGGTAAGATTGCAGCCTCTGTATTCCAGTAACTATAATATATGAAGTATAGTATAAATATAGAACATGGCCTGATGCCTTCTTGTAATATATTTTACAGAGCTTTCACCACTGGAACTCCACCTGCTCCCAGATATCACCATTCAGCTGTAGTCTATGGCAGCAGCATGTTTGTTTTTGGTGAATTTTTACACTTGTCATCTTCAAAATCAGTTGTCATTCATTCTACACTTTTCAAACTCATGTGATATTGATGTTGTATTGTTGGACTTTAATATGTTCCAGGGGGATACACTGGAGACATTTACTCAAACTCAAATCTGAAAAACAAAAATGACCTTTTTGAGTACAAGTTTGCCACAGGGCAGTGGACTGAATGGAAAGTGGAGGGGAGGTAATGTATTTTTTAAAGATGTTTAAATTGTGTTTCAATCTGTTGTTTCAAAAGGGTTGTTTCTCTTTCAAGAACAAATGTGGGAGTTTATTTGTATTTAGGGTAAGGATGTGTTTAGGGTTTTGAATATTAAAAATCAAGGGAAATGTATTAAAAATGCTATTTAGTATTTAGTAGTGCCACCAGAAGTTCAATTATCAACATTAGCTCCCTTTGCATATTCTTAAGAATGGAGCGCAACCATTTTTGTTATTCATGTTCTGTCTCTGTTTTAGCCTACCAGTGGCTAGATCTGCACATGGAGCCACAGTCTACAGTGATAAACTGTGGATATTTGCTGGCTATGATGGAAATGCCAGGTATTTTTATTTTGTTTGTGGATGTCTCAAAAGATAAAAACAACCACTTTGTTTTATTGCACATAATAAAAGATATTTTCCCCACGTGCAGGCTGAACGACATGTGGACCATCAGTCTGCAAGATCGGGAACATGCATGTTGGGAAGAGGCTAGTATAACGAATTTCCATAGTTAATGAGAAGCTCATTAAGAGTAAAATGCCCAGAAATACTGTATATGTTTGTGCTAGTATCTCTGTCTTTGTGTCCATCAGATTGATCAGAGTGGTGAGATTCCTCCATCTTGCTGCAACTTCCCTGTAGCCGTATGCAGAGATAAGATGTTTGTGTTTTCTGGTCAGAGTGGAGCCAAGATCACTAATAACCTCTTCCAGTTTGAGTTCAAGGGCCACATGTGAGCAAAGCCTTTCCTTGCATACTTCTGACACTCATCCCTGTAGTTGCCAATGTTACATGGCACTAATCATTCCTGTTACTCCATCTTCTCAGGTGGACACGTATCCCAACCGAACATTTACTGAGGGGCTCCCCTCCGCCACCTCAGAGACGATATGGCCACACTATGGTTGCTTTTGACCGCCACCTGTATGTATTTGGCGGTGCTGCTGACAACACTCTGCCCAACGAGCTGCACTGCTACGATGTGGACTCTCAGACCTGGGAGGTGATCCAACCCAGCCTGGACAGTGAGGTACAAACCAAGTACATTTCAAAGTTTTTTAAAAATAGATAAGAATAATAGATAATAGATAATGAAACCAGTTGAATTATATAAAAATATGATTAGGCAACAGGCTGAATTTTAAAACAACTTGTACTCCTGCATTTTCCTGCATTTTCTAATAAATGCTAAATTTGCTCACTTTGCCTCTGTTTGCCTCCTCAGATGCCCAGTGGGAGACTCTTTCATGCTGCTGCTGTGATTCAAGATGCCATGTACATCTTTGGGGGGACAGTGGACAACAATGTGCGCAGTGGGGAGATGTACAGATTCCAGGTTAGCGTCTTAACATTGTTGTCACTGAAATATAAAAAACTTTAGCTTTATGTATTTGGCATAATTTCAGCATTGTGGTCAAAAGCCTTCTAAAAGGAAAGATTGTGGGCTTGATATACAGTACATGATTCTTCAAGCTTGCTTGGAGAATAGATATGATAGTTACTCCAATTCCTCCTAAAACAGTAATTTTCTTCTTCTTTGCAGTTCTCATGCTATCCGAAGTGTACTCTCCATGAGGACTATGGCAAACTGTGGGAGAACCGTCAGTTCTGTGACGTGGAGTTTATTCTTGGAGAGGTAGGCTTTTTATGTGACAGTAGGACTACACTGATATGCAGCTGAGAAAATTTTGAAAAATTACAAGACTTTCACATTTCTCTACTAACATGTTTTGAGGCATTATGTTTGCGGGTTGTCAATCCATCCATATGTCCATCCTTCTCATTCTCGTGAATGCAATATCTCAAGTGAATCCCTTCAAATCTGGTACAAACATTCCCTTGGACTCAAGGATGAACTGATTAGATTTTGGTGGTCAAAGGTCAAGGTCACTACAAATTACAAAACACAAGTTCATACTCTAATTTTGACACAATATAACACAAATGTCTTATTAGGATAAAATTATGAAGTGATGACATCTTATGTCCAAATGGTCCAAGGTCAACTTCATAATGTTCTACAGAAACACTTCTGGCCATTATTAAACACTGCAGCTCCGGAAGGGGACCAGATTTCCTGAAACTTGGCTGGTTGGCAGAGGCATACAACTGCTAGGTAGTAATTCTGGTTTCCATCTGTCTGACTCCTTCTTTGTTTTGTTTACAGAGGGAGGAGAGAGTCTTGGGGCACATTGCCATAGTGACTGCAAGATGTCAGTGGTTGCGTAAGAAAATCCTGCAGGCTCGGGATAGGCAGCGACAGGTCAGAGCCACGCAGCAAGTACACCCCATTTCTGCTGAGACAAAAGAAGTGTATCTATCAGTGTTGTCAGAATATGTTTATACTCATGAAACATTTGATAAGAAAAGTCAGACAGAGGCATTTCTAGTTCATGTCAGTCAAATATCACACAGACCTAAAGACGAGGAAAACACAAATTCACACAGTATCATGAAATTAAATATCATCAAATTCACAGATGATCTCTAGTCACATCAAAAGACTGATGACATACTGATATCATTGTTTTGTGCAAAACAGCAATAGCAACATCATTTATGAGGGTCACACATGCTTGTAGTTCGGATGCAAAATCAACATAGCTACTATTAGAACACTAAACATTTCCATAATAAACAATGGTAACAGTAAGAGGTCATTAGTGTATAGAGCTGGAATGTTAAACAGAAAGAGTTGCATAATTTGCTGTCTCTCTGTGCAGAAGACTAAACAGGAAAACAGCGAGGAGAATGATGAAGGGGCAGCTGGAGGCCCGAGGGATATCCCAGCAGGCAACAGGCCATCGGGCACACAGCCGATGCTAGAAGTATCCATCAGGGAAGCGGAGGCCCAGCCTTTTGAAGTCTTAATGCAGTTCCTCTACACAGACAAAATCCAGTATCCGCGCAGAGGTAGCTACCTCCTCATGCCTGTCATGTTTGGATGGGGCAGTAATCTCAAATAGAGAGAAAAAGTATTGATTATTTGTTCTTGTCTCTACGTGTTTACATAGGTCATGTCCAGGATGTTCTCCTGATCATGGACGTTTACAAACTCGCTCTTAGTTTTAAGCTTTCCCGCCTGGAGCAGCTGTGTGTACAGTACATTGAGGCATCTGTCGACCTGCAGAACGTTCTCAGTGTTTGTGAAAATGCCAACAAACTGCAACTGGACCAGCTCAAGGTACAACCAGATAACTGAATGAACACCAGCTGCAAATTTCATTTTTACTGCTAACCAGTGGTTGAAGTTCAGAGTGTCTTTAGTACAATACATTTATACTTTCAATCAAAAGAATCGAATAAAGATCTGCAGTTCTGTGTTACATTACTTTTTTAAAACGTTGATGCTAAGGAAAGAGAAATGATCATTTATTTCAACATTCACTCTGACAAAATATATTTTTCCCCTCAGGAACATTGCCTTAATTTTGTAGTGAAGGAGTCACACTTCAATCAGGTGATCATGACAAAGGAGTTTGAGCATCTGTCCACCCCTCTGATAGTGGAGATAGTGCGGCGAAAGCAGCAGCCTCCTCCCAGGTTGTACTCAGACCAGCCTGTGGACATTGGGACCTCCTTGGTGCAGGACATGAAGGCTTACCTGGAGGGAGGCGGCCTGGAGTTCTGTGACATTATTCTACTGTTAGACGGACACCCACGACCTGCACATAAAGCCATACTGGCAGCCCGATCCAGGTAGCGACAGCTCAGGTTTTATTATCTGCTTTGTGCACATAGAGCAGCCAGAGCTGTTTTTGTATGTTTTGCTGGTAAAAACCTACCAACCACAAAACCAAGTATTCAATCAGACTCAACTCTCACTTTCATCATTTATGACAGTTTACTTAAACTAATATGTACTTGGCCCAATATGAGGACAGGGGTTACCAATAAATACATTTTACATCATGTGAAAATGTGCAAGAATCCAAGGGGGAAGGCTGCATTATCAGTCACTATAGTTGTAGACACTTCAATTTCAGTGAAGTGATGATTCTGACATTTTGTACTTTTTGCACTTGTGTTCCTCAGTTACTTTGAGGCGATGTTCCGCTCCTTCATGCCCGAGGACGGTCAGGTTAATATCTCTATTGGTGAGATGGTTCCAAGTAAGCAGGCCTTTGAGTCCATGCTGCGTTATATCTACTATGGCGATGTCAACATGCCTCCAGAGGATTCCCTGTATCCTTCTCAGATTCAGACAGCCTTACTTTCATGCCTCTCCTAGGCACAGCCCTCAAAATTAAAAAAAAACATCTCAGACATTTATTTAAAAGAAATTATGAATGAGTCGTTTGAAGGCAGCTCCTGAGTTGAGACACTGCTTCTATTCCTTAAGCCAGAAAATACACATTTTGGTAGCAGAGTGGAGCTGTGGTGAGGTGGGATGAGAAAATCTTAACCATAATGGCTGAGTGTGATAAACCTGTCTATCGAGGTTTTGTCTTTTAGAAAAAAACGTCTTGATTTTGTTTTTGTTTTTACTTCAATGTCTTAAGTTTAGGTATAAATTTGGAAAAGGATATGTTTAAGTCAAGATGGGAGGAGGTTTAAGATAGGTAATGGTTTGGCACAGTTAAGTTTAGGTTCACTATAGGTTGTCAACAGTCACCATCTAGTGGCCATTATAGAACTGCAGCCTAATGCACCGCTGCTTTGGCTTCAACTTCAAGGCATTGTGGTTGCTGCTTGTGCAGGATACAAGACACGAAATGTTTTATTATCATCATTATCACCTTTTTGCAGTGTTGCATAGAGAGAAAACTTTTCTTTCACTTCCTTGACTCTTGCCAAAAACAGCTATCTGTTTGCTGCACCATATTACTACGGGTTTTCCAATAACAGGCTGCAGGCTTACTGCAAGCAGAATCTGGAGATGAACGTCACTGTGGAGAATGTCTTGCAGGTATTTATATTTTCACTCGGGGGGGGCAGTGATTTAATGTGACAATGCTGTCCCTTCTTGAAGATTTTTTTTATGCAGGGTGAATCATTTCTTCACTCACTTCTCCCTTGATATTTTCCCCCTTTAGATTCTGGAGGCAGCAGATAAGACCCAGGCTCTGGACATGAAAAAGCACTGCCTGCACATTATTGTCCACCAATTCATTAAGGTGGGTGGGCTTGTATCCGGAGCCCTGGGTGTTTGCTGCCCACTCACTGCAGCTGAGCTAACCCTGTAGCCCCATCGTCTTAGTGGGAGGCCGACACCTTTGGCCTCCTAGTGGATCACTCTCCATCTTCTACGTAGAAAGGAGACTGTTTACAGTCCAGCCGGCTGTACAAGCACCTCATCACATACCGATGAGGGTCATAGTATCACTCTGATTATTGTTTGTTATTCAAAGAAACAGCAAAGCACTCAATTCTCACCCCACTTTGCTGGAGTGTTAATATTTATGTTAAGCTTCTTTCTGTTTATCTTCATTTTTTGTGCATGAGCAATCAAGTGCTGCTTATTCCTCTGTTTGACTCATCATTGTCTTTTCTTAATTTATTGCTCATTTTTTTCTTTTGTTTGCTCTCCTCCCCTCCCAAAGGTATCCAAGCTCCCCAACCTGCGGTCTCTCAGCCAGCTGCTGCTGTTGGACATCATTGAGTCTCTAGCTACACACATATCAGACAAACAGTGTGCTGAGATGGGCTCCGACATTTAGGATGACGCCGAGAGCCGGGCTCTTTTGTCCTCTCACAGAAGCCATACACCTCTGCTCCACCTACTTCTAGTCATTCCCTCCTCCCCAGCAAACATTACTTACCTTTATGTTGGACCTCGCATGTCTCGACCCTCATACAGTAGATGCCTTTAATACATGCAGTATCAACGTTGTTCTTGTTTCTCAGTCTGCATCTCAGTGAGGAGTGAAACTAGTGAAGAAACCAAATTCTAGCTCAATGACAATTGTTAGTTGACCTGAAAAATCCCCTTTTATGTTTAGTTTGTAATTTATTAATTTTGTATACACAGAACAAAGCTTTAGCAGGTTTTTTCTGCTCAGTATTGCTGCTGCATTTTTAAAAGATATGCAGTGCACTGTAATAATTCACACTTGTGACACTATAGAAAGTTCAAGTGTTGCTCTCAGCTGTCCTGAGATATCTGCTCAGATACATTCTCAGTCATCCAAATACAACTTAATCAAAGTATACCATTAAATGGATTATTTATCCAAATATGTATTCATCACTTGTATTATTCGCAGCTCTGTCACAGTTAACAAACCTGCCGTAAAGAATCAAGACCATTATACGAAAATAATGAGAATGTATGTCTGTCTTACAGCTGTTTTTGTTTAATGTTCTTGTCATTGGCACACATCTTTGTAATACTAATCATCTCTTACCATCACTAACAGACAAGCTCTCTTCTTCCATACGATATAGCAATGATTATTTAGTGACACCAGTATGCTGTTGTTAAATATTTACCCACACAAGTTTCGTATATTTAAAGCCTTAATAAATCTTCTCATACAAAATAAGTCATAATATACTGAGTCTTTATGTCCCCCATCCACCCACCCACCCTCCACTCTAACCTTTAGTGCCTCTTGTGAAATGCAGAACCAGTCGAGTCTTAACTCATCTTGATGCCCATGTGGAAGTCTGTCATTTCTTGAATATCCCAATGTGCCTCTATAGGTGTCTGTTCTGAGTAAACTACCTAGTATGTAATTACAGTTTTTGCACAACCATCATTTGGCAGTTATCATTACTCAGCAAATACACACCTTGAAGTTGCCTTTAAATTGTCCTGCAATCCTGCAAAGAGCATGCACTGGCTTGACTCAGCCTCATATCTACATTGTATCAGCTCAGGCTGAACTACAGTTCGATGGCCAGCTTGATAGGCAGTTCCATCTGTTCATCTCAGTTGTGCCTCTGTCATCCCTGCCTTGTGGTATTTATGATAGCTTGGATTAAAACTGGAGGTCTCAAAGTTGTAAACAACTTAAAGATATATGTTTTAAAAATAAGCAATTAGACTATTTCTTCGGAAAATCTCAATTTCCAGTGGAGTATTCACAAATGTTTTTGTATGGAATAGTGGCACAACTCTAAAATTCTTATACAGACCCCTTGGCTTGATTAATGCTATTGTAACCTATACACTATGTGAAAAAGCTGAAGGTTAATCCTTGACCTTTCATCAAATTAGCCATGTCCTTTAGTGGTTTCAGTTTCCACAGATCTGTGGTTGATAAGGTCAGACAATGTGTCTTGTTTTGAGAGAATGAATTCCTTCGGCTTTCTTGAGGATTATTGCATTTGCAAGGATTTTAATGAACTCCAAGTGAGATAAATTAATATTTTTTAGGTTAATTGCAACCTCTTCCAACTTCTTTTTTTTTAAAATACTTGTTCTCTTTAGGCCTTTTTGACCATTTCATTTGGAAGATGTAAAGTAAATTGTGTCCATGGGATTAAGAAATAAAGGTTGACCTAAAAGCTGAGGCGTTAGACCAGGTTTGCTGTTAGCTGCCAGTTAGCTGCAAGATCTGTAGAGACCCACAGTGGAATTCACAAAGTGTTGGACTATTTTGGACTCCGAAAGAACCGTTGCAGTGAGCACAAAGTGCTATTCATAGCCCAGATACCTGAGACACTTGGCAAATCAAAAGCTCTGCCTTGGATTTCTTTAGAGTGTAAAGGTCTTAACTAAAATAATGCCTGACTCATCAGTGATACTCATCTGAAATAACTGCAACTTTAAAAGATAGACTGAACAGGTCATTATACTCATGCCTGGGATAGTGTTTAATTATTCTTTATTATATGTGTATGCCCCATGCCCAGCTTGCTCATGTTTCATTCATTTAAATCCACTTTCGTGTCCACACACACAGCCCAGAATCCCACTGGACATATCCAGTTTCATGTAAAAACAGAGTTCATTGTTCACTCTGGTGATATTGAACACTGAAACAAAACAGTATGTCTGTTGTCTGGATTATCTACCACTGGTGCCTTTTATTAAGGAGGCTGAATAAGTGGGCTGTTCAGGTTGGTCCAGCTACTTCAGTAGGTGGGACGGGCTATACAGAGGCACTCTGGATCTCCCAACCTGTAACATAGACCTGAGCAGAACTGAGTGTGTATACACAGAGGCACAAGATGGTTTTTCTAACAACTAAAATAATGCAAAGGACTGCACTCTTTGTGACGTTCGGGGGTTTGGTTACTTCTCTGATCACCACCTTCCTTCCCCTGTGGAAGACAATGAACTCCGACCTGAACGAGGTGGAGAACTGGTACTCTGGGTTGTGGCACACCTGCCTCTACACGGAGGAGGTGGGAATTCAGTGTAAGGCCTACGAGTCCGTCCTTGGACTCCCGATGGACCTGCAGATCTCCAGGGTGCTCATGTCAGTGTCTATAGGTACAGGAGGTTTAGCCATGTTTGCTGCTTTTCCAGGTCTGGAGGGGGTTGAGATGTGTGTGGGGCAGCCTGGCCTGAAGAGAGGGCTTCTCATACTCAGCGGGATGCTGTCCTGGGTGTCGGGCCTCACCACTCTGGTTCCCGTCTCTATTGTGGCCTACACGACTGTGGTGGAATTCTGGGACGAGGGTTTTCCCGATGTGATGCCACGCTGGGAGTATGGAGAGGCAATGTTCTCTGGATGGTTTGGAGGTTTGGCTCTGGTCATCGGTGGGACCCTGTTCTTTGTAGCGGTGTGCATGAGGGACTACGACCAGCGGCCACCAAGTGTCCCAAACAGCCCGCAAGTGAAGCAAAGGACACAGCACTACCTGAAGACAGAGGTTTTATAGATTTCTTATTGTCAAATGTGTGTCATCTGCACCTTCATGTACTTTATATGGAAGCCTGTCGGCTTGTGCGCTTGAGTGATGAGATAATGACGTTACTTGTGAACTATTTCAATAGCTCTGACAAGAACAACATATTTCTGACAGAAGTGACATGGAGAACAAAAAGATTGTCCCCATCAAGTGATGCAACTGTGATGAGAATGAAGAAGTTTTCACAAACTATTAAAGTAATCTGAGATGATGAGCGACTGAAGTAGTTCTTATTCCTTTAAAGTCTTCAGTGTCTAGATATATAGGATAAGATGGCTTTTTGTATACCAGTATACATGCACCGTGGTGCAAACTGAACTGTTCTTGAAATAAGCTGCAATGCAAAAAGCAAACATTAACATTTAATATTACATATTTATGACCATGGAAGCAATCCATTTATCTGTAGGCTGACTTAAGAGGAACAACCCATCACCCAAATTAACAGGAGATGCATTCCAGTGCTGCAGCTCCTCAGTGTTGGATTTTGTTTCAGGGAGAGACTTGGCACCATCAGCTCCTCTTAGTCCTTAATGCACAGTTTGGCTTTGGTGTACTGCTGTACATTGTGGTGATTAGAACTGATCTGAAACATTTATGTCAGCTTTTTTTTGAGAGAATAAATGACTATTAAATGATATAATGAATACAAATGAATAAATGTGATCAGTTTGTGTCATATCAAGCCAGTTGAGTTTAACTTGCTCATTTGCTTAACTGGCACTGTTTAAATCTAATTAACAGTCAGCTTGAATCTCCCCCAATAACTTTTGACATTAATATTTTGGCAGGCAGTTGATTGTGTTATTTTAGCCAACGATGACATTCACTTCTCTCGCCTCTCTTAATCTGGGTTTTTGGATGCTGCAGCCCTCTCTGGTCCCTGCAGAACAGAGCCCCCCTGTCATTCAATTAAACTGAGTGATGTGTGAGTGATGTAAGGCGGCCCTCTCCACACACTGGGAGAGTCTGATCAGTCATCTTGTTGTACATGTGCTCGCCGCCCACTCTGGCATCCACTCAAACATGCTTTTACATGTGCTCGAGCACACGCAGAGAGCAACACAAACATACTGACACTGGAGCACATGTGCACGTGTCAGCTGTCAGTACACTGTAGAAATACAAGTACCCAATGTGGTGAGTGGAAATCTCTTATAATTGTTTTAACATCTTTGTTATTTCATTTGGAGACAGCAATCTGAAAACAGTGTAAAAGTTTTCGATGCTGCATCCTAATCATCATCCTGTGTCAATGCTGTCATCATTTCCATGGAAACGAATCTGAGATTATAAGGTGAATGACCTTGTCCCAGCAGTTATTTAAAGGAGAAGCACAGTTGCTCCCACAGTGGGAGCATAAGGAATGGAAATATCTCAGGAGCTCATTTCTATAATACTCAGTATACCTTTTTAATCCTGCTCCACCCTACCCCCTGACTGAAACTGGGATTTACTGCACCAACTGCACTTTCACTCTCTCTCCCTTTGCTGCACACCCTCGAAGAAGTGTAGCACACACATTTACAGCTTTCATCAGTCTGAAGAGTATTTTTCAGTGTCTCCTGGGAGGTCAGTATAAATACAATAAATGTCACACTGCTGAATTTTAAGTAGAGCTGATACTCCTGCAGCAGCACAGGCATGCAGCACAATGCATGCACAGTTAGCAGGCAGTGTGATAAGTGGGCAGTCAGACCAGCCAGTGCAGTGGGGAGAGTAGCAAGGCTTTGATCAGGCTTAACTGGCAAGTCAGGTCTTTGACATTTGAAGGGGAGGCTGGACGGATCTGAACAGAAAAGCAAGCACAGAGAGAGAGAGAGAGAGAGAGAGAGAGAGAGAGAGAGAGAGAGAGAGGAGACGGAGGGGTTGGGGGGGTGGCACGAGAGCAGAGAACGGTGAGAATTCCTGCTGTGTTAGCATCCCCTCAGCAACTCCATCAATACTGCATACAGCTGAGAAACTGGCAAAGGTCCCCCGTGCTGCATTTTCAGGCTCGGCCAGCGAAAGAGAGCAACTCCCACGACCGGTCGGCTCAAGTCTGCTGCTGGGGGGTGGGGGGCTCTGCGAGGGGCAGCGCGCACGCGCGCCCACACACACATACACACACACACACACACACACACACACACACACACACACACACACACACACACACACACACACACACACCAGAGCCTCTGCTGCATCAAGAGGCAGAAGAGGAGAGCGGAGGAGGGTACAGAGGGACACACAGACTGGGAATACTCCAGAGGACAGAGCCAATCCCGGAGAGGGACTGGACTGTAAGGAGACTCATGTGCTAATATGCTACCGTGTCCCGCAGGGGAAGCTGAGCACCGGGGAGTTTGACAGGATCTCAGTGCACCTGCTCCATGCTCACCGGTAAGCTGATTTATTCCTTTTACAGTCAGGGAAATGTAGCTACTTGTGATTTATTACTTTTTAACACGGTGTGTTTAGATGATGCTGACTTATTTCTTCAAGTGGATTTTGCCTGCATTGGTGCACGGTGCACACATACAGCACTTGAATGGAAGTTGTCTCAGGTACCAGCACTCTTCCCTGGAAAGCCATGTACTGTGGTGCAGTGCAATAACTGAAATCACAACAACAACAACAAAAAAAGACTGAGCCATGGTACATGGCAGGCTGTTAATCTTGTATCAAATCTGATCAGTTCTGCTACACACTTATGAAACAGGATCAAACACTCCTTCTACAGAGCTGGCCAAGTTGTTAATAGTCAGTATACATCAGTAACTCATTAAGATGCTGAAAAACAAATTAAAATGCTACAAAGCACACCTCAAATTTTATTTTTTGCTATTGGTTTTGACAGCAACTATGTGTGTATTTGTTGTTGTTTTTGTTGTTGTTGTGTGTGTGTGTGTGAGAGTGTGTGTGTGTGTGTGTGTGTGTGTGTGTGTGTGTGTGTGTGTGCGCACTGAGAAACTGGTCAATAGCAGAACTGTTGTATGGAAGCACAGCTCCTCTGTAGGGGGGTACACCCCTCTGTAAACCACAATTCTAGTTTTCCATGACATCATGGAGAAGTTATCGCTCAAAGCAGCAGCAAAATGACCTGACACACGTCGGTAGTGCCGTTGTTAACCAACTTTAGCTTCACAGACAAACATAACATACAGAGGTTTGGGTCAGCTTGATGTATTTAGGCAACTCGATTTAACCTGCTCGATGAACTCCATTGTGTAAATCAGTAAACAGTGAGATGTGATGGTATCATCTTTGTTGTCTTCAGCCACGTGGCATCTACAGTATGTATTATTTTATTCTACACTTTGTTGCTGAATTCCTTTTAAAGCTGAACTACAACCTCTGATAATCAGATAAAAACATGGTTTACATTACATTCAATCCTTCGAGACGACAACAGTAGGCAAGCCTGGTAAGAGGGCACTTTTGCTCAACAATTGTATTACACAATCTGGGGATGATTCCATGGGCTTATCTTGCATTTCACAAACCAGGAGAACTGAGTGAAGGAAAGAGGCGTGGTCAGATATTAAGACTTGTGAGCACTTGTCCTTTATCAGCTGAGGATCAGAGAGTCCTAATCATTAACCACAGGTTAACATACCCACCAAGCAAGTGTCTGAATTAAAACAGAGATCACCAATTTGGATTGTAAGGACGTGAATGAGCCACTAAACCAGCAGCTCTTCTTTAGCCCCGGTGGTGCTGCCTGTCCAGGGCCTAGGTAGTGCTGTAAAGTGACATGTAATTAACAAGAAGTGATTAAATGTCCACTGCATTTACTTTATGTAGATGTTGCGGCATCTGCTCCTCTGCTGCTGATGTTTATTGGTGAGGATCCGGTTTGTTTCTGGCTGTGAGGAATATGCATGCTGCTGTGAGAGGATCATGTAGAGCAATACAATTGGTGTTTGCACTCGTAGAAAGAAGTTTTGTTGAAAGTTTGAGTCCAATTTTGAGTGATGGAGGCGAGCGCAGCCACTTTGCTGTTTTTTCTCCCTCGGCCTGTTTATAGATCGGCCTCCTCGCCACCAACCAGGAGCTGCATTTTGCTAATTCTCCCCAACATTCCAGTAACAGGTATTACATTTGTAGGGGAGTGAGTGAAACTGACAGCTTGTTTGCAGGCAGGATTATTAGCACTGCTTGGGGACAGGCCCAACAGTGAGAGAGCGGGATCTGCGTCATATGTTGTGAGGACCAAATCTGCTTAACCTACTTTAGTTTTGCACAAAATATCTTGGACTTGCCGGAGCTGTTTGCGATCCAATTCGTTATTCATCAAATTTTCAGTGGTGACAAATGATTAAAGGGACAGCATGTGAGAGTGAGGCGAAACTCCTCATGAGCCTTCACCGCCCCTCTGAGCAGAAAGTGATTTAACATGTTGCTCTCTGTATTTAGTCAAACACACAACATCAAAGCCTCTGCTGTGCGAGCATGGCTGTTTACTAAGTGCTTGGCACAGAGAGTTGGATGAATAATGCAGGAATACAGCCCAAAAAGTGGCTTTTCCCACTTGTGGGTGATGCTCAGTTTGTTAAATCTTATTTTGACTTCATATTAGTTTCAGCAACAACTCGTTCAGTCTTGTATTTCTCAAACAAACAAGTTTGAGTTTTATTCCAGTGGCTCAGGGGTCACATCCCTTTAAGGGGTTACAAGATACTCTACTTATATTTGCAGTTTTTTATGAAAATATTGCATATATTGCATATTACATGAAACCATCAGGGAAGTTTAGAGGGAAAAATGTCTCTTTGGTGGAACTGCTAACAAGTCACAGACACCTGAGATGTAACAAGGCGACACAACTGCACATTGCTTTCTGTAAGAAGTCACGAAAGAGGTTGGGAATCACTGATTTAACTTTTGACAGTGTGTTGATATTTTTAAACCTTTTTAACCTAATCTGCAACGTCAATAGTAACAATAGCTGTCAAATAAATGTAGTGGATTAAAAAGTATAAAGTAGCATAAAAGGAATATATTTAAGTGCATGTACCGGACAACTGTACTTGTATAGTACCTGAGTAAATGTACATAGTTGCTTTCACCCACTCCAAACAAATACATAGTTTAGCTTCAACAACTTAATCTCAGCTGCAGCGTTGCGGACCAGTCAGAGGAGATCTTTCCATTTCTCATTTGTTCTCAGGAACTTTTTTCTAAGCAGCGCTCCATTCAACACTGCACACTTTTTTTTTTTTTCTCTGAAGTTCAAGGACGCTAAGATGTGCTCAGAATATCAAGCAGTTCTTTTGGTTGTACCTCAAAAGGATAATTTGGTGATGGATTGCACCATGAATGTTATACCTGCCATCCTAGCAGCCAGTGCCCTGTGAGTAACTAACTACTGTACGAGAGGGTGAAATACCAGAGCTGGCAGAAATGTGAGGGCAACGTGGCAACAAAACAAGGGGGATTTTGAAACTCAAGGGGCCCCTGCTTCCTTTTAAAGTGCAGTGTGACGAGAAAGTTAATAGGTGTCGGAGCGCTGTTAATATTTAACGGTTTCCCATGCAATATGCATGAACAAAGGTAACAATGTGTGTGGAAATGTTCCTAATTAACACAACTGCTTCCTTATTACAAGCACTAACATGTTACACACACACACACACACATCACAAATGATTTGAATAGCTCTCCTCAGAACTTGAAGTCTGTGTCTTTCTGACACTTAAGAGCAACACCAGGGATTTTTTTTGATAAATAACACAAATACAATCACTGTTCATAAATCAGGACCTTAAAAAACAGACAAATGGCGGCCATGTGAAACTGAAAGCAGTCAAAAAACAGACATTTCTTTAAAATCAACATAAACATAGAAACACACATTTTAACCTTTTATATCATGACAACACGACTCATCCTAATCAGACTTTACACTCATGTAAACCAGTGAGTCATATCAGTGTGTGTGTGTGTGTGTGTGTGTGTGTGTGTGTGTGTGTGTGTGTGTGTGCGCGTTGTTGTTGACGATGTCGTTCCCTCCGTCCATGCAGATTATGTGGAGGAGCTGACGTGTGCGATGGCCAGCTTGGACCTGCAGGTTCTCATACACACAGTCCTGTGTTGTCGTTACCTCCCAACCAAGCAGCCCAGCCCGAGGATCTGACCGCGCCTCCCCTCCCTCTCCCCCCTCCCTCCCTCTCCCTGGGTGTCCCTCGATCCTGGGCCCACCATGGGAGGATGCTTCTCCAAACCCAAACCAGGTAACCAACACGTTTTCCTATGCTCGCTCCATCTGTCTCTCTCTCCTTCACCCTGGTTCATTTAGTCTGAAAGGAAACATGCACCAATCAATCTCCAAAGCAGCTTGTGAAGGTGAGGATAAAGAGGCATATTGTACTGTAATACAACAAACTGTAATGTTAAATCCTTGTTAAAATGGGATCAAAAAGCTGCTGAAACACCTCTGTGGTGATTAGTTTACTTGTGCTGTTGTGGTAGTGGATTGCATAGTGCTGTAAGTTGTTATTTTGTCCTCCCTGACTATGTCATCTTGCTGTTAGAATTTCCAGTGCGGACACTGCGCGATGTGGTTGAAACAATTCTCACAATATTTCCTCTTATCCATATACATTACAATATATAAATGTAAATTTCCACTCCACAAAATACTGTAATCAAAGTGATGTTTACAGCAATGAACAATATTTAATTATTTATATCCTTCTCAGACACTTCATTAACTCAATTTGTTCATCTTACTCCGAAACATTAATTTGGGAAACAGACATTGGCAGAACAATCACACGATAACATCAAATCATCACATTATGATTCTCCTGAAAGTCCATAAATGATAACATTGATTCGCCAAGCCTGTAATCTGCAGCATTGTGTGCTGCTAGAATTTTATTTTAGGATTGAACCTGGACAGAAGTGTTAACTGTGTGCAGATGAAAGTTTAAGTCTGATGAATAGTTCATGTTAAATATGGAGAGTGCTGATGGTTTGAGAGAGTGTTTTCTTACAAGTCCTCTCTGCTTGTGCAGGTAGTTGTAGTAAAGATGAGGTACAGGAAAATATAGGTGTAATACAGTGATAATATTGATTTGTGTTTTTTTGTGTTTTTTGTTGTGATAACTAACGTGTTTTAAAAAATATATTTCAGGACAGTTTGTTCAGTTTGACTCATTTTCAAAGCTTCCTACTGCCTCCAAATCCTGTTATACACGTCCTCTCAGCCGCCTCTGTTTGCACTATAGCGTTATGTGTGGGAGGAATTTTAATGCTCTCTGTGGTATCTTTGGTCAAGAGGATTACATACTGACACATGAATATCAAATTTTGACACCGTGTGTGGATCCACTTCAGTGTTAGCAAGGCCGGGGGATTAGCTATCATGCAGTCTTGCAGGTGATAATCGCACACTCTGCTGCTCCATGTTCATCTTTAGTGACACACAAAAGCTTTGAGACCAAATCGACTGTTCAGTGCATCACGTGGAGGTGAAGTGAGAAAGATGAGGGTCGAGATGTGTGATGCAAACGACAGAACAGAGGCTGCTGCCAGTCAGCTCTGTGAGTGTCTGTCACAGTGTGACCTCCAGCTGCTAAACATTTGTGACAAATCAAACTTGACAGGAGTATCTATTAAAGTGGTCTTTCATACAGTGGGAAAGACAGTTCTTCTTTATAATTTATAGATTCACACAAGGAATCTGTGCATAGGCATGAATTCTGAAATGAGCCACTAGCACCAACAGTAAGTTCATTCTCTCTGTCACGTCCGTCTTGTGTTGCTGATAAAGACGCTTTGAGGAGACAGTGGACGCTTGTTTAGTTTACCATACACGTGCTTTACTATAATGTCTGGAGGAGCTCGATCAAGCACCTCATGATTTGTGGTTCATTATGGTGTGAGGAGAGATTTTGTGAATGTTCAAAATGAATTCTCAAACATTTGTAAACCAAATTGTTGAATGTAAAACATACACACACCTCCAAAAAGGTCTTTTTGTGATACTATTTTATAGATAAACAAAGATGTTTATGTTGCTTTGCTAAGGAGAGATGTGGTGAATAAATCAGGCCAACATCCACTGTGACTACAGGCTCATTCTTACAGTGAGTCATTTTGTCATTTTTCTGGGTTATGTACAACTTGTGGTTATTTGGACAAGGGAGGACATGGCAGTCACCAGTCCAGGGCTGAAGTCACTTATAGGTTTGAATTGTAGTCTTAAAGCATTAGATTTAAAAACATTACATTCACATCTTTCCATAAAAATATAAAAGCAGCCTGTTCTGAGACCTTAAACTGTGCGTGTGAAGTACAAATGTAGATTACTCCCACTGAGTATACTGTAAATATATAGTTACTGTGTACATTGAAGTGTTAAGTGGGAGTAAATTGGCACCGTGACAGGCTCTATGAGGGAGGGAGAGCTTGTAGACATGGCATTTTGCCCTCTTCATTTGCATAAAAATGTGAAGATGTGTAGAAAGCTTATGAATACTGCAAAATTATACATAAGGTTCAAGTGATCCCATAAATAAAATGTCTGCGTTATAGCTCTTAACATTGAAAAAATCAGAATAAAAGCATAACATAAAATGTTCTGGTTCTGAGCCAGACCACTTTTTAGTGCTGATCAAATGAGGCGTCAGTGTGGTGATGTCTCGTTTACTGCGGCAGCGTCTAGAGATTCTCTTCAGCTGTGGAAAGCTTTCTCTTTCTTTTCTCCAGCAATTGCACTCACTATTATGATTTTCCATTGATTTTAATTAAGACTTGCTCAGCAGGAGAAAATTCCAGCCAGATTACTGTGTAAGAACCGGATGATCAGCACATTTTTCCAGCCCAACAGATAAAGCCTGCTGCAGTGAAAAAGGAGTTACACAACCATTTTCTTAAAGTTCAGAAATATAAACCCGACGGCAGCGCATCACATGTCATCAAGGAGAACTGAATGTCTCCCGAAAGACAGATTAATATGCTCCACTCAGTTATAGTCTGTTTTCTTAACTGTCTCTGTAGGAAAGCAGTACTTATATGGATTTTTTTTGTCTTTATGTCAGTTTCTTTAACAAAAATCTCATTATTAATGGATATTATTATGACTGCATTTAAAGGCATTATTACCCTGTCAAAACCATATTTTCCAACTTAGTAAAATAATTTAGGTCAAGACAGAATGAGTAATGTGTTATTTGTTAAAAATTTAATGGCAAAATGTTGAGCTATCTTTCTGCATTTTTGTGGATTTTCTGCACCATAAAACTGGGGAAACTAATATGAACAGCAACAGTATTAAAATATGTCTGCACAGGAATGATTTGATTGATTTCCTGCTCTTTAGAAGACAGTCGTGGTGTGTTTTTTATAGTATTTAGAAAATCTGTATTCATATTGAATGTTGAAGAATCAAATGATAGCTTTATTCATTAGAAGGTAGACAACAAAACAAAACAAAGCAAAAGATTAAAGGAAAAGAAAAGGAGGTAGTGCACTTCGACAGTTCTCCCCTCACACGCTGCCTGCTTTCATTTGTTTCAGTTGTGGAGTTGTCGGACTCAATTCGTCCCAATGTTGTAGACGTTTCTCTGTGGGCGAGGCAAATTACTCTTTCAGGCAGAAATGAAATAACAGAGGACTGATGGAATATAATGCACTGGTGATTAGTAGCCAATATGACATCAACTGATTTCTATTTGAAAGCTTTGCAGCATCATTGTGACATTTTTGTGTTCAGACCTGCATCTTCAGACATTTTCTTAGTGAGATGTGTCTGTGTTGTGCAGTCGAAGTTAAAGTGGAACTCTCTCTCCTGGAAAAAGAAAAAGAGGTGGACGGGCTGTCACCTAATGGTAAAGCGAGTCCCTTTGCTGACTGCAGACCTAACGGGGCCCTGGGACACGGCTCTGATGACGACTCCACCCCGCTCCCCCCCTACCACAAACCACGGGACTACGTGGAGGCCTCGGTCTGTCATGTTAAAGATCTGGAAAATGGACAGTAAGAATATGAAAAATACAACTTTGTTTTTTTCTCCTCCATGCACCCTGAGCACACAGTCTCATGCACACATGCATGCAGAGGTAATTAAACAGCTGCGTATCCTTATGATGCACATCACGCCAATTTTATTTCCAGGATGATCAACTGAAAAACATATTCAAGTGAAATCAAGCTCAAGAATCCAGAGGGATATACGCTCATATGTTAAAGGACCAGTTCACACAGAAACACAAATAAACAATTTTTTCCTTTGTCGACTCATAAGAGACTCATTCACATCAGTGTTTATGTTAGTTTATTAGTAAGAGGACATTGCAGCAGAGAAATACTTAATATATGTTTGCATTCATTTAGAAACAGTGGCAGGATTAAACAATCTTTCCAGCAGGAAACACTGAGAAGTTCAGTACAGGCTGTATTACAGCAAGACAAGTGATTGTTCTTCAACAGCAACCACCTTGTGGGATAATGCTGAAAACTAAAAAGTACTATGACAGTAGCACAATAGAGAGGAGTCATACAGTCAAAAGCTTCATGAAGTCTTGTTTTAATTGTCACTGTTTTTTAATAACCTACTTTTTTTGGTGTTTTTGAGTGAACTTTCCCTGTAAGTTATTTGACTCATTGTTGCTACCAGAGCGTAGCTTAGATAGATGGATTTACATGCTGAATTGCGGAAGGTAAGTTATGGTCCTGATACGTCAAAATGACCTCTGTCTGTTTCTTTGGAGGTTTTAATCAAAAGACAGCGAAGAACACACAACACCTCTTTGCTCTTCTGTGTTTGACAGGATGCGAGAGGTTGACTTGGGAAGTGGCAGAGCTTTGTTGATCAAAGAGCACGGGGAGTTCTCGGCCATGGGCCACAAGTGTCCACACTACGGAGCTCCCCTGGTCAAAGGTGAGTGATATTTTGTCGGTCATGATTTTAACATATACTTATTAATACACTAACATACATTTGACAGACTTATCCATTTTCTGTCATGCCAGGTGTGCTGTCAAAAGGACACGTGCGCTGTCCCTGGCACGGTGCATGTTTCAACATTGCAACAGGAGACATCGAGGACTTCCCCGGTCTGGACAGCCTGCCTACCTTCCAGGTGACCTTCCCCGCCGGTGCTGTCTCTTAACACATTCCCTGCCTTATCATGTCTCTAAGCACCGTCAAAAAGTGTACCCATGGCTCATGTCTGTTTGCTCCAGGTCAGAGTTGAAAAGGACAAGGTGATCATTCGTGCAAACAAGCAGGTAACAAGAAAAAGAATGTGGAGAATTTATGCAGGAACATAAAAGTGACCACCGGACTGATCTGAGAACTTTCTCAAACATTTCCAGGCTCTTCAGTCACAGAAAAGGTCAAAGCCCATGGCTCGATGTTCAGCAGTCATTAACTCCAGCACTGGCTTCAGCCATGTTCTCATCATCGGCTCAGGTCAGTGTGTTTTTGTCCCTCCTCATTCATTTCCATAACAGGGATGCAGTTCTGTCTGTTTAATATCTCGCAGTTGACCCTTGATATTAGTCAATCACCTCTTTGTTTTGATAAACTGGTGAATGTGTCTGCAGGTCCGGCAGGTCTGGTGTGTGCAGAGACTCTGAGGCAAGAGGGCTTCACAGATCGCATCGTCATGTGCACCATGGACAGACATCCTCCCTATGACAGGCCTAAACTGAGTAAGGTTTGTACACAGACCCCGACCACTTAAAAGCTGAGACATAACTGACTTTGCCAAGAAAGTTATGTAACAAGACTGCAGAGGTGCTGCTTCAGTCAGTAGTGCTAAAGCAGGAGCTCTTTGGGGAACGGCTACAGCAGCAAAGCTTTGAAGAAAGTGGCTTGATCAGAAGGAAACAGACATTAGTAGATCAGAGGGAATATGAGTTTTGCCTAAAAAAAGCTTGAAAAATACAGTTTTGGATTTATTTGACATCATAATCATAGATTATTATTACAAATGACAGTTAAGTATCACTTGGTTCGTTGTTGGACTCAGTTCATAATCATAAAATAAGATTCCCACAGATACAGCAGGAAATCTCACCAAAAGGTCCACTCAGTGCCTCCCCTGGAGCTTTCGATCGTACCAAATGATCTTCCTCAACAGATGGTGTTACCCACTGTTCATGGAAATATAGATATTCAAATATCCCATTTTTTTCAGAGCACTGAAAGGACTCCTCGTCCATGTTAGCTTAAAAATTGAGAAGGACAGTTCATGCTTGACCTTGGCAACAACAGTTGACAAAAAAAGAAAAGGAAGATTGTTTTTGGATTCAGTGGTTTTTATTTTATTTTTTTACTGATGTGCTCAGCACTAACTCGCTAACCCTTAGTCCCTAGACAGCACAGCAGAGCAGCTGAGACTGCGCTCCATGGACTTCCTGCAGGACCATGACATTGAACTGCTCACAGAGAAAGAGGTGAGAGGTGGTAAAGACTGATTAATTATGGTTAATGATGTAACGATGGGTAATGGTAAATGGTAAAGCCTAAGGCAGTTAATTGATCAGTTCAATTAATGATTAATGATGGCGTTTTATACTTTTTATTCTGAAATCTGAGCTAAAATCCAACTTGTATGACTGTGTCTCTATCTTGTTTATTCAAGGCTGTGGCAATAGATGTGAAAACACGATCTGTGACCTTTGAAGACGGCTTGAGGATGGAGTACAGGAAACTCTTTATTGCTACAGGAAGCAAGTAATGAAACACTTTTATTTTGCATGATTATCAAGAAGCAGAGATACATTTATAAAAACTGACACCTGACTGCTTTCATTTCCTGCCTGAAAGACCCAAACCAATGAACTACAAAGGCAAAGACGTCAGGAACGTGTTTCACCTCAGGACGCCTGAGGATGCTAACAGCATAGCAAGGCTGGCCAACAACAAGAACGCTGTGATTGTGGGAACATCATTTGTTGGTGAGAAAAAGAAACATTTATAAACACATTTGTCCCGATTAAGGTCGGTGACAAAGAAAAAAAAACAGAAAGTGAGTTAGTGAAGTGTCAGTGGTTCAGAAACTTGAAAGATATGTGTTTTGATGATGGTGTCGGAAAGCACCACCTGACATTTTGGTCCAAAATCTTTAATCATAATAACGTCATTAGGTTTGAGCTCTGGGTCCGTATTTATCAAACCTCTAAGAATTACACTTAAGACTGATCTGAAGAGCCTTTTTAAAAAAAGTTATTTGCTGAATGTGAACATCTGTAATTTACTTTTTATTTCTGTGAAATCCTTACTATATCCAGTTACAATGAAAATGAAATTAACGACAATCTAATATATAGTATTTATAATATAAATATAGAGATTTGAACGAAATAAAATAAAATTGGCTGAAATGGAAACAAAAAGAAAACCCAATTCTGCTGCTGGTAGACAAGGTGCGTGAAATTTACAGTGTTTTTAAGTAATAAGACATTTTGCTTGTATTCTTCAGTTTGCTAATAGGAGTAATGGTGACAGATATTTTTTTTTAATTTTCACTTTTAGTTGCTTGATAATTTCAAGCCCCAGTGATAACAAAAGCCATAATGTATGATTTACATCATTTTCAGTCTCATCTAACCATTGAGTGACCACTGTCCGCTCTGTATGGAATAATCTGCATTTGTTTTACGTCTTCACTCGTGTTTCCCTAAGCTTTTTTAAAAAACATTTTACATTAACTGCAACACACATTAACTGTTTTTTGCTGTGCTGGCAGGTATGGAGGTGGCTGCAGCTCTAACTGACAAGGCCCACTCGGTCTCTGTCATCGGGATCGAGTCAGTCCCCTTTAAAAAAGCTCTCGGGGAGAAAGTAGGGAAAGCCATAATGAAGGTAGGTACGCACTCCTGGGAAATCAAGCTTTTCAGAACATGAAGCACCTCCACAATACTGTCATCAGCACTCTTCCTGAGAGGGAAAAAAAACCTACTAGTTGAAATGCAAATTGTGCATTTCTGGTCAATACCGCAGGACCCACAAAGGAGAATGTAAATCTTCTCATTAGCAGTGATTGATCATGCAGACACATGGAAAATCCAGCCGTGAATCCCCCCCTCTTACTGTTTTCATGTGTTTACTGTGGCTGTGGTGTGTCTTGTCTTTGCAGCTGTTTGAAGCAAACAGGGTGAAGTTCTACATGTTGAACGAGGTGTCAGAGATGATTGGCCATCATGGACAGGTATTCAGAAAGTGAGAGAAACAGCATGACATGATGCTCAGAAGCGCTATCCTCTCCTGTTTAATGTAACGAAGAAGATGAGCCAGATAAGAAACAAGAATATTCACCAAAATTAAAGCTATTTGAATTGTGTGCCAACTTTAAATACCCTGTAAATTTGGTTTCAATGTGCAACAGAATTCAGATTTTGAAAAGAAACATCCCACGTTTTATTATTATTAAGAGTTTAAGAGGCACAAAGTTTGCTTCGTCAGGAGTGTGTGAGTGTGGTTTGATCAGATGTAATTGACAGTGCTGGGGACAGAGACAAACAACCTCAAAAATTATTCAAAGATCTTGATTCAAATGCTTTAGAGGCTGTGTTCGAAATCACTTTCTATTACTATATAGTGCACTAGACACTAGTTTATTCTATAGTGAGCCTCCGCCATTTCATTGGACACTTTAATAAAGTGGTGGAGGCTAAATTTATTACACCGTATAGTGACTAAGGTGTAATTTTGCACACAGTGTGATTCATTTTCCAAATTAGAAAAGTAAGGACAAAAACACAAAGACTGAAATCTCTCATCTAAAATGACCTAAACAGCTCTAACTCTGGCAGAAAATTGTGTGTTTACTGTGTGTTTACTGTTTGCAGGACTCCATCGCTCATAGTACGAAGCTTATAGAAAAACCTCCATCTCCACTTTGTGTTCATCAGCTCACAGAGTTTTGTTTTTCCTGTTATACACAGCTGAAAGAGGTTGTTCTGAAGAGTGGAAAAGTCCTGCGGGCAGACGTGTGTGTCATCGGAGCAGGTGATGACAAACGTGTCCTCATTATCTGCAGAGACGTATAATTACAGCAGATGATGAAACTCCCCATTTGATGACATTTCTATTTGTGGTTTCCATGTTTAACCTCCTTCCTTCATGTGTCTCCTCTCTCCTGCAGGAAGTGTTCCTGCAACAGGCTTCCTGAAACAGAGCGGTCTCCACATGGACTCCAAGGGCTTCATCACTGTCAACAAGGTAATCTGCAAAGTGCTCTGCTCAACAAAAAAGCTGCAAATGATCCCAAATCCCCGAACTTGATAATTGTTATCCACTAAACTTTTTCCCAGATGATGCAGACAAACGTTGATGGGGTCTTTGCGGGAGGAGATGTGGTGATGTTTCCTTTCCCGCCACGCAACAACAAGAAGGTGAACATCCCTCACTGGCAAATGGCTCATGTACACGGTGAGTGTGTTACAGATTAAATCTGATAATATTTCACCTGCATATCTAAGGCTATTATACTTCACTGTGGTGATGACGTACATGCTTAGAGACAAACATGTTTTCAACCTCACTGACAGGAAGGGTGGCGGCGCTCAGCATTATGGGCCGAGCCACTGAGATCAAAACTGTGCCTTACTTCTGGTCAGCCATGTTTGGGAAGACCATACGTTATGCAGGTAAGTAGGCCTTCCATCTGTCGTTAGTTTAAAGCAGTGGTTCCCAACCTGTGGGCTGGGGCCCAATAGTGGGCCATGAAGGTATTGCAAGTGGGACGACAAATCATTTGCAAAATGGTACAATTATGGTTTAAAGAAAAAAATATATATATAGATCATGTTTTCAAATGTTTGAAAATGAAATGATCTTTAAGAACATTAAAATTTAAAAATGCTAAAAAATTATAAATAACTTTTTTTTCACTGTGGTAAGCCAATGATAGGAACTTTTGTGTTGTTGCCGCCGGACCACATTTTATACTTGTTTGCTATCTCAGTCTGATTGCATGCTAAAAAATTACGTTCATGGCAACAAGTATCAAAATAGACAGCTGGTTAGCAACAGGAGGAATTAAAAGGAAAGAGTCAAGAGGCAGATGGTGAATCGACAATTGATGTCTGCTTTCGGTTCAGTCCTGAATGTTCAAATTGTTATCATTAAAATAGAAAGAGCTCTGAGAAGGCATTATTTGGCCTCGTATTGTTATGGGATCAGACATGGGCCGCCAATATTTTTGAGATTTTCAAGTGGGCCATGAGTCAGAAAAGGTTGGGAACCACAGGTTTAAAGAGTTTTTGCTTCATGGGGCAGGAAGAAAGAAGAGAGAAAGAGAAAGAAGTGTTGCCACGACACTGCCATCTAGTTGTACAACTGAAAATAAAAACACAAATCAAGAATTAAGCCTGAATTGGATTGGGGTTTTTTTTTCTATTTGTGCAGGTTATGGTGATGGATTTGATGATGTCATTATACAAGGAGATCTGGATGAGCTGAGATTTGTAGCGTTTTATACCAGGTAAAGTTTATTTACTGTTGATTCTTAGTTTATTCTTCACAATACACTGGAATATTTAAAATAAAGACGCATTTGGTCTTAATACATTATTTTCCAACTCTATTTGTGAACTAATTGTAATCTTTTACTGTGAGTGTTCATCTAGTTTAATGATAATTTCTCATTGTTTCTTCCTCCGGTCGGACTAAAGGAGTGAGGAGGTGGTTGCTGTCGCCAGCATGAACTATGATCCCATTGTATCCCGAGTGGCAGAGGTCTTAGGATCCGGAAAGACGATTAAGAAACGAGATGTGGAGTAAGTCTGCTTCTCAGAACTAAATCTGGTCATGGTTACAATAGCCGTTATGTTCTTTAGGTTTCTCAGGTTTTTACTGTGAAGAAAAAAACATGACAAATGTTATCACTCTGACAGAAAACATGACAAGTTGCAGAGCTTGTGACTTTAATCACATGGAAAGTATTACACAAGTATTACATATACACATAGTATTATACAAGCCAAACACTTAAGATTCCTGTAAAGCAATAGCAGCAGTTGTTTTTTTTGCAGGCTTAACTAATATGGTGACACTTTATCTTGTGGGTAACATAATTTCCCACTAATTTCCGTAAATATTTCTTGGAAAAAACTGTCATTTAACACTAATTACAGGAAAAACACTAATTTATTTGCTTTTTTAAGAAAGAACTAAGAAATTATATAGTAATTACACAGTTATGTAGTGCTCATAATTAGGTAATATTTTTTAAAAGAATTGCTGATAACACTTCACTGTTAATAAGCAGACGTATATAAACATGTAATAGTTGGATAGTTTAACACACTTAAAGTTGTGAGCAGACATTGAAAAAACTTTTTTCTTTATTTTAATTTAATTTCAATTTATCCTTAACAGGTGTATAAACAGTAGATAGATGATAAATAACAATAACAATAACAGTGCAACATCGCTGTAATTATACTAAGACAATAGTGTTAATATTATATTGTCATTCAATATCTTTTTATGCACAAGCCAGTTATGAATTATAGCTGTTGACAGATACATTCATAAGCATTTAAACTGTCCTTATATCTGCTTACACCTACATTACAGTGTATGGTGGTGTGTTAAAATTGTTTATATACTCCTAATAAATGCTTAAGTGTTAAAGCTGATAAAATAAAGTGTTGCCTTCTCCATATCTGTTGAAATACTCACACACAGACACATTTGAAGTGTTTGCATGTTCAGACTCTCTTGGCTTTGCGAGGAGTTAAGTTGTAACATATTCATTTTTCCTATTATTAGTACCAAGTTACATACAGTAGTCTTTTTTAAGAGAACCCTTTTAAAGTTTACATCACAGTTTCTTGACTATTATTACACTAGTATATTATTACAGAACTGCTGGACCTGTGGTATTAAGTGTTACTACGTTATAATGTTGCTGTTGTTGGACACATTTCTGTCTGTTGTGTCGTTGTGTTTTTGGTCTAATTTGACTGTAGTGTTCTTCATGTCTTCCATGTCTTTCATTTCTAATAATGCAAACCAAAAAAATCGAAGGATGTTAGCACGACTTGGCAAGTACGGAAAAACATGAGCTTCTCCTCTTTTCCACCCACTCGTTGGGAGTTGTCACTAATCGACTTGATAACGTGCATGTGTCTGTGTCTCAGGGCTTTTTTGTTTTTTTGTTTTTTTGTGTTGCAGGACTGGAGACATTTCTTGGTTGATTGACAAAGGCTCTCAATGACTTCACATCTGAAGGTCCCAAAGGACACAGACAAAGTCCACTGGACACCTCAATATGGACACTTATGGTGCTGAGACACTGAGCAGCTATCCCGGTCTGGACATACACACTCTCTCTCTCTCTCTCTCTGTCTCTCTCTCTCTCACACACACACACACACACATTGGGAACAGGACCGTGTCTGTTTGAGACACACTTCCCTGAGGACGACTCTGAAACTTGCTTTTGTTCCTGAGAGACACAAACGGAGCCATACACGGTCTGAAAACCCTGAATCACTGTGTTGGCAGGTCTTTTATGATCATGTTGTGTTATATTTCACAACAAAGCAATACTGGTTTCAGCCTCTGTGCTGCTGCAAGATGTATCTACCTGTACACTTTGTTTATATGAAGCCAGGGATGGGCATTGGCATTTTTTTTGTACAAATAACATTGTATATAGCTATAATCCTGAATGCACTGTAACAACATAAGAACATACAATTTGAACTGAATTTTTCTAAGTTTTAAATAACAGATTTGGTTGTATTCTTGCATACAGACCTTAGATCTGCATGGTATAACTTTACTATAACAGGAGTTTAAAAAAAAAAAAAAGGCCCCAAAACAGAGATATGTCAATGTAGATGTATCAGCAAATAAATCTTAAATCTGCAACAAGACAAACTGCATAATCACCTCAGCAAAACCTTGAATGCAGCTTTAACCGACTCACTAACACACACACACACATACGCAGCTTTAATTTGTGATGAATTACAATGTTTAGGATTACAAAATACCTCCTCGTGTAGGTTGCCTTGCTAGTAGATTGCACAAATTAAATTCTAATCATACTTTGATTGTACACTAGTGCTTGCACAATAGATTCATGTATTTTCTAACAAACAGATATCACTGCTTTAGACAAATCCAATAGTAGCTTAAGATTATTTTTGATTTGATTTTACTGTCACCTCCATAGGGACATTACTTGTTACTAACTCAGGGAACTGAGGTTTGAGGCCTGGGCTTACTGGGGTTATTGGTCCTTTTGCAAGCAGAAATGAATTTGTTGCTTTAATATATATTTTCCCATTTATTGTAATTTCACTGGTTCTTTCATTTTCATTCAGAAATGCTTGTAATGTGCTTTTGGGATATGAAGCAGATGCTTGATTACATCCTGGTGTGCTGACGATCCCGAAATACTTGAGCCCTGACACAGCGTTTTAAAAAGCATTGTTCTTCCTACAGAGACGCCTGGAATGGCATTTTTATAACTAAAACTTTGAAATAAAAGTCTTCCAACAATAACCACTCACTGCTTTATAAAATCGTTCAATCTCCATGTTACTTCATCTGTTGTGTGCGTGTGCATTCATTAACCAGGAAAACAGAAAAGAGTTACAAGAGTAAAACTAAGTAGAAAATATTTAATAATTTCCAAGGAAGTGACAGAGCATAGTTTGCATTTCATTCTTTGAATCTTGTTAGCTAAAAAAAAAAAAAAAAAAAAAAAAAAACTCTAAACAAGTCAGTGGGTTCCAGGTTTCAGACAATGAAAATCCTTTTTGGAAAAATGACAATTGATAAATTCACACACAAATTTCACACATTTATAAATGAAATATCTCATAAAAACAGGATTTCTCTAATGAGGACACACACAATACAAACTGACAGTGTTTACAATAATATTGCAAGCACCCTGCACATGATTTTCAAAATTTTGGGGGGTAAAAAGTAGGGATGCACCTTTTCCTCTTCCGATACAATTACCTAATCTCACGGTCTCTGCCGAAACAGCTTACTGATCCAAGCGCTCTTTTTTTTGGACCAAATTTGAAAGCCGGTGGGTGACCATAACTGAATGATAATGGAAACACTGAATACTATAATGAGGCTGACATAGTAAGTGTAGATCAGGCAGGGCGTTGCTGATACCCAACCCACTTCAAAAAGGTCAGGTCAGAATCAGTCAGCCCTGATACGGATCTGGTGTATCGCATTGGCACATCCCTTGAAAAAAGCACCTTAAAAACACCTAATAAATATATCTACAAACATTGGAGTGAAGGCATTACATGGTGTTTGTTGTTGTAACATGAGTTCAGTGGATCCACAGACAACATGAGGGGTTCAGCGTTCATTAACACAGCTAGGAGATACACATCAGTGCAGTGACAGACTTACGCTCACCAGTTTTACTGTACTATTGTAGTGCTTAAATCACCAGTCTTGACTGTATATAAATACACTCACATGACAACGGTGGCTTCACAGATCACACAGCAAAACTGTCTAAATGTAGGACAGACTCTTTGGAGGCAGGAGAAAGCTTGCAGTCATTAGTCTTATTGATTGGATGAAAATATTTCATCAAATTTCCGACTATAATGCCCAAGTGTTACTATAGTTATTGCTGACAGTCATTTATCAAGACAAGAGGACAGACTTGAGGACGGTGCAGTGTGGACAACATGAGAACAATGGGAACAGACTTCAGAGAGGACATTCGTAGAAATGTGTTTGTTGGTAAAAACGGCTGCAAGTTACTCGTGGAGAAATTAAGAAAAAGTCCATTTGTAAACACTTCACTTCCTTCTAGCATCATTTATGTAACACAACAATGTAAAAATCTGTTCACATTATGAAATTAGCTTTTATCAAACAACTACAATCACAGTTTCTCCCAAACTCAACGACAAAGGCACTTTGTAATTTTTAGTCAGCTCTTGAGATGATAATGATGGCGGAGATCTTGGCTGCATCAGAGGTTACACGACTGAGAAAACTAAAAGTCCTGATTAATTTGGTGGATGATCATCTGTCCCGCTGATTCCAATAAAAACACCAAATGATGCTTTGATGAGACGCTTTTCAACAAAACCTTGAACCAACACGTCAACAAACGTGTAACCTGTCTTCAGCTTACCCTGGGGTCAGAGGTCATACTCAGCTGTACACTGCTGGAGGTACCATTCATACAATTTACCCTGTGGAGCAAAATGAACAGTATGAGATTTACACTGAGATTCTGATACAGCAGAAAGAGATGAACACATATCACTGTGGTGTTAAGGACTAAGCAGTTACCATTAAAGTTGGGGGTCTTAAATATAAATCGATGAACTGAGAGATGCTCTAAGAGCACTGTAGAGTTGAGCTGACTGCGTCGCCATTAAGGGCACTTTCTGTATTACACTTAGTTATTTGACCCCTTGATCATTTAAAATATCCTTTAATGCAGCTTTAATGTTTGTACTATCTGAACGAATAAAAATAATAAGAATCTAACCTTCTTGTTTTTGACAATATCCTGGATATAATCGCTGTACTCTGCCATCATCCTCTTCTCTTTCTTCGTCAGAGTCTTATTCCCTTGGCTGAGAATGAAGAAGATCACAACAATGTTCGATCAGAATTTCAACAATCACTTCTTCTGTGTGTGTGTGTGTGTGTGTGTGTGTGTGTGTGTGTGTGTGTGCGCGTGTGCGTGTGAGTGAGTGAGTGAGAGAGAGAGAGAGAGCATGTTTGATCATCTACTTTATTATGAAACACAAACCCTTCTTAACTTTATTTAGACATTTAAGGGCTAAGGAGGATTAAGGTTATTTATGTTAAGGCCTTAATTTTAAGTAACCTAGTTCCCACAGGTGGGCATGTGCACATCTGTAGGCTGCAACAATTATTTTCAAATATTGATTAATTGCTGATTATTTTCTTGATTAATCTTTTTTTTCAAGAAAACATTTGAAAATACAGAAAAATGTCCATCAGAACTTCTTAAACCTGAAGATGACATATTTTCATGTCTTGTTTTGTCCAATCACCTGTTCACCACCCCAAAGATATTCACCTTACACTGCTTTAAAACTCAAAAGGCAGAAAATAATCACACTAGAGAAACCAATACATTTTTGGCACTTTTTTTTCTTTTTTGGAAAAAAATCAAACAAGTGATTAGTCGATGAAATGTTCAGCTCTTTATGTGTGTACATGTGTGTATTGTAAACACTTACCCTGCAAAATACTTTGCTAGGAAAAGCAACAGGTAGCAAAAAGCGCCAAAAAATATCACAAACACTACTTGTCCGTCTTCTGGTATCCCCTCCCATAAATACATAACTCCTCCCTGTGAGACACACGTTGAATACACAGTCAGACAAGCAGGCACACAGCCGGCAAGTAAAAAATATTGAGCATATTAATATTACGTTGTAGTGTTATTTGTCCTGTCAGCTGTCACTCTCTTCAAAGCCGTCAAAATTTCACTTGGACTTACCGAGAAGAGAGTGAGGGTCCGAGTCGGGCCTTCACCCAACAGCTCAACCAGCTGCTCTTTGGCGAAAGTGTTCACAATGAAACTGAGGATGAAGAGGCCAGGAAGGAAAACGCCCAAAGCGCCACACAAGAAGGAGTGAAGACGGACTGTTTTTTTGTAAGCAGCGTCAGCCCTGCATGTGCACACAGAGGAAATCTAGTTTTAATATTTACTGCAGCGTATAATGACTATTATCTCCTCCATATACACAGTAAGGTGTATTTACTCATGAGGATAAATTAACTTCAGCAATCATTCAAACACAGTATCATGCTGTGTAGTGGGTCGAGAGGTCAAACCTGTCCTGCTCTAGTTTGCTGCTGATGGTAGAACAAATGAGGTCGCAGTCTTTCTCCAGCTGATCCAAAGTCTTCTGAACGGCCTGGCTGATGGTCTTCTCGATGGTCTGACAAACTCCATCAATCTGGTTCACACACCTGCTCGGCTGGACAAGACAAAGGCTCATAAATGCATCAGTTTTGGAATCAACGTACAAACATGTCGCGCACCTCTATAAAAAAAGGACTGGAAAACTTCCACGAAAAATCCTGAGGGTATTTTGACTGACAGCCATGTGCACCAAGTACTTAGACGATCCACTTGCTCAGCAAAAATAAATTGGAGGTCGGGAGGGATGCACAAATCTACCGTGCCGAGTACAGCTTTGGGGTTGTAGATCACAAGATGGAGCAGCAATAACTCAGGACTGGGGCTGCCGTTGTCAAAGGTGGCTGAGCAAAGGCCATGGTTTACAACCCCTGCCCCCTCCCCAGAGTGGATAACTCTCTCAGTCATCATATTGCAAAATGAATCACTCTGTTCCCAGCCATCAAGAGCCACCAGGAAACAAGGAGCGGAGAATTTACATTCAAGGATAATCAATGGCTGCCCAAGGATGGCAGAGAGCTTTAAATCCAGACCCAACACCTGAGATCTGAGGAAAACAGCTCTACAACGCCCCTGCAGGGTGGGAAAATAGCTGGAAAAACGACATGCTGGAAAATAACCAGTACAGGAACACACAGTTTATTTACCCTCTGTGGGTTGGGGATGTATATTGTCGGCATCTCAAAACCACATTTGTTGAGACCTGGACGGCGACACAGTTCCTGGACTATCTGCATCATCACCCTCTGCCGCAAGAAGAAAAAAAAAAGGTGATTTCCAACTTGACTTTCTTGGAGTCAAATCAATCAAAACATGTAAACATGTATAAATCAAGTGAACTTACCTGTCTGTCTGTTTCCTTCCCAGCTTCATCCGCCTTGCTGAGGTAGAACAACAGCTTGTCTCCGCATTTCTCACTCAGATTCTCCACGATGTTGAGCGTGCGTTTGCACAGCGCCTGGCCCATCGGGTCGAAGAAGACAAATATCAAGTCAGCCTGTTCTCCTGCACGGAAAAAACAAAACATCCATTCGAGAAAACACAACAGCTATTGTCCATCGGCACTGGAAAGACAACTAGCAGTTGTCATGACATACCCAACCAGGTGATGGCGCTGTTGACGTCGAAAGGGTAGATCATGTCCCCGTCCACCAAACCCGGAGTGTCCACAAATGTCACCAGGCTGAACTTCTTCTGTTTGGAGGTGGAGATCTCAGCGGACAGGTAGTCCATAACCCCTGGAATATACAGAAGCTGTGTGTGTACAGGAGCCGCCTCCAGGATAAATCCAAAGTAACAAAGATGCTAAATAAAGAGTTGAGTCCCTGTAGGAAGCTTTCACCTCTAATGACTTTATTACACTCTATTATGTGCTACTGGAAGCCGCAGTACAGTCAATACTTGGAGACCTGAGGGAGGCTAGTGGCTTTCAGCTTTGTAGGAATTGTGCATTTGCAAACATGCTCCTGATAAAGACATGTATGTTAGCTGTGAACGTGCATAAAAACAAAACTTAGTAAATTCTAGTTGTGTGAAGCACCGTCAGCCACCAAAGCCTCGCACATTAAACTTTAACCACACGAAAACATTTGTTACATCTCAGTTTTGTTGCCGTCCCCTCTGCGGAGAGATCTGTTGTCATGGTTACACACAACAGCTCTTCAACTGGCAGCTTTAGCGCGGGGCGTGGGACATAAAGCTAGCCAGTGAAGAACGACTGTGAGGCAACGCACTGAGAGGTTATGAGACTCCACCACAGCATATAGATCACTATTGAGACATATCCCCCACTCTTGACTAAATAAACCCCACCCACCACCCCATCCTCCCTCTACACACACACACACACACACACAGACACACAGACACACAGACACACACACACACACACACACACACACACACAGACACACACACACACACACACACACACACACACAGACACACACACACACACACACACACACACACACAGACACACACACACACACACACACACACACACACAGACACACACACACACACACACACACACACACACAGACACACACACACACACACACACACACACACACAGAGGCCTAGGATGACACTGAGGCTGTTTCATAGGAAGAGGCAGGTGTTAACAGCCAGCACAAATCACATCCTTGTGCTGCTCGCTGCAGCACAAGGATTCCCTTATTAGCATTCCCTTATGTTTCTCTTACATCAGCATGGCCACAGTATCAATACATCTGCCACCTATCACACATCTTAAAAGTGTATTGCCTTTGTCTAGCAATATTGAGACATCCCTGTTACGCAAAAGGTAGCTGAGAGTTTCATAGAAAAAACATTATATATATCAAGTAGCTTCATGTTAGACCTCTAGAAAGCTGCTGCTCTATAATTCAGTTAGTCAGGATTGTACAGAACATACACATTCATGCATCTTTGCATTACTAATACGACAAAAAAATAGCAATTATGCAAGTCCATTTAAGAATAAATGAATCAAACAGCCTTGATACGGATCTATTCATCCATTCTAGCTGAAGAAAGTCCTTCGAGTCTCCTGAAAGGTGAAAAGGAAACAGGAGTGATACTCGCCGATGGGTGCTAAGTTCCTCAAGTGACTGTAACTGAGAAGGCTACACTGGAGATTCTGTGCACAAGGAAAAGGGCAAAGGCTGCAATAATGCTGCATCGACCAAAACTTAAAAAGAACCTGTTTGACTAAACAGGTCAAACTAGACAAAAATGGGTAAAGAACAGCCGAAAATCTTTGCACGCAGTCACAACAGAAACTCTTCACAACAGGTTGACAAGATAAAGACAAAAAGACAGTTAAATATCCTGTATGCAAGTCTAAAACAATATAACAAAGTATCTCCGTGCATATCCCAAAGGAGACCAAACTGTATGATAAGCAGCTGCTCCCACATAAGGATATATGGTGCTGTTCTGATGAGTCATCCTCAGTCGCTGTGACAGGTAAACAAATGCCTGATATAGTGTATTTCCAGAGGCGGACGATGAAGTTCAAATAAAAAGCCTGCTTGTATTTCAGCAGCAGATCGTTGGTGTTGCGAGGCTCAGGCCTGCAGAGTGGAGCTGTTGCTGCTGGAGTCTGGGCTGTGCCGTCTCTAATGGCTGTGACATTTCTCAGCAGCTCCTCCTGACTCCACTGCACTGCTGTCGATGGGGCGTGTGACTCACACGCCATACCGTGAGCGCTCCGGTCCGCACCCAGTGAACCCTCGCTCTCTGTACACTCACTGTCAAAGCACACCACACACATACATTACTGCCCCCCCCCACCTCCACCCTCCCTCACCCTCACCCCTCCATACGGATGCTCCCACTCAGACAGCAGGCACACCCAGACTTTCTGCACGACCACCTCAACATCCACAGGCTCCAGACCACTGCACAGAGAGCCGAGACCAATTCTCTTAAAACAATATGCCATTAAACAAACCTCTTTTTTTTTTCCTCCTCTTTCTTGTGAGAGTAGAAACAAATAGCTCAAACGTGAGAGGCGAACGGGAGTCTGGTCCGATTTATAACAAAAACTTGATACGTCGATGCTATGACTCAGTGTTGAGTCATCAAGGTGAAGCATCTAAAACTCACAAAAGAGAGGCCTGACCTGTGATAGCAAGAAACACATAAATAACCCATGGTTACCGCTCCTGAGCAACACACAGTATTCAACAGTCAGGATTTCTCTTGATGTTGTGGATGAAATAAGAGTTTTTAATGGAGTTCTTTTTATCTAAACTAGAAAAACGCTCAACTTTTAAACTTTCAAACTGCGTCTGTAACGTACATGAGCAGCCTCCAGAGGGAAATATTCACGGGCCACACAGCAGAGCACTATCTTAAACCTCAAAGGAACCGATCTCTGTCTGCAGCTCACGATTACATTCATCTCCTGTTCACTATTCCTGTAGTGCTGGTGGACTAAAGCTGCATCTCCCTGCTGCTCCATAACACTTTACCCTCTCTCTTTGCACCCTTTGATGTTTTTCCATCATGATGCCAACAGAAGAAAAATATCAGTAGAATCCACGACCATATGCATTTCTTTAGCGCAAACACCACAGAGGTGCTCGCATTCATCCGAGTCTGTAGACCAGTTAATGAGACCGTGTTGTGCACTAAGACTGCAGAGCTGATTTTATCGTTGTAATAAAAGGGGTTTCAATATCAAAGGGAGGAAGATGCGAAGCCACTAGATTTAGTGATTATCCTCACGAGGAATACATAAAACATGCACTACACTGTTCTATTATGTGAGCGCTTTAGAAATGTTCCTGTTGTGTGATGCATGTGTGATCACATTAGGAGCTGTGCGAAATCTGCATGCGCACGCCACATCAGACACAGGATAAGTACAGAGTAGAGAGGCCTGGCTTTTCTTTTAGCAGCAATATTACTGCATGTTAAGTACAACCACGGCAAATCATGTTAAGTAGTGCACTTTTCAGAAACCCATTATGAGTTTCTGATGCTAAAACAAGACGAAAAAAGTCTTACCTTTGAACTCAAGGAGTGGTCGAAAGTGCGGGTAGAGATGTAGCGTAGCATTCCCCTGTGAGAAAGGAAAAAAGACAATGTGAGAAAGAACTTGATGAGACAAATATTAATCTGCCGCTCTCCCTGAGCTCCCAATCCTCTAAAACAGAGTCCTCTCTCTTCTCAGTACTTCGCACTCCGTCTTGTGCTGCAGCTCAGTACGCCCGCTTTAAGCTCTTCCTGTACATACGAGATAATCCTTCCACTCTGCAGTCCTGCACTGCAAATATAATATTCTTCTTCATCACCTTCACCACACCAGAGGCAAAGGGGTAGGATGAGAGAAGACGGAGAGACAGGTGTCTCCCGAGTCTGTTTATATGCTCTCTCTCTCTCTCTGTGTGTGTGTGTGTGTGTGTGTGTGTGTGTGTGTGTGTGTGTGTGTGTGTGTGTGTGTGTGTGTGTGTGTGTGTGTGTGTGTGTCTCTACAACAAAACCCCTCACTGGAGCAGCATACAGAATGAGGAATCACCACTGACTGAGGGAGTGCCTTCCATACACCCTGACATGGAACGTATCGCTTCATCAACCTTTATGACTGGCTGCAGCTTCACTTCCCATTACTGAAGTTAAAAAATTCAAAACATCCCTCATCCACAAACCTGAGCGCTGCTGCCTGAATATGAAATACCGTTAGTTTACACACACGGATAAGATTTGTTTAAAAGCAGTAAAGTGGAGCATGCAACCCAAAGCTGGCTGTAGGAGGTAGCTATCTATGTTTACTAACACATTTCAAGTGTTAGTTGGTGCTTCTTCACATCAGATCTCATACACACTGATGTGACGGTGCTGGAAATGTTGGCTGTTTTCATGCTCTTCTTACCGTCAGTGATTCTCTTTTGCGGCCACTTGTGATGAATTTAAACCCCTGCGTTTCAATGGCGACGCCTGTTGTCTGTATGTGCTCTTCAACGTACCTAAAATGACAGCAGTAGGCATCAAATGCATCAAAAACTTATTTTTTTCTTTAATATTGCCTTTATAAGCCAGCTAACAATTATTTCCATCATCGGTTTATCTGTTGATTATTTTTGCAGCTTATCATTCATAGTTTAGTTTTAAATGTCAGAAAATAGTGAAAAAACACTGAAAAAATGCAGAATTTTTTATTATACATTTTCATATTTCAAGATAATTTTTTTTAGTTGAGTTACATTTTGTTTTTATCACATGATTGGGAAATCCTAGTGCCTGCTAACCAGCCATCATGGAGAGCAACACAATGAAAGTTCCTAATAGAGATGTATTGTAATAGTAATAAGAGTGGCACGCAGTAGGGATCACACCTCCGCCAAGACCAAACAATTCTACACATGAAGGAAAATCCCTGGATCTGCCCCTTTAACCCGATCCGCACCAAAATGAAATAGGTCCTTCCCCGGCCTCTATCACCCATCCCTCCACAGAGGTTATTGCAAATCAATTCAGTACCTTATGCTGACAAACAAACAGACACGTGAAAACATTACCTCCTTAGCGCAGGTAATAATAATAATCAGACTTGACTTAACTTGATTCTCACCACAGTAACTTCAGACTTGCTTGTGACTTAATCCCACCGCTGCTCCTCAGTCAATGAATTTTCTGTCCATCAACTAATCAATTAGCTGTTTAGTCATTTCAGCACACTCTAGTTTGTGAACCTGTGTTCCCTGAATTAACGCCTCAGGAGGTTAAGCAACAAAGCCCACAGCACACTGTAAAAACCTATTTAAAATATACAGACAGCCAGATAAAACAAACATTTATACACTCACCGCTCACACAGCCTGCACAACTTCATGCTAAAAACACGTACGGACCCCGTTAGCTCTCCCCCAGCTCTAAAATATGTGAGGTCAGTGACTGTTGATTGACATCCGTGCTCCTCATTGAGGTAGTGAAAATGAATGTTGATGGTAACATTTCAACTGTAACAGACAAACCCTTAAAACAAAATAACAGGGTTGTGTGATTTAACAATTTCCCATATTTCTATGTTGTATTAAGCCATTGGGCAGCGTTGTTATCAATTAGTAGGAATAAACAAGCAAAAAAAAAAAAAAGATGAACTGTGTTCAAACCACAAAGCACTTTTAAAAGTCATGTGTGAAGATCATACTCCTGTCCAGAGGCATTGTTAGGATCTTGAAACACTGGGGGCTTAGCCCTGTTCAGAGAGCTTGAGCTTTTCACCCAATAATTGCACCATTTTCAAATTATTTCAGAGAACAAAAAAAACAAAAAGATGTGAGGCACAGTGGTCTACTGAGAGGTTCTGGTCTGGTGCGTAGGCTGGCTTTTACAACATGACATCAGAATAAAAATCTGAGTTCTTATTCAGCTTTGTTATTATTTTTATTTTCAGCAGCAGGAGTAAAAAACCTAAGAAAAAAAATAAAAAGCCTTGTTGTTGATGAAGCGGTCATATACTAGCTTGTATGTTGTCTGAGTGGATTAGCGAGCTAGATGCCTACAATGACAAGCCACTCCTCCTGTCACCGAACTCTCCTTCACACATGGAGCAGAGCATGTGAAGGTCAGGCAGCTGAGTGGTAGCGCTGATCCCGTTAAAAATAAGATGTATTACCAGTTAATGAAGGAGCTCTTCCCCGCAGAGTGGTTACCCATTATCATCACAATGATTTTCTTTCTGGGAGGCAGGAGCCGGACTCCGAGGCTGCTGGCGATCTTCACCAGGCCTGAAAACACACATGTACACATGCAGTAAGCAGGGCATGTAGCAATAAGTGACATCATCACAATGTAACACATTAATCTGCTCCTAAAATGTAATAAATAAAGACGTAAAGGTAACACTGCTGCAAAATGGAGACAGTGTAGCTCTGATATATTTCCAGTGAATTAATTCCAATTAGTAGTTCTGGGAACCTAAAGGGTTTTCTAGTCAGTGCAGAGCCGGTTTTGTCTACAGGCAAGCGCAGAATTGAATATGTATGATGAATAAAGTTTCTAATAGTAACGTGGGTTTGTCTGTTTAACATTAGTCACTATTTTCTAGGGATTCAGAACAATCTGTTGTTGACAGGCCTGTTTCTCTCTGATCTGTTGACCAGAGTTAACCAACATACTGTAATAACCACGACAGGACACATGATAAGGCTCCTCCTCAAAGTGCTTTAAGAGCAAAGTCTGCACACACATAGTGATCAAGTGAACTACACAATATCATGGAGGGACTGCTGAAGCACAGGTCCAGGGGTCCAGGGGGTAAGGAGCCTCTGTCTGCCTGATGACATTTCTTTTTGGAAAGTCAATCAAACAACTACAGAAAGCTGCAAATTGACTACATAGAAACTCAAAATGACTACAAAGACATGCAAAGTGCCAACAGAGAGATGCAAAACAACAGGAGGACTCAAAACTCCAACAGAGACTCAAAAGACTACAGAACAATCAAAACAACTACAAAGACACTCAAAATGTCTATAAGGAGATGCAAAACAACTACAGACTTAAAGTGACTACAAAATACTCAGAACTACAAACAGAGTCCAAATGACAACACAGAGATATAAAATGACAACAACAAAAAAGAAACAAAAAACGACCGCAGCTCTCAGTCCCGTGTCCTTGCGCCTACGTCGGGAGGCAGGGGCTTTGGATTTTACTTCAGGGGCTCATTATCTCATAATCCGTCCATGCACCGCGCACAGTACAACAGAATTATTGTTGAGGACAGAGAGAGAGAAAAACAGGACCATAAAAGCAAGAAAAACATCTGTCTGGTTCAATGTTAGCGTCATGTGTAAGCCACGGGTGTGGACAGGTCCAGATACAGGCGCTGTGCTCGGCGCGGCAGAGGAGCCACACCAGTGTCCAATGTCATGTGTTTGACACTGACAGACAGCTGCTGCTCACCACCTCCTACTTTACATATGAATACCAGCAGCATTTCACTGTTGAGTTCACTGCAAACTTCAGGCCGAGTCCCACTAAGCACTAAGTTACATAACATCACAACTATGTGTGTTTGTATCTGCTTCATGCTCCTAACAAGGCTGCAACATTGACTCAGTATAAACCCTTGTTATTGATTATTTACCGTTTTCGTTGTCGACATACAAACTGTGGCATTCTTTCAGTATCCTCTCACTGGGTGTGGTGATCGCAGACTCCAGGGGGTTTGCCACAGACCGGGGCTTTCTGGACGACATTATGCACCCAGCCACCAGACGTCTCTCTGCTGTTTCCTAAACCACCCGGGGGAAGAGTTTCACGGTTGCACAAAGACTCTCATGTGCGGATGAAGCGCCCCCCTGCGGCCAATGTTTGATTGGTTGGTATTCAGATCCCTACTCAAGTAAAAGTACCAAGTACCACCATGTCAAAAATATGCCTGAATTCATTCTGCTACTCAAGTAAAAAATATCAGCAGCAAAATATTCTATAATATAATATAAGTAGGCGCTCATTATTGAGCAGAGTGATCTCTGTCAGGTTCATATCATTAAATATCTTACATCACTGGATTATTAACACATTAGCATGTAAGCAGCATTTTAATGTAGTTAGTGTAGTATCTTGAATCCCAATGTTCAAAGTAACTAGTAACTAAAGATCAATGAAGTGGGGCAGAAAGTACATTTTTTCATCTGAAAAAAAATGCACTTGTTTTTTCTTTTTTAAAGAAAATACACGTTTCCTCTGAAACTCGTCCCCTCACTGGTTTTTATCTGAAATATAGTGGAGCAATGGTGGAAAGTAAATGGTGGGATTTAATGTGAGATATGATCAATCTGGATGGGAAAAGTGAATGAGCAGCACATATTCAACCCACTGTGGTGCCCTTCAGCAAGGTCCTTAACCCCACCTGCTCCAGTGGAGCTGCACTAGTTATTTGGGGGATTCATATTAACAATATAACATTATAATCAGCAAATAAATGATGATGTGTTATTATAGGTTTTTATTATACATTACTGATCCCTGCTTGGAAATTCACAAGCCAAGTAATTTACCAGTGGCAACATTAAAGTGATGTACACATCAATGGATCAATAACTGTAACACAATAATATAATGCATATCATTCTGAAATGATCCACTCTGCAGAAACAGTACTTTTATCTTCAGTACAATACATTTTGATGATGATACTTTTGTTCCTTTACTCAAGTTGTCAATGCAGGACTTAAACCTATACTTGACCCTTGTACCTGCCTTAAAACTAAGCCTAAAGCAGATGTTAGCCAGGTCCAGGCTGCTTTCACACAGTACAGAGTTCATAGTTCATGTGCTTCAGTAAAATACCACAATATAAACCTATTCCATTACAGGTAAAAGTCTCACCTGCATAGAAGGACAGTACATTACAGAGGTAAATGTGCTTAAAGTGTCAAAAACAAAAGTACTCATATTCAGCAGAATGGTGCTACATTATTGTATTATTGTATTATTGTATTAATGCATTAACTTAATGTTTAATGTCATGTTTTAATGTTGTAGATTGTCAAGGAGGACTTAAATTTATTTCTTGATAGGTTGTTTAATGTCCAGTATAACAAGTGTACATATTTTATTTAATATATCTGTAAAATAACAAATGATGGCTCTCATATAAATGTAGTGTCAAGTGTAATAAAAAAAGAATTGTATATAGCCTACTATCTATGTTGTAGTGCCAAGAATTCAACACTCTCCTCAGGTGCACCCTCCATAGACTAGGTTTACAGACTTGTAATTTCATCTGTAAGCTCAACATTTTTATTTTTGATATTAAATCCTGTATTTTATTTGGATTTAGTGCCTCCAACTGTATTTTACATGGTGTTCCCAGAGATTCAACAACTATTGTCACATGAGTGTTTGTTTTATCTGCTGGCTGTGCAGCAGCTCCAGGGTATGTGTACAGATAACTTACTCACTACCCCATGTCTGCTGCTCACAAAACAGAACTGTAGCTTCATTATTAAGAAAATAACCGGCTGGGGTGGATTTTCGATTTAATGCTCAAATGAGCGTGCTTAACAGTGTGTTCTTAAAAGCATCATTGTAGTTATGGAGTGATGTTGGCAGCAGCTTAAGGCAAGCAAGTTTTTCAACCCTCGTCACAACCATTAATGTGACTGAATAATGTTATAAAACCATGGTAAATAGAAAAATGCATTTTTTTTTACAATGTTTTATATAGTTATGAATCAATTTTGATTTCCTTTTACATTTTCTGCTGACTTGAAAATAAATTGTTTTCAGAGAACTTAAAACAAGCTATGTATACATTTTTGAGATTTTTGATATCAGATCAAATAAGTGTCATATCCTTCAATTTTAGACAACAAAGGGTCAACATTAATTCAGTATTTGAGTCAACAATCCCACCATTACCCAGGGGCAAGCCTCAGCACCATGGAGGAATGTGCTATAATGAGTCCCCCACCCCCATTAGAGCTGAGATTATATGCTGCACCTTACAACAGGCTGCCATTATCTAAATTCTTCGACTGAAGAGGAACATCCATTATCAATGGTTTACTCAAACATCATTTGGCAGAATCCTCCAAGATGAGCCTGACTGAGGGATCTGGTGAATCCAGGAGAGACGTAAGTTTAATATCCAGCATCTAATTTGATTTACATGCCAAATAAAGTTTAAATTAAACTCTACCTAGTGTAATTTGGGGATTGACACTGTGGACTACAGCAACATCTCTACACAATTGTTTCTGTTTTTGTGGAGTGAATGAGAGCAGCATGACTGTGAGTGGTATTTAGTTACGCATTTCTTTCTAACAATTCATCAAACACCACATTTCCCGACAACCACGCTTCCATCAAACAGTGCGTGGTTTTGTAACAGTGCACTGTTTGTTTTTCACAGCAAGTTTTGGATTCGAGTTGTGGGTTTTATAAACCACCCGAGACGTTTTGAACTTTAGCCAGTTTTCTGTTTGCTCTCCACACATTCAGTCACATTTTATTACCTTCACAGACAGCAATAAGATAACATAGGTATATGTGCAGGTGGCTGTGAAGTATGTAATCAAGTATCTATGTAATGAAATGAGGTCTAAATTACATGATCCTACTCTCTAATGGGGCACCATTGGTTAACTGAACTGGCTTTATCAATAGTTACTAATGTTTTATAGATCAGTAAGAAGCCATTAATAAGAACAGGTTTTGGGTTTCCAGGTTGTGAAAAATGCCTCCGGTTGGTGTTGATCGTTACTATTTGATAATAATGCAGTTACAAATGGTTTCTCACTTTCCTATCATCCACGATTCAAATAAAGATATTAACAAGCAGGTCGACAGGAACAGCCTTCATGATGAAAAAGACAAAGCGTCCTGCTGGAGGAGGATAAAAAAACACCAAACATTTATAAACCCCTGATAAAGCCTCAGATGGTTTAGGCTACCATGTCATCCATCCTGCAGAAATAAATAAGAAGGCATTTAGAATATGGAGCATTTCATGAAGTTTGACTGTTTGCCCTTCCCCACTTAATCCATTCGCCTTTTCTCTTTTAACTCAGTCATGAAACTGAAGCTGCTGCAGAGACTGTTCAAGTCACTTCACCAACTGCTCTCACAACCTCTGAAACACGGGGGCAGCCAGTACTCTGCATCACGATGAGCCTGTTCAGTTATCACTGTGTGTGCACTCTTGTTTTCTCTGTGTTTTTACATCAGTATCTAACAATTTATAGGGCTTAACAAGAAAAAAGCAACAAACAAGCAGCACAGGTTTTTTACGCACAGCACCTCCCTCACTACTGTTTGTGACTCTGTTATCCACAATGAACGAGTAAAACCTGCATTCAAGGTTTTTCTTTTTATCTTACTATTTCATGTCTGTTGGAAAATACTGACTCCCCTTCTTTCTTTCTTTCTTTTTTTTTCTTTCTTTCTTTCTTTCTTTTTTCTTTCTTTCTTTCTTTTTTCTTTCTTTCTTTCTTTCTTTCTTTCTTTCTTTCTTTCTTTCTTTCTTTCGAAGAAATAAACCCAGTCTGAATCCAGCATTTTGAATGCTATGAAATCTTGATTAACATGGAATAATGTGGTCGATTTACCACACCTTCCACTGCCACTTTATGACAATAGATCAATTGTATTCATTCTCAGGATAAACTCATCCTCTCGTCAGATTTAAGTTGAGTCCTGTTGGGAGGAAACTCTTTTACGTGTAGGATATTCTGCACTCAGCAAAACATCAGCGACAAAATGACAAAAGATAATTTGGATGAATATCAACCTCTGCTTATTAAAGACATCAGAGATAGAAAGCAGCCAAAGGTATGTGGAGTTAAATGCCAAAACAGAGCGATCAGATGCAGTTTTCTGTCCATGATTGTAAGAAAATATTTGTTTTGAACAACTTGTACCTTCTGTGTCTGTTTTATTTGCAGCTTCCCAACAAATCACTTCTGCTGGCTGCCTGTGCGGCTTGCATAGGGGGAACCTTTCAGTATGGATATAACATATCTGTCATCAATGCACCCACAGTGGTAATAACCCTGCTGCCTCTCACTGGACCTTTTTCTGCACGATATTTCAATTGAATCATTTGAATTGCTACCAGTTATCATAATGTTATGAATGGGAAGTGGCCAGAGCAAAGTCTTAAGCTCACAGATGCTCTACAAAATGCGATATACAATACAGCTGTGCAGTATTTATACATGAGTGTGGACACTTTTATACTCATGCTACAAAGACATATTTTCCCATCACTAATATACAGTACATCTCCACTATTGTGATGTCTTATGAATGCAAATATATATCTTTGTGGTATGTGCATTCTTCTTCTTCTTCTATTTCCAGTATGTGCATAATTTTATCAACCAAACCTGGAGGGAGCGTTACCAAACTGGTATCTCAGAAGATGTTCTCACCCTGCTTTGGTCCACTATTGTGTCTATATTCACCTTAGGAGGATTAATAGGAGCAACGATCGGTGGGACATTGTCTGTGAAGCTGGGGAGGTATGGACAAAAAAAATAAAACATGCAGAAAATTGTTGCTTTACCTTTTGTTTTCTGCATTAAATATTTACCATTGTGATGTGTGTGTTTTTGTTCCAGGAAAGGGACACTGATGATCAATAACACATTTGCATTAGTGGCTGCTCTGCTGATGGGTCTGAGTTACCCTACAGGATTATTTGAATTACTCATAATTGGACGTTTTTTCACTGGACTAAATGCAGGTAAATAACTCAAGAATACATTCAAAAGCTTCACTTTACATATTTGGTGTCAACGTTGCATGTCAAACATCTGAAACGTGGCTTTAATCATGTTTGGTTTACTTAGGCATTGGCATTTGCGTTCAACCTCTGTATTTGGGGGAAATAGCTCCAACTGCATTTCGTGGCACCATGGGAATGGGAACCTCAGTTTTCATCACTGGTGGGATTTTGACTGGACAAGTGATGGGCCTCAAGTAAAGACTGGTCACACAGAGTTCATAAAATATTAACCTTTCACCTGCATTGATTAAAGATTCTACGCCATTCAAAAGGATGTTGATCAGACATTTCTCTTGTGATTTTAACAGAGAGCTCCTGGGCAGGGACGAGTACTGGCCCATCCTGCTCTCCACCACGTGTATCCCAGCGATCCTACAGCTCCTGATCCTGCCCTGGTTCCCAGAGAGCCCCCGCTACCTGCTAATTGACAGAGGTGACGAGGAGGGGTGCAAGAAAGGTAAACTGACACAGCAACCTCTGCATCGTTTCTTCCCTTTCTAAATCGGTGTGATGTTATCTGCAAAGATTGATTTAATGCGCATGACACTGTAGTTGAAAAGGCTGAGGACTCCCTTTGTCTGGCATCACCAGAGGCAGAGACATTTTGTCTTCATGGCTATGAGTTCAAGCTTGTGATCACATTCTTCCAACAGTTATGTGAAAGGAAATTGGTTCCAGACCCTCTGATAGGACCCTCAGAAACGGTCTGATCGAATGAGAAGAATGAAAGACTACAATTACCACGTGTGTCATGTGTTTTCCTGCCTGCAGCCCTGAAGCAACTGTACGGTGTGGAAAACTGTGATGGTCAACAGGAGGATATCCAGAGGGAGAAGAATAATTTAGCAGGTTTCCAGGCCAAGAAACCCTGGGAGCTCTTTGCCGATCGCAGTGTGCGCTGGCAGCTTCTCACTGTCATACTGCTCAACATTGCACAACAGCTGAACGGCATCAATGCTGTATGTACATTAGTTGTCCTGCTTCTCTCTCAGAATCTATTCCTCTATGCCCATAGTAACAAAAAAAATGTTTAATTTGTACTTTGCTTTTCATGTCTACACTTCCTGCAGATTTACTTCTACGCAGATTACGTGTTCAAACAATCTGGTATTCCTGATGATAAAATACCATATGTGACTGTTGGCACCGGCGCCTGTGAATGCATCACTGCTTTAACATGTGTAAGTATGAGCTTCACATTACATTTTTAAGTATGCTACATTCTATAGCAAACTGATGAATAAGGAGAGGGGCACAGGAAGTTAGATAACTCCTGAAACAGAGAAAAACAGAATAGTTAGAATGGCTTTACTTTGTCTTATATAAGTTGTTTTACAAAAAGATAAGAACACTTGACATAATAAATGTGGTTAAAGGGAAACTGTTTAAACATAACACACAGTAAAGAAGTTTAAATAAGTTGGAATAAAATTACTGAAACTGGGCATGACATGTGAAAACATAAACGAAAAATACTGTGCAGCAGGATCTGACATAACAAAACACAACATCCCATGAAAGGTCTGAGCAAAGTCAAAGGAAGTTTTTTTTTCCTAGAGTATCTCTGGTCTTGTGACATGCTGTGTGTCTCACAGGGTATGCTCATTGAATGCCTGGGAAGGAAAGTGCTCATCACAGGAGGATACACACTGATGAGTATCTGTTGCATATTATTCACGCTGACGCTCAGTTTTCAGGTAATTCATCTCATGACCAGACGTGGTAAAAAAAACAAACAAACAACAAGAGAAAAAAACATTGTCTCATGCATTTTCATATTATTCCTAATTTGTGTTGACACTTATTTTGTGTGATTTCCTTTGCTCCTAGGATGTCAGCCCATTTTTTCCGTACTTGAGCATGGCGTGTGTTTTTGCTTTTATCCTGAGTTTTGGCTTAGGACCAGGTAACTGACTTAATTAGTTCCTTCTTCTCACTTTGAAGACATTTCCTCTGCAGCTGTTGTCACACAATAGTGATTTCTTTTGTTGTTTCTTCTTCTGTGAAGGTGGCGTGACTAACATCTTGAACACTGAACTCTTCACACAAACCACACGTCCTGCAGCGTACATGATCGCAGGGTCTGTGAACTGGTTAAGCTTCTTCTTCATCGGCCTGGTCTTTCCTTTCATTGTGGTGGGTTTTCCAAAATGATCGACAGTATATCTTCATGTACCTGCTGCATTTAAAATACAGATGCAAGACTTGAATATTTCAAAGATTTGGACTCACTTGTGTTGTATTTGCACAGATCGGACTTCAGCAGTACTGTTTCCTGGTGTTCTTGGCCATCTGCTGCTCAGTGGCTGTGTACATCTGCCTTTTTGTTCCTGAAACCAAGAACAAAACCTTCCTCGAAATCCAGAATGATTTCCAGTCCGCCAGCAACAGAAGGAGTGCTGACGGTCCTGCAGCAACGCTATCATCAACTGCTATATGAAATGAAACATGAAATGTAACCCATGACCCATGACACATTTATGTCACAAAAATTTGTAGTTTCCATGAATATTTATGATCCAAACACATAACACAATACATTTTGGTTTGTACAACTTTTATAATGGGGACTTCACTGAGATTTTGCAATAAAGAACAATTTATGGAAAACATTTCATAACAAATGTCTCATGTTTATAGCAGTGAAGCTGTCTGATTTCAGTTTTAATCGACAGCCTGACCTTTCAGCATGACCTGCAGAACAAAGGGATCGTTGAAGCGTGTGACGGGGGAATGGCTGCACAAAAATATCATGCATGTCTTCGCAGGTGTGGTAAGAGTATCAGAAAAAGTGGAGCTATTGTAACATGACCTACATATTATTATTAAGCAGAAAAAAACATTATATAGGTGAAAAAACTAAATCAGCTCTTTTGACCATCCTTTCTTTATAAGAAAGTTTTCTTTGAGGATTCAAACCAAACTTAACTGGAATATCCTCCTGATTGTACCATAACAGGATCACTGTAGGCTGCTGTCATTTTTCACAGTTCCAAAAATAGGACAATATTTAATCGAAAATCTATTTGAGTCCAAATAAAATTGTTTTTAGATTGTAATTAGATGTACAAGCAAGCAAAGGAGGCTGACTACTTATTTACAGTAATCCTACTGAGTCACCGGTTGTGAATATTTGGTTAAAATTCCCAAATCTTATAAAAGGCTTAACTTTAAAACTAAGGTAGCCATGAGGAAAGTGTGATAAGACCAGATTTAAATATTGTATTGGTATTTCTCTCCTTGTCAATTGATCATCATCATCATTTCAAGGAAATGTGTGGTCTGCGAGGAGCACAATTAACTGAAAAAAGGAGAAGACAGAGAAGAAGAAAACAGCCTGAATCATCTGGCCGAATCATGTTCTTCCTGCATTCAAGCAAATAACTCCTGATTTAACTGCTATACTTCACATAGTATCTTCTAGTATCTATCTATCTTCACATCTATTCCTCCCATTATCTGTGCATTGTGTATGTGCTGTGTACCCCCTTGTCTTCACATGCAATACACATAACAGTGTGCTTAATTATATTTTCCCTAGCTCCAGAAACAGCATGCTTATACTGCAACACTACATGGCCCCAGGTTACACACTATACGCAACACAAAAAACAATAATAAAGGTTTTAATATAAAGTTTTGATGCAGGTCCCCTGAACAAGACAGGGCTTCAAGATTAGGTAATAATTGAGGACTTGATTTAAGGTGTTTATCATTTCACTTAATATTGATTCTTAGTGGTGAATAAATAAAATAAAATAATAAAAATTGACAAAAAGTTGCCATACAGTAAACCTGGGATTTTCAGGTGTCCTCTGCAATTCGGCCTCGTATATGTCCAGTGAATGGCCCCTAATTTACACAGTCAGAATTGTTTACACCTCGGGCCTATCAATAAGACACTGCTGCACTTTCTGCTCATAGGATTTTGCATATAAGGCCACGAAGATCTAAAATCCTCTGTTTATATGTTTAGATTGATGAATTAATTTTCAGTAAAGCCATCTAGCCACTCAAGGAGAGATTACTCTGATGTGCCATGTCCCTTTCCTTCTTTAACTAAGTTAAACTAGCAATACACCACAAAAATACACCATAAAATTTGTGTTATGACCATGTCACTTGTAGGATTGAATGTACTTATAGGAGAGGTGAGTTAATTTGTGTAGTGTAGCATCATTAAACAACAAGACAATTCAAAGTGGTCTATTTAACCTGCTGAAAACTGGCCTCTGAAACTGTTACACTATATTATATCATATGACTGAATTATTTTGACTGAACCATTAAAATGCAACTACTGTTTTACTGTTGTAGCTGGTCATGATGGAGCTAACTAATTCACTACTTGAAAGACTCAGGTTTAGCAGAGATAATATGGGTCTATTTGTTTTTCCCCCCTTTTTTCTAATACTCCAGTCCAGCAGGTGGCGGTAATGAGCCTATGAACTTCATGTCAACAAATCTAAAGGAAGAAGACGAAGAAGAAGAAGCCCCTCCTACTCAACATGGCGACCTAGAGAGGAGTCCACGCTCGTTTGTTGACATTTATTTAAAAACCAAGTTTATGCTTCATTAGTGGATATACAACTACTGTAACCATGTCGAGACTCATCGTCAAAAACCTTCCTAACGGGGTGAGTAACCTGCCGGGTCAGCAGACAGTAACGGTCGCATTTCGTTTCAGTCCACCTGAAGATGCCTTGTTATCTGTGTGTCTTGTGTGCAGATGAAGGAGGAGAGGTTCAGGTCGATGTTTGCAGCCTTTGGCACCGTGACAGACTGCTCTCTGAAGTTTACCAAGGACGGCAAGTTCCGCAAGTTCGGCTTTGTGGGTTTCAAAGCGGAGGAGGACGCGACCAGAGCTCTGAAACATTTAAACAAGAGCTTCGTGGACACATCCAGAGTCACGGTGAGGTTTCAGCCCCCCCTCCTTGCTGCTGTTCACGTTGTTGTTGTTTTTCCACGTGTTAACCCATGGGTGCCGTTTATTCCAGGTGGAGATGTGTAAAGCGTTTGGAGACCCCACTAAAGCAAAAGCCTGGAGTAAACACACTCAGAGCTCAGGCCAGGACAAAGCCTCCGCTCCTGCTGACACTCACAGCAAAGAGGTACCAGCACACTCAAAGTAACAGGCAGGGAAACAGGGAAGAAATCAGGGAAGTCTTAACATTATCTCCAGAGAGAAACTAGTGAAATAAAAGTAATTCTGAAAAAAGTACATAGCGCTTAAGCTTTCTCATGTTATTACCTGGATAGCCACAGTATATTAATTTGTTTTGGTGTAGAACAATGTTAAGTGTTGTCACTTCTTCTAAAAAAATATTGTGCCCGTCTCTTCGATTTTGACTTTAGAAAAAGAAGAAACAGAAAAAGGAACTAAACAGCGGACTTGGAAATGTGAGTAAATGTGTCATTCATTGTTTGTCTGCTGTTAAATGTTAATTATATCAAATCTGAATGTGGATAAAATGCAAATAATCTAGGGCTGATTATCACTCCTTAGTATTATTTTGGTACCAACAAAAGTGTGCACATGGCATGATATATAGATGTCAGTGCATGTAAAGTCAGAGATCTTGTTTGGTTATTCTTTAATCAAATAGATCCTGATTTAAATCCATGTTTTAAACATCTAACATCTGAGAACTTCAGCTGCTTTTTGTTAGCTGTTTTGTAAACAAAGCAAACCTTAAAAAACATGTTTGCACTGCATTTCTTTAGTAACTTATCAAAAAAGTATTGTTTTATTATCATTACCATAATTTATTTCAGCGTTGTCCACTCCACATCATCCATGTTCTGATCTGCATAATGTAGCTATAATAATTTCTTGTTTTGAGGAATTACAGCATTATTTTTCTCCTGTACTTTAAACTCCCAAGTTTATCTATCACAATTGAATAAATCTCTGTCTGAGAAATGTGATGATTTCAAGTGGGGTTTTTTTTTAATGGCACACAGTGTTGTATTTTTATTTATGTGATGTTTAATCTTTGAATGTTCACATTCTTGTCTCATTTCAGCTGGAAGAGGACCAGGGCTTCAAGGAGTTTCTGTCAGTACATCAGAATCGAAGCCAAGTACCAACCTGGGCAAATGACACTGCGCAGCAAGCGGCTGATCCTGACAGTGGACAGACAAAAACTCAGAGCAAGAAGAAGCTTGCTTCAGATGATTACCTCAACTTTGATTCAGACCAGTCCGAGGATGAAGACGAGGAGGAAGAAAATGATGAAGATCAAGATGAAGGTTGGTAATGGTGGTCTTATTGTAGGTACCTGAAATCTGTGTCCCATTTCCAAGTTTACAACCTGGCATTTTAGGGCCACTTTCTATTACTAAACCTGGAAATATTTGACTTCACAGTCTCGTTTAAGGAGGAGTGGATGGTTCAGTTAAGCCTCCAGGTCTTTTCAAGGGCCTATGTTTGTGGACCACGTCCTTTGGAGGCTGCAGCCCCTCAACTCGAACACAGCTGATTCATAACAAAAAAAATTTAAAAACTTTTTGTGACCAATATATACATAGTAAATATGAATGTATACATATTGTTGTAAAGATATACTATGTATACATAGTAAAATACAAACATACTCAAATAAAATGGAAAAAAATAGATTTAGAAAAGAAATTAAAAGAAGTAAATTGTGCAGCTGAGGTTATAATAGATGGATGAAAGTGTGCGGTTACAGTGCTTCAAATGACAAGAAATGAATAAATTTGCATCTGTGTTACTATATTACAAATGCTACATATTACAGATGCAGAAATATGCAGTGAAGGCAAACTAAAGATTGACTGGACTAAATATGAGTTTCATGTTGCTTTCAGGTGCCACTAAGGAAGCACTGAAGTCTGGCTTGTCAGATATGGATTACCTGCGCTCAAAGGTGGCACAGACAAACGACACCATGGTAGAGAGTGGGGAGGAGGAGGAGGATGATGGTGAAGGGGGTGATGATGATGATGATGATGATGAGGACAATGGTCCTGTGCAGCACACAGACAGCGCCTATGAGAGTGGTGACAGAGAAAACAGCTCAAAGACGAAAAATTCAGTTTCCTCTGAGGATAACAAGCAGAGCAAAGCCAAGAAAACTGCCACGCAGGAGGTGATCTGCAGTTATACAATACAGTTCAGCGCAGCATATTGTTTGTGTTCAGTTTCCACCTGTTAACACCCCCATCTGTTTGTTGCAGATGGAGCCGACGACAGACTTCACAGTGAAGCTGAGAGGAGCCCCCTTCAATGTTAAAGAGGTGAGTGAACATAAGCTTTCTGATTTCAAAGATACAGTGAAGAGGCTCTGCATTCTGTATATTATAGTGTCTGCATCTTTAACGCCAACATTTGTTTTTATGTGTGACCTCAATAGCAACAAATTAAAGAGTTCATGACCCCATTGAGGCCCGCAGCAATCAGGATCGGAAAGAACGAAAGTGGAAATAGAACAGGTATGTTACTGAAAGCATTTTAATATAAGCTCCTCAGCATACTGTACGTTAAACATATTTGATAGACTGAGTGTGCTGTATACCACATATCTGATTGTACAACAGTCCTTATAGTATATGTAATGCATGTGTCTGTGTAGACTGTATACAGGCCCATGTATAAGCTCTGCATCTTATGTGTGTCAGGTTATGTATATGTGGACTTGCGCTCTGAAGAGGAGGTGGAAAAGGCCCTGAAGAAGAACAAAGACTACATAGGTGAACAATATTATGTCTCATTTTTATCTCTGTTCTTAATATTTTTATTTGCCTTGCTACCTTTTTTGTGTGCTTTAACATTCGTTGAGTATGAAGGTAACTTCCACTTTTAATTATTGTGTAAATTCCCCGTGTCATCCAGCTTTTAAACCAAATCACAGCTCTGTAATTGTGCAGTAATCTGGTATTTTTAACCTGTATTTATTTTGTATAAACATTTATGAATAAAACATTAGCCCAAGAAGTGCAAAATGACAAGTATAGAGAAATATAATGTTATTTATGAAAATGCTTCAGACTGTTGTGATATGTCATTTTGTCTGCGTCACACCTGGCTTGGTTCGAAAGGACTGACCTTGTGCCTGTGTTTTCAGGGGGGCGTTACATTGAAGTCTTCCGTGTGGATGTCTCTGGGGGTAAGGGCAAGAGGGACAGAAAGGACAAAGAAATTGACAGAAACTTCACCAGGAAGCTCAAGGAGGACGAAGAGGAGGAAGATATTGCAGAGTCAGGTCGACTCTTCATCAGAAACCTTCCTTACACCTGTTCCGAGGAAGAGATCAAAGAGCTGTTTGCTAAACACGGTGAGTAAAAAAACCAAAAAAAACATGCGTATATACACACACACACAAGCTTTTATCTGCAAAAATAAATTCATTTTGTCCAACTTCATTATAATTTTGCAATCTTTACAGGTCCTTTATCTGAGGTGCTCTTCCCTATTGACAATCTCACAAAGAAACCTAAAGGATTCGCTTTTGTAACCTACATGATACCAGAGAATGCTGTGACAGCTCTCGCTCAGTTGGACGGACATATATTTCAGGTACTTGATCTCTTACTGATGTTCGAGATGTTTCTCTACCCTATAAGATATGTAATTGTGTAATGTATAATGTATAATTTAGTAGTGCAACTTGATTTGCAGGTTAAACTGAGGCTGATTGGAAACATTACTTTTTCTCATGCTTTCAGGGCAGAATGCTTCACCTGCTTCCCTCCACCGTGAAGAAGGAAAAGACTGACTCCGCAGATGCTGGTGGTCCTGGCTCTTCATCTTACAAACGACAAAAAGATGCCAAGAATAAAGCTTCGAGCTCCAGGTATACATGATCCCATTAATCTGCTGCTTCTCTCTGTGTGTTTTATTTAAATTTACATGTAAAATTTCTGCTTCTTTCCAGTTCACACAACTGGAACACCCTGTTTCTTGGCACAAGTGCAGTGGCAGATGCCATTGCTGAAAAATACAATACCACTAAAAGCCAAGTTCTGGACCATGTGAGTGACACTACTCCCTGTTCTTCTATATTTCTGCTCCCCTCAACATACTTCTACAACAGGTGTGGTTACAGCAGCATGTGAATTATAAAGCATAATACAAATTAAGCATTCAACTTCTTTGGTCCTTGCCCTCCTCTGCAGGAGTCCAAGGGAAGTGTTGCGGTGAGGATGGCTCTGGGAGAGACGCAAATCGTCCAAGAGACTCGACAGTTCCTATTGGACAACGGAGTCTCTCTGGATTCCTTTAGTCAGGTAAGTTTAATATAAACATCCTTACTTTCTACTTCACAGTGCGTCGGTTAAGATTGTTTCCTCCTTGTGCACTCCGGTGTACAGGCAGCAGCAGAGAGGAGTACAACTGTGATCCTGGTGAAAAACCTTCCAGCTGGAGTGACGGTGTCGGAGCTGGAGGAGCTCTTCTCACCTCATGGCTCTTTGGGTCGAGTGTTGCTGCCACCTTCAGGACTCACCGCCATCATCGAGTTCCTGGAGTCAACTGAAGCAAAACGAGCCTTCACAAGGCTGGCCTACAGCAAGGTGCGTGTTGCTCTTCACCTGCATAACCTGTCCATATAGTATGTGTTGATTTGGGGCACTGAAGACTTGTATGTATCTCTGCAAACTCAGTTCCATCATGTCCCGCTGTATTTGGAGTGGGCACCTGTTGGGGTTTTTATGGCAGCCAAACCAGAACCAGGTAGGTCCTACAAACACAAATACTCATAAACATGGCGAATTACAAATTTCAGGTTTTGTATTTTTTATACATGAAAGGGATAACAAAAATAACTAGAATATGTATTGGATCTGTCCAACCAAGTGGACAAAGAGGAGGCAGCGAAAGAACAGAAGAAGGAGGAAGAGGAAGAAGATGAGGAGGAGGAAGAGGAGGAATCCGCTCCAGGTTCCACACTTTTCATTAAGAATCTTAATTTCAGCACAACAGAGGAGAAACTACAGGAGGTAGGTCGACTCATAAACACAACTCTGTTATGTTTAGTAACAGTTAAGGTGGGTTTAATCATGCACTGATGTATAATACTGTTTTCAGACATTCTCCAAATGTGGCAAGATCAAATCCTGCACCATCTCCAAGAAGAAAGATAAAACAGGTACTAAACATTGAAAGTAGGATCACTAATCTGAAAACGGACCGAACATTTATATTATATATAAAGATTTATAGGGGTTTCATTTGCGAGAAAATTGTTTTTGACCTGTTGATTATTTTTATTATCTCTGCTGAATTGATGATATGAACTCACCTGTTGTTAAGTTTCAACTATAATTTATACTTTAGTATCAAGTATTTCTGTAGATGTATAGATACACCAATCTATCATTATTCAATTGATTATACACATTTTGACAGTGATGTTATCTAGGGCTCCTGTCACAATTCACTTTACTTTTTACTGAATCATGAGAGAGATTAAAAGGGGGAAAAAAGTGACACTCAACTGTGCTGTCGTCACACAATGCCGTCAGTTTAGTGCCACACATCATTTATCTAAACAAATGTGATTCTGTTAAAAGGAAATATCTACTTATCTGGTGAGTTAACCGCCCTGTGTTTCTTGTTTTGACTCCCAGGAAAGATGTTGTCCATGGGCTACGGTTTTGTCCAATATCAGACGCCAGAGGCAGCACAGAAGGCTCTGAGGCAGCTACAGGTATGGCTGCATTTCCTCATCGAAACTCTCACAGCCTTTGTTCACAGCCTGGTTCTGGACTAATGTGTTCTCTCCCTCTCCCTCTCCACCAGCACTGTACTGTGGATGATCACAACTTAGAGCTGAAGATTTCTGAGAGAGCCACAAGGTAAGATTAGGTTCAGAGGGATTTTATTGAACATTTTTGAATAAGTGTATCAAAAGTAGTAAACCAGGGCTGTTGCCTTATTAAGTGTTTCAAGCATCAGCACCTGGCAACACAGTTACATTATAAAATGTTGTTTTTCATTATTTTAACATATTGACTGAGGGTTTGTGGGGCATGTAAACCTCCTCTGTTGTCACTATTCATTCAGTCTTCTCCCCTGTGCACAGGACTACTGAGGCGTCACGCAAGAAGAAGCAAGTTGAGAAGAAGCAGACAGGATCTAAGATCCTTGTGCGCAATGTTCCCTTCCAAGCCAGTGTCAGGGAAATTCGAGAACTCTTCTGGTAGCGGTCGCATACACACAACTGCTTTTTTTATTCACACTATGCATGGAGAAGGTTTAGAAAGAGATAATTTAATAATGCTACGGTTTTGTCCCTCTTTCTGCTCAGTACATTCGGAGAGCTGAAAACAGTCCGCCTTCCAAAAAAAGCAGCTGGTTCAGGGAATCATAGAGGCTTTGGCTTTGTTGATTTCCTCACCAAACAGGATGCTAAGGTTTGTGTGTGATTTGATTTAATCTGTTTTTTCGTAGATAATGTAAGCACTCTGATGCAAGAGTCCTCTTGTACTACAGTGTAGTATGGTGAACAGTATTATGCTATGATCATAAATTCTGTCTCTCTACAGAAAGCCTTTGCTGCACTGTGCCACAGCACCCATTTGTACGGGAGACGTCTTGTGCTGGAGTGGGCTGATGCTGAGGAAACAGTGGAGACACTGAGGCGGAAAACAGCCGAACATTTTCATGGTAAATCTACAATTTTTTTTTAACATACAGAATATGATCCGTAAAATGAAAGTAGAATTGCTATATATATATTCAATTCTTACATCTCATTTATTTCTCATATCAGTTGCCTCCAAAAAGCAGCGGAAGGCAGAGGTTTTGGAGGGAATTATGGAAAAGATGGAAACTGATGGGGGCGTGGAAGACTGAGGTCCCTCAACGCTCCTGTTGCTGTGAAGGCCTTGATACAATCCTGACCGCTCCCATGATTTTCCATGTGAATAGGACTGAGAAGAAAATATGGACCTGACCCAGATGTGCAGATGGAGCAAATTATGATAAATTTATCACCTGATTGGAGTTGTGTGAAAAACTTTGAAAACTTCTGTATTCTTTACATACAAGTTTTGTATAGAATGATCAACCTCAACATGATGGGACTGATATCAGTTTTTATATAAAATTTTATTTCATGATATAAAAGCTGTTAGCGTCACTTTATGTCACACATTGCGTCTGTTTGAGTGGCTGGAATAATGAACAACCATGAGCGAAGAGGATGTAGTCTTTTATTTTGAAAGTACACTCGAGTACAGTCATGTGACCAGTCGCCCGCATTATCATGTGACTTGTTTATGCGAACATGGCGTTCAGGTGTGGGACGTCGGCTGTGGGAAGTTTTACAACAGTTTTGAATGTTTTAGGGATTTTATACGTGTTGTGTTTTATGTGTGCGTCTGGTCGAGCTGAAATACGAACCGCGGTTATTGACAAAAAGACCGGGCAGCTGTCTGTCCTGGAGGGATACCAAGAAGATTTTGTTGCTTGGGCGAACTTCACTGATGACATTAAAACATCAGGGTGAGTGGACGTTAATGTGTCTTTTAACTTAGAGGGGATCACATACGAAACTATTTTCTACCTGGCCCCCGAGTTGGGTAAGGTTAGGACTGCAACTAAAGATTATTTTCATTTTCATTTAATCTATCAGTTATTTTTTTCCATTATTCATTTAGTCTATAATGAATCATAACAACAAAAAGGTGTAAGTGACACGTAGAGAACCAGGTATTTTGAATTTTCAGTGATGTTGCAAAGAAAAAAGCAACAAATCATCACACTTGAAAAGCTAGAACAAGAAAATGCAAACCAAAACAGACAACAGAAGTGAAACTCGTGACAGGAGAGGTTAAGACAGCCATAGACATAAAGTAGGCCTGTGAACGAATTAAAAATCCAACATAAATGCATGAATAGTTTAAATGAAAATACATAGAGATAAAAAGCAAATAGAGAAAAACACAACACATAACAACAACATAACATTCAACACTAATCAGATAACAGCTTAAAAATGAAAAAAAGACTTGAGTACAGGAAAATAAAGCAGCACAGAATATAATAACCAAACGGTAGACAAGAGTAGTTATTGTTACTCCATATTCCATATTACTCCATTTTATTATTCCATATCTGGGCACCATGATAGCACAGGGCATACTGGCCATGGCCAGTTTCATAAAGAGGAAGAGGACAGTAGTCTTGAAATTGCATCTGTCTCGTCCTTGCCAACTTTACATTATTCCAAGCCTGCACACAGGTATTATTTGTCATCTTTTTCATTTATTCATATGTGCTCTCTTTTCAGCTGGTCTTTCTTGGAGGTCACCACCAGTAGTCGGTACAATGACAGTATGCAGGCTTATGCTGCAGGTGCAGTGGAGGCAGCAGTCACATCTCAGGTCAGCTTAAAGCTTTATTCTGCAGGCTTCATTGTGCAAGTAGTCAAAATGTTTTATTTACTCGCTTTACATTTCAATTAATTTGAACTCTTGGTATATATGCGTTTTAGCTCATCTATAAGCACTGGATGAACACTCTAATGAATTACTGCGGGCCCTTCACCAGTCAGACCGGTTACTGCGAGCGCCTTAAGGCTTTCATCACAACCAATCTGCAGTGGGTTCAGGACCAAATACAGAAGAACCCAAGTTCACCCTACTGGTACCAGGTACGTAATGAGCATTTATAGGATGCATAAAATCCTTTGCATGGAAACAAAAACGTTTTAAGGCCAGAGAAAATATATTCCACTATCTGTTTGTTCTTGTCAGGTGCGTCTGGCCCTGCTGCAGCTGAAAGGTCTAGAGGACAGCTACAATGACGAGCTGTCATTTCCAGTGGGGCCGCTCTCTTTCAACCCATTTGGCTTCATGTAAGTGCTTATTTCTATTTTGTATAAATCAAACATGTTTCCTCACTGTTCCTGAGAACATGAAGTTTTTTATTTATTTATTGTTGTCTCACATTCTCCACTGCTACCCTGTCCAACCAGACTTTTCCAGCTGGGCGGGGATCTTGAGGACTTGGAATCAGCTCTGAACAAATCCAGCCAAACTCGACCTCTTGGATCTGGTTCCTGCTCTGCTCTCATTAAGCTGCTGCCAAACAATAAGGAACTGCTGGTGTCGCATGACACCTGGAATACTTACCAGGCCATGCTGCGAATTATGAAGAAATACATCTTTGCCTTTAAAGTCTCTCCTTTAGGTAGTGTACTGATACGAGTGCATCTCCTGTTTTACACTCCCTTATTAATTACATTAAAGCAATAGTTCAACATTTTGTTCAAAATGCTTTATGCTTTATTGAGTTAGATGAGACGATCAATATCACTCCCATGTTTGTACAGTAAAAAATGGAGCTACACAATTTATTCCCAAGTTTGAAAGACTCAGCAACAGACTGGCAGCATTGTTGCTGTCTATGACATGTGAATACAGGTTAGTCTAACTGTATTAATGTGCTCTAATTTCTTTCAGACAATCAGCTTCTTCCTGGGGGAACACAGGCATTCTCATCTTACCCTGGATCTATCTTCTCTGGAGATGACTTTTATATCCTAAGTAGTGGCTTGGTGAGAACTCTTTGTGCTTGGCATGACAGAATTGAGTGTTCTGTGTTATTATTTTTCTAGATGGAGTTTATTGTTCTTAATACTTCTTGTTTCTGCAGGTTACGTTGGAAACCACCATCGGCAACAGCAACCCTGCTCTCTGGAGGTTTGTTCAGCCCACAGGAACCGTCATGGAATGGCTGAGGAACATTGTTGCTAATCGACTGGCTGTGACTGGCAAGGCATGGGCCAGTATCTTCAGCAAGTACAACAGTGGAACGTGAGTTTCACACACAAGAAGGAAACAGGCTCTCATTACTTTTTAACCAATGTTATCAACACTTTGTCCAGATGTAATCATCTGAGCAGCTTCGAGGCTCTGTTGTCTGCCTCTTTTTTGTATTGTATTCAAAATTCACACTGATGACGAGATTAGATACGATGTTGTGTGATCTCAGACTGATGTGGAGTGAGAGGAGAAAAGGCAGCAGAAGAAGGTCTTTTACAGTATTATCAGGAGTCATGTGAGAAGTCAGCTGGGTGATACAGCTGTAATGGGGTCATTGTGCTGAGTGTTTGTTGTGAATTGATGAGTCAGTTATGTCGATTACATATATGTACAGGAAATAAATAAAATTGAGTAAAAGCTAGTAGGTTAAAGGTGTTATGCTCAGTTTGGAGTGTGTGTGTGTGTGTGTGTGTGTGTATGTGTGTGTGTGTGTGTGTCTGTGTGTCTGTGTGTCTGTGTGTCTGTGTGTCTGTGTGTCTGTGTGTCTGTGTATGTGTTTTGTAGGTATAACAACCAGTGGATGATTATAGACTATAACCACTTCACTCCAGGGAAGACTGATATTAAAGAGGACCTCTTTGTTGTGCTGGAGCAGATTCCGTAAGTCTCTGCAGTTGACCTTTAATCAAAAATAGATGATTAAGTCAGTATTTCTGCATATGACACAATGAGACACAACTCATTCACTTCGAATAATCTTTTCTTATCTTGGGATGCTGCAGGGGGCTCGTTATTTACACTGATAAAACTCAGGAGCTGCTGGAGAAAGGGTATTGGGCAAGTTACAACATACCGTAAGTATCCAGATTAGAAACGGAGTTTTATGTAACATGATTGCATGTTTTCTGATTGTATTGTGTGTAAATTATTTTTCCTTTGTTCAATCATGCTCATTTGTAGGTACTACGTGGACATATTCAATGCCAGTGGCTGCAATGAGCTTGTTGAGAAGTTCGGCCCGTGGTTCTCGCTGGACCAGAATCCTCGGGCTCAGATATTCAGAAGAAACCAGACAGATGTCACAGATGTGGACTCAATGATCCGCCTCATGAGGTACGGTCTGTTTGTTGCACAGGCTTGAGTTGGGCTTTTTCATCATGTGCTGGTTTGATCAGCATAATTCAAACAAATTTTAACATTAGATTTTATATTATTATAGGCTAATGAGTAAAATGTCATTTTATTTATGAGATGCAGTGTCTCTCCTCAGGTATAACAACTTTAAAGAAGACCCATTGTCAAAGTGCGAAGGCTGCAATCCCCCTGCAAATGGGGAGAATGCAATCTCTGCTCGTTCAGACCTGAACCCGGCTAATGGAACATATCCGTTTGGTGCCTTAAAGCAGAGACCACATGGGGGAACAGACATGAAGGTTTTTATTTCATTCTTTTTTTCTCATTTAATCACCTTTAATAAACTTGCCATCACCCATCATTTGACCCACCATGCTCACCAAATCTTTTGTGTGTTTGTCTCAAATTAAACTGACAAAATCTAATGGATTGTGATCTGATGAATTGTGTGTGTTGCTCTGCAGATGACTTCCTACGAGATGTTTCGAGAGTATGGCATGGTGGCAGTTAGCGGGCCAACCTGGGACCAGGTGCCACCCTTCCAGTGGAGCACTTCCCCTTACAAAGACTTGATGCACATGGGTCACCCTGATACTTGGGCATTCAAGCCTATAAAAGTCACCTGGACTCCTTAATTGTTATTATACTGTATATACAAGTGGCATGATTAATACCGCCATCTGTGCGGTTTGAAGTTTTGACAAAGGGAAATGGTTCTTTAATGTAGTGTGACATGACTTTTATGAACATAATAGTCATGTTATTGATTCTCAGGTCAGTGGTGATAATATTTTAGCAGTATTACAGTATTGCACTATTTGCATAATTAAAGCCAAGAAGGCTAAAGAGAGCTTTGAATGTGAGGCAATATAACAGAGAACAACTTCACAATCTTGTTGTAAAGTGGAAGCTTCCACATTAGATTATATCTGATTTTCATGTTTTGTTCTTAAAATGTTGATTTTCTGACGCTAAATGTGTGAAAAATGATCTCCATTCTGATGGCTTAACTATTTAGTGCTGTGGTAACATTTTTCCATGGAACTACAACCTTCTTCGGAGAAATGGCCAAGTACTAATATTGATGCAGATGCAAATTTTCTTTAACACTAATGGAAAATTAAGTAATTCTGTTATGATGTGTTTTATGATTTTTTTTTTTTTATTTCTAAAATGTTTTCTAAATAAACAGTGCCCCGATCGTTCCCTTTTTTAAATATAATTTTGTATCGCTGCTCAGTCCGTGTAATGGTTTGTTAGTTAGATTTTCCATATTATAAAAAACAATAACAGAAAATTGAATTCAGTGTTTTAAAATGTTCTTTTTCTTTTCATTACGTCCATGTTAAATGTTGGTCAGTACCAGTCATGCAAATAGGATAGGAGTATGTACAGAACTGTGAAAAGTTTTAGCCACTTTAGATGTTTAGATTGTAATTGATCCACACAGTACAATCAGATAAGCGTCTGATTGGTCACAAATTTTATTGTGCAGCATGACAATGACCCATACAGCCAGGGTCATAAAGAACTATCTTAGGCTCAAGAACAAAGAGTCCTTTAACATGGTATGGCCCCCACAGAGCCCTGATCTCAGCATCATGGAGTCTGGGACTACATGAAGAGACAGAAGACACTGAGACAGTGTACCTGTTAAGTACCTTGAAAAATGGTGCCCCTTAGTGTACTTTAGTAGAATAGGTGGTGTTTCATAGGCAAAGGGTGGTCACACCAAATACTGATTTGATTTATTTATTTCTGCTTACTGCACTTTGTATGAAGTCAATTGATAAATAAAAACTGTTCATGGAATTATTTTTCAATTTACTTTTAGTGCATAAATGTTTTAGTCATTCTTTCATGGCTAAAGGTAATTATTTTAATATTTCTCGAAAAAAATGATAAAATAACCCCACATATAAGATAGTAAACAGTGCCCGGCTCCAACCGTCGTCTACGTCGCTTACGTCATGGCCGTCGTCATGGCAGTGCACTCTCGTAAACTGACAGCGCTGTCGTACCGTTATTTTTGCGGCGCCGTAGCTGAACTTTAAACTATTGACAATTCGAAATCCGGTTTACTTACAACCAAGATACTCGGGTTTTACCGCGTTTTAACAAAACCGGCGATGTGATCAGACAAGACTTCGCAAACTCAAGGTATGAAGTAATCTTTTAGCTAGTTAATTAACAACACTACTTTGACAGTAACCTAAACGGTACTTTATCAGATCTGGTTGATGTGATAGAAAAGTTACACGTCTCCTGTGGCTCTGTAGTGTTGACTAAATGTGATTCGTCCACCGTACTGCCAACACTGGTTCTTTCAATCTCGTATTGAACGCTGTTACACTGTAAAAGCGCTGCATTCACACAAAGAAAGTGGAGGTCATTTTGGGAATCTTCAGTCCTTCTGACTTAGAAATGATAAGTGTCTTACTGAAATTGTCCTGAACATCTTGCTTAAATTGATCAGATGTGTTGATCCAGTGTAAGTAATGAATAGTAAGTCCACCAGCTAGCTCCAAGAGCAAACATTACAAAAGGTACTGTGTTGGAAAATAGCTGTCAAAACTATAGTACTAACCGAAGCGACTTTCTCCTATTTACAGATTGACGCATGATGGGTGTTTGGCAGCCAGCGACTAACCTTAAAGATTATATATCCCATAATCCTCCAGGGGTGACATTTTTTCTATGTCTATTGACTCTGGCTATCTCCTTCATCTGCCTCAGCTCTTACAGCTACACTCACACTCTGCCTAACCCTGACACAGCAAAGGTAAGGACTCATTTATCCTAATTGAGTTTGGAGATTGGAAATTGTTGCAGAAAACTCTGTGTAGTTTGGAAAAAAGTTAATTCACGACTGCATGTATGCATGTGGTTCTGTGTGTGTGTGTGTACTAAACTGATATTGATGTTCAAATCGTGTGCTTTATTCTTCTCTTAGGACTGGAACCATCTACTATCCTCCTTATCACAGTTCCAGCTGTGTGTGAAGTCAAATTCATCTGAGCTTGTCTCACCAGTTCCCTCTCCTCTGATGGAGCAGGAAAAGCATATAGAAACTTTAGTTAACTCGACAAAGACTTCTTCAGTCACCCCTTTGCATCTCAAGGTTCCTCTGGCTGTGACTGCCAGCTCAGCCAGTGGCTCTATGAAAGACTTAAGTCTGCAGACTACCTTGGAAGCCAGTCAGCTACATCTTGGAGGTCGGTATTGCACTGAAGTGTTTGTGTTGTGAAATAAAGTCAAGTGTGTATAACCATACATTCTCACCCATGTGTATGTGTTTTACTCCCCAGGAAATGAGATTGTTGATGTGACTTTAGAGTTTTTACCTGGAAATAGTACCCACACCTGCCTCACCATTAGTGCCCCAACACACCTTCTGCCTATGAGCCTGTAAGTTCATTCATCCCCTAAAGTGTGTATTTCTAAGCTTCCTTAATTTAAATCACCAAATATTAAGAGTATGTCTATCAACCCATCAATTTTTTTTTTTGTGTGAAGACTTCCTCCGGAATGTCCTGCATTTGAGAAAAATATTTCACCCATCCGTGTGGAAGTGAGCAACCAGCTGCCTACAGCATCACAAACCTGCTACAGTTTACACTCCACGAATGACCCTACGCTCACAGTCATGTTAACACAGGTACAGTGTGTCACAAATGAACAACATAACATGCTTGACCATAGTACAGATGTTCTCTTGTCACCATGTTAGTCATTCTCTACTTTTACTCTTTAGGAGGAGCAGAGTGTGGCAGTGCATCATCTGTTGGAAGTCAGTGTGTGTCTGCTCGGAGTTTGTGTGATGCTCTGTTTAGCTGCTAGTCTGACACGTTCACTCACACGCCGCTACCACTGGAATGGACTGGATCTACAAAATGTAACTTGCATTACTATCCAACTAACAGTTTAGACTGCTTAGTCTTTTGGAATCTGCTTACATTAACCAGGATTTTTGTGTACCACATCTAAATGTCTTAGCATTTTGAGAAATGTGCACTGTTTAATCTAACCTCACTGCTTTACTTAATTTGCAGGACCCATTGATTGACACCTGAACATTTCTCATCCTCTGCATCTTGAAGAGATCAGTTGGTGGCTGAGAGAAGAGCCATATGTATAACTGCATTTAAAGGGGCCAACTTAATGAATGTGCAATACTAAATCAGTGGAGCATCCCTGTTAGATATGAGAAATGTGGTTGTGATAAAGAAGGAATATATTTTGTTATTGGACCATGGTGTAATGGGAACAACTCTTCAGCTGGTATTGGCTACACTGTTGACTGGTGATACATTCACTCCCCAGTCTGTTATGTACAGTACATTCCAAGAGTCGTTTGCTGTCTGAACTGCCTTGTTTATTTGAGTTCCTACATTTCCCAGAATTATTTTCAGTAACTAAAATTGACATTACCTGGTTGCATTCGACTGAGTGAGGACTTGATATACCGAGAAGTGTTTGTCTAGTTAAAAATCTAAATTTAATATTGTTTTAAACTCAAAGTAGTAGTGTAATACTGTATGCTGAATTCCTATCAGCAGGTGTACTATGCTAGTATTGCATATTTTACCACTTTAATTTACATGTCTGACATTGAAACCTCATTCAACCTAGATGCCATAACTACAGATCCACAGTTTGAGTGGTGTTGCCCCCTACGGAACAATCTGATGAATCATAATTTGCATAACAGTAGAAATGTTAAGAGTTAGTGTTGAAGAAACATTGAAATGTTTCTAGCTCTTGCTGTTTATAAGCCACAGATGGCATTCAAAGGACAAAAAGAAAATGGGCTTAACAATTGTTGAAGTTCTTATGACACGGGCGATTTGTTAAATAACAAAGAGCACACTAAGAACACTAAAGTGTGTGCAGTGTTATGAACTGACTGGTCCTCTAGACACAGTGAATGTTTGTGTCCAGGATTTTCTGCACTAACAACTCAGGAACAGGTGATTGCTTTCAAGAAGGCATCTTAACGGTTTAGTAGTAGTAATTAAGTAGTAATTAAACATTAATGGTGAAAGATATAAATACTAGTTTCCTATTGTGAATGTGACTGGAGTTAATGGACTTTTTTGGAGTGTGCGAGTAACTTAACATCTGGTGTGTTTGAGTTTGTGCTCAGTGAAGAAAAGCAATTGATGTAACACTTTAGACTTGATGCACACACACATGCATGCAAAACTGGTATTAATAAACATTTGCAGTCACTGGTTTGGATAACAATGAACTTTTAATTAGTGACTTGGCTTCAGGAGCTAGGACCAGCAATCAAAGGAGATGGAATTTATATGTGTCATTTTAATTTTTTCTTTTAAGAGACCAGAAAATAAATACCATAATCTAAATGCCTATTCTACTCTTCCAAATAACTGCTTATGTAGGTATTAGAGTATTGTTTTTCTGTGTTCCTGGAGGGCCTTGGGTTTTGGTCATTTCGGTCCTCCATGGTGCCATATGGAAGTGAACTTGTAGAGACTTGGTAATTTGCTTCACATCTCATGAACATCACGCCTGGTTTCAATTTCCCAAAGCTACATTAGTGTGTAGGAAAGAAAAATGATTTCACCACCAAATCTTTCTACAAAGGATTGAACAACAAAGGTTATGGTGCTGATCAGGAAGAGTTAAACAGGCCTATATTCTCAATTATGATAAACACACAATAAACATTTTGATCATCTGTAAGTTTTGTTTTTTTCAAATACACAAATGAATATACTTGTCATTTTATGATTCAAAAAGTCGTCACAAGAAATTCAGTTTATTTAAGTCAAAGACACCATTGCACCGGTATGTTATCCGGTCACGTAACAAGACTTATCCTCCAATCATCGTCCAGAATCTTTACATGGTACTCTCCTATTGGAGTTAGAAAACTAGAGGCGGGATTTCAGCAGACGAGAGGACTGGGTAGTTGGATTCTTCACGGCCTGGCGGACTGTTTCATGTCAGGAAAAAGGAAACGAAAACGTTACAAAATTATACATTCCTCATTGTACGGATTATTACACTAGCGCGGAGCCACTACTGAGTCGCCGTCTTGTGAGAACGGTTTGCAAAGTTGGTGAAAATTAACGTCCACTCCATGTTTAATCAGCGTGAAGCTAGCTAGCTGTTGTTAACTCATAAACACTCCATAGAAGACGCTAATGTCCGCTAGCAGCAATTAGCCAAATATTAAACGTTAGTAACAGTTGCTGTGCATAACGTCTGAAACGGTTATGTCGTGTCCTCGTCACTAACGTGACCGGGCCTTTCTTCACAGTTACCTCGCTAGCTAGACCAATAGCTGTTCTATGCATAAATACATTAATGTCTTCATAGCTAACACCTTGCCTACAGGCGCTCTTTGCTCTTAGCTAAAAAATTTGTTGTTTCCAAGCAGGCCTCCCACGTGGTACCCCCTTGTCAGGGGGCGGGGGGTTTAATAAGTTGTGGGTGTTATCTTGGCACCCAAACGTAGTTGTTAAGCGTCCACATTAGCTGATGTCGTGCGTTAGTTAATGGAGGCACTCTTTAGGTAAATGTACAAGACCTATGATAGTTTTCTTGCCTATTAGGATGAAACCTCTGGACTAGAGCTTGGTTCATCAGGAAAAAGACAGGAGACCAGGAAGGAAACAGGAAATAATTGTGAGTGGCCATGGCCTACTCCAGCTACAGCAACCTGAGCAGGGCTCAGCTTACCTTTGAGTACCTGCACACAAATTCGTAAGTACCGGCTTGCTGGGAATTAATCTGTGAACAGAATTATTATAACTAATGTTACAGACCACCAACTTGATAAAGCATGCCAGCTCATCCATGTAAATATTTTGTGACATTAATGTTTGTACAGGTGGACCCGGACGCTATAAATATTCCATACACCAACCTAATCCAACCTGAAAAGTTCTTTTGAATTCTTGAATATGCTCCAGTTTCTTTGTGTGTCTGTTTGCATTTAATGATTTGCATCCAAAAATAGTTTTTTAAGTCTGCATGGATCATTTCATTTTAAGTTATGTCATACTTTTAATGTATATTGGCTAACATTTACCAAAAAAACTCTGTTGGTGTGTATTATGTGTGGAATCGAAAATCTTTGCAATTTACTTGCATCAATTTCTCATGTGGATTTAGTCAGACACTGTTAATGCTAAAATGTTGCTAGTTCATGTCACGAGTTCACCTGAATCTCTTGTCCATGCTTGAATACTCTGTAGTGCACCAGTCAACACATTTAAGAACACAGATGATATCAGACTCTGGGCTCATTTCCAAATCCATTGCTAAGGGATTATGGACAGGTCAAGGGAGGGTCTAACCACAAGAGCAGGACTGAAACAATTATTATTTGAGTAATTTACCAGATAAAATAGCTGGTGATGTTGGTTTCTTGTGATGGATATTTGTTATTAAATGTGATGCTTGGTGGACTAAATGATTAACCAGGTAATAGGAAAAAAATGACACATATTTGTTTAATGCACCTGGAGAAGAGTATTGAATACTTAAGAATAAGTGTGATTTATACTCATGGAGAGAGTACCCGTCGTCATTTGTTCTGTCACAACAAGACATTGTCAGTATGTGGTAATAAAGAAGAGGCTCAGGTACCATACAAATAGGGGGTCCAAACAGATGGTAGGATCCTTTTTACAGGATGTGAAAAATTGTGGTTTTCAGTGAAGCAGTTAATGGAATCCTCTGTTCTGTTCACACTGACACATCTGTCTCAATAGACTAGAGAAAATGCAATAATAACCTTCCCAGAGAATGTTAGTTAAGTGTTCAGATCAATAAGTCAACAAGTATCTCTGACACATCCACTTTCTCTGTCCACTTTGTCTGTTATCTCATAAAATGCCTTTAAATAATCAATTATATTGTGTGTTTTCAGGACAACCCACGAGTTCTTATTTGGAGCCTTGGCAGAACTTGTGGACAATTCAAGGTATCCTGGATAACTTACATTAGCCTGATATTTCCCTATTAGTACTAAAAAAAAGTCTCACAGTTGGTTTATTTCTTTCACAGAGATGCTAATGCCACACGAATAGACATCTACACAGGTACACCTCAGAATAACTCACCCAGTGTCACACAAATTGAAGCATATATATTCATTCGTTGCTCCTAATATCTGTCTTTCACCTTCTTACTTTTCCAACAGAAAAAAGACCTGAGCTGCGGGGCGGCTACATGCTCTGTTTTCTGGATGATGGTATTGGAATGGACCCGAGTGAGTCACTTTATTGCCAGAGAAATCACTTCAAGCTACTCTTTAGTTCATGTTTAAAGTTGCTTTGTGTGGAGCCATTGTGAGGTTTTCTGATGGTTTATGTATTTTGTGTGTGAAATACAATGCCTCTATAACACCTCTTTTTTTAGATGAGGCAACCCATGTGATTCAGTTTGGAAAGTCCAGCAAACGGTCACCTGAGTCCACTCAGATTGGCCAGTATGGAAATGGACTGAAATCGTAAGACCTTAACGCAATTCTTTTGTAATTACAATATTGTGCAGTTTGTACACTAGTGTTTGAATAAATAAGCGCATGATTAAAATGTGTTATTTTTTTCACAGTGGCTCTATGCGTATTGGCAAAGACTTCATCTTGTTCACAAAAAAAGGCAATGCGCTGACTTGCCTTTTCCTGTCAAGGACTTTCCATGAAGAAGAAGGGCTGGATGAGGTCAGAGTCAACTGTTAGACAAAGCTGTTAAATATTGGATGTCATCTTTTATTAGGGATGAGTTTGATTAACACATTAATTGATTACTAATTGGAATTGTCTGATTGTTAGAATTATTATAGTTAATTTCTATGTATTGTGCATGCACAATAAATAAGTGATGGATATGAAAACAAAGTAAGTAGTTCATTAACAATAGCTCCAATTTACATAAGTGATTTTTATAGTATTTTGGCAAAGTCAACAAACATGGTGTAATAGTTGTAGGATACTTCAGTCTATTTTATTTTAGTATTTCCCTGTAATCCCACCATGGGAACCCACTGGTCTTTTGTTGTAATGGGAGCCTTTCAAAGATCTCTGGATTTTTGTATTTATGGCTTTTAATCATCTCTTTTCAGGTGATAGTGCCCCTCCCCTCCTGGGATCTGAAGACCAAGGAGCCGCTGACCTCTGATCCGGAGAAGTATGCCATAGAGACCGAGCTGATCTTCAAATACTCTCCTTTCAAAAATGAACAGCAGCTGATGGAGCAGTTCAACAAAATAGAAAGCAGTAGTGGTAAGCATATTAATTTGTGCCTTTATATAAAGAGATTAAGCTTGAGATGTCCATCAATTAGACAAGTTCATTGCCACTACCAAAAATAAAATGTTAAAATGTCTTTGTCAATAACGTTATTTTTGTTGTGTCAATACATTTTTTTTGTTGTTGTTTTGGGGAATGACATGGTGGATATTGAATGTGATGTTAACTTTTGTTTTGCATTTTGTTGAAAGGTACTCTTGTGATCATCTATAATCTGAAGCTGATGGACAACAGAGAACCAGAGCTGGATGTAGAGACAGATCACCAAGACATATTGATGGCTGGTACACCTGTTGAAGGAGTGTAAGTATAGCCATTACTATGTGGGGTTCGCAAAAGTGACTCCATTTAACAAAACTCTGACCCATGGTGAAAGGAATTATATTTTGCACATTACTTTATTTGATGTTGATTTCTCACCCCTCTTACATAGGAAGCCAGAGCGGAGGTCATTCAGGGCGTATGCTGCTGTTTTGTACATCGACCCACGCATGAGGATTTTTATCCAGGGACATAAAGTCAGGACTAAAAGACTGTCCTGCTGTCTTTATAAACCAAGGTAATGTAATAACACAGTTAAACTTATAACTATAACTTCTGTATTCCAGTGACTAAACTTTTATTGGTGTTCTTGTTTTGTTGACAGGGTTTATAAATACTCATCGACTCGTTTTAAAACTCGTGCTGAGCAAGAAGTCAAGAAAGCAGATCATCTCGCTAAGATAGGTGAGTCTGTGGTGTATTTATTCGCGCTTTTCTTTAGTTGTAGTTGACTTGACTGTGCTTGAGGGTTTTGTGTCATGTATTTCAGCGGAGGAGAAAGCCAGAGAGGCGGAGAGTAAGCGCCTGGCCCTTGAGGCCAGATTAGGAGAGGACGTGTCAAAAGATTCACGGGTAAGCCTAAAATGATATATTGATTGATTTCTGAAAAGCAAATGTGGGTGTGTCCATGTAAACAAGCTTGCAACTTGCACATACATTTTTGTCTAACAGCTTCATTGTAATTCGAAACCCTTACTTTAATTCAAACTTGTTAAGAATGAAGGGGGTCAGCGGTGGAATCGCACCTGATGCTCAGGTATCAGGTATGACAATCCATGATGTCCCTCTCCCCCTTCTCTTCCTCTAGGCAATTCTGAGGAAAGTTCAGGATTCAGCCATGATGCTTCAGCGTGATGCTGACATGAAGAAAAGGATTCTTGAAGCCAAACAAAAGTATGATAAACACCGTAAAACTTGATTTCTCTTATGTATAGATTCATAAACAACTAAAATTAAGTATTTGTTTCAGCCCCCCACCCCATGTTGGTAGTATCAAAATTAGAATAGTTACTGACCAACATAAATAATGTATAATGTTTATAGGAATTTGTCAGATATGATAAAGCACAGCTATATGTTCTGTTCTTGTATGT